AGGAACCCGCGCCAGACGAATGAGGTATCTGCCATTGAACTGTTTCGGTCCCGAGGATTGTGTCACCTGACTTTAAGTGTTTAGTCATCTCCGTCAGATTAGATTCCTCTACGGCATATAATCCCGAGCTGAGTCAAAAGAGATTGGGAGATAGGAAACGGCTCAACCTCAGCCGCGGCCGCGGCCAGGGGACAGATTGAGACAGGGCTTAGCTTCTTCAAAGTTATCGCCGCGGGAGCACAGTTAAAGTTGTGAGCTTATTATCCAGCTCGGCACTCAGCCTGTTGCGGATAAAAGCCCGTCGGAAGGGGAGATGAAGCTGCATGAAGCTGCATGAAGCTGCTTAGCTGCTTAGCAGAGTCTAGCTTTGGCATTGAGGCCAGAGTAAGGAGTCTGTCTCAGATGCACAATGCGCGTTGAATCACATCACAGAGCAACATGACTGGACGCCGGTACGAAGCAGCGGCAAGGGATGCTTGAATGACCAAGATGTTGCCGTATGCAGCACGGGTACGGAAAACACGGCTCAAGAGAGCCGGCGATAAATTTAGCAACCTGGTCTCGCTCTGTGTGTATTACCTGCAGAAAATAGCCTCAAAGCTCGCCAGCCGAAATATAGGTCCTCCTATACTCGTCTGACTAATTGCATATCTAGCCGTCCTGAATGGCTGCCATGTCGAGATAACCTCGCTCCTCGGCCTCTAAGGACTCGGCACTTGGACCGTCCTGCCGAAAGAACTTCTGAGTTGCGACGCAATCCTATTCCAAAAAGGACCGCTCGAGGGCAACAAGGAAGCTGATGAGGGTGAGGATGTAACCATGGCGCCATCCATTCCTTGATATCCTAACAGTGCCCGTTATACTATGCCCTCCGGAAGACCGGCATTCGGCATTCGGTAAGGCTAGACTATCCCGATTTTTCTCTTCCTGGCTTGTCTCAACTCCTCGACGATGCTCGGACAGGACAAAGCGGGTTAGCACGACCAGGCTACGTGTGTTCTAGACATTTGTGCACTGTGAATACGCCGCCTTCATCGGATGACCCGTGATGGCCCGTCTATCAAACCTGCCGCTCCCCGATCCCAGCCAGCAGTCTGTCCAAACCTTTCCAGTTCTTTGCTAGAGGGAGCGTCTTAGATGTTAGTGCGCCTCGACGCGATGCCAACGACCTGGAGTCTGTAGACCACCATGACGGAGCAGCCGCCGCGTCCGAAGCAGGCCGCATGCCTGGTGTGCAGGCGCAGCAAGATCAAGTGCGATTGGATGCCCTACGAGGCAAAGTGTAGACGCTGCATTCACCTCAACTGCGAGTGCATCCGCCCTGAGTTCCATCCCGGCCGGCAAAAGGGCATCAAGAAGCAAGCTTCCCCACAAACAAACAACCAGATAGAGACGAGCGAAACTGACCGGCAGTGAAGCAAGCGGGTTGGGCTCGACAAGGCCCTGTACCAGCTCCAGCAGGCCGTCAAGCGCGTCAAGTCGGGAGAGGCGCGAGGTCCCGAGGACCGAAACCTCGTGGCCAGTCTGAGACAATTGCTGGACGACGTAGACGCTAGTGAAGATGCGGCGGAGCACTCTTCGAGGCAAGGCTCGCGGAGCAACACGCAGGAGGAGGAGGGCGGCTCGACCTCGAGTGGCGTCGACGACGACGAAGACGACAACGACCGGTCCATGGCTGACTTTGTACAGCGCACCGAGGAGAGCCTGGCCATCGACGATGCTGAGAACCCTCTCCAGCTGCTGGCGCGCGCGTCCTATTTTCATCCCAGTGATCGTCGTAGCCGGAACTCGCCCCAGAATCCGCGGCAGCATGACTCGTCCTCGTCCAAGCAGGATCCCGAGTCGACCAAGATCCAGCAGTTCTTCTCCCAGGCCAAGGTGAAGCTCGACATTGGCGAGGATCTCGACCCTGTTGATCTCGGACTTGTGACCATGGACGAGGCTGAGTCGTTGTTTAACTAGTAAGACATGTTACCCTTCCCGGGGAGAGAGTGTGCTGTGCAGAAAGAGAGAGAGAATGAAAGAGAGAAAGAGAGAGACGATGAAACTCATGATTCTGCAGCTTCTATTCCAAACTCATGCACACACGGTGGGGACTGTCTCCCCGAGTTCACACGGCGGTTTATACGCGCAGCCGATCCGCGTTTCTCTTTACCACGGTCATGGCCGCGTCTACGCTTTTCATGCCTACTGCAGGCCCCCTCTCCAAGAGGCTGTTTAACCATGTCAAGATGCTGGCTCAAAAGGTAGTCAATGACAAGTACAAATCGGTCGAGATCGTCTTGGCGTTCATGACCCACATCCCATGGATATTCCCGGGCGATCACACCATGGACGATGAAACCTGCATGTACATTTCGATGGCGACAACCATTGCATTTGATTTGTCTCTTCACAAGGTGCTGATGCCCATGGATGCTCTCGAGTCCTCGACGACTGTATCAAAGGGTGAGTGTCTGGATCCGCGGATTGCCCTCGCAATCGACGGGTTTCCAGAAGTAGACCCGTGGTCGGAACAAGGACAACTGTTGCTGCGAGCACGAGAGAGATGCTATATCTCGCTGTTTGTTGTTGAGAGAGGGTGAGTGATTTCTCCCCCTTGCTCCTCCTGCCTTTACCTGAGCCTTGTTTAACAAAGAGTTTCTTTAGAATGGCCCTGGCTCGCGGTAGACCATTTATGATCCCGATTACACGAAATATCAAAGACTGCGATACCTGGCATAGGTCTCCTATAGCGGATGAGCAAGACGGGCCTGTGGCCTCCATGGCTGTGATGAGACGAAACTTGGTAGGACGATGCAACACCTCATTTTTTTCAACCATTTCGCGATGCCAGTTTGCTTACTCTTCGTAGGATGGCCTTTTCAATACAGTTCGAGCGCTCTGTGATGGCTCTCAGAATAGCAACAGTGATGGATCACTGGTGGCTCGATCGTATGCCTCTTTCTTGTTTCCTTTACATAAGCATAACCCCTAACGTGATGTGATGCACAGGATTCAAAGCTCGATAGAAAGATTCTTCGACCAGTGGCTTGCAGAATGGGGTTTGATGATTGGTTTAGGTCCTGGTAAGTTGAATGGGAGCCGAAGAAATCAAAGAAATGCCACTTGCTTACTTGAGGAACCGCAGAGCGTCGCCTGCCCCCATATGTCGACATCCTTGTTGCTCACACTCGCCTCTCAACGTACGGACGCATCATCAACCATCCGACAGCACCCGTTGAGGTCCGAATCTTTTTCCGAACGGCCGGTTTATCAGCTGCTCTGAACGTCATGAGGGCTGCGATACAGGGAGAGTCGCAGCTGCAGTCGATGCCGAACAACACGGCCATTATGATTTCCTTTGCTGCGTGCTTTGCTTTGAATATCAGCGCGTATGCTCCGGACGGCTCTGGGCTTGCACCAAGCATCAGGAGGTTAATCGAAGAAGCCATTGGTGTGTTGGAGCGGATTGGAACAGTCACTCCACATAGGAATGGGCTCTCCGTGCTGTATGGCAAACACCTTCGGCATCTGCTGCGGATATCAGGCCCGTCCAAGAGCAACCGACCGCCAAAGGCACAGCGGACAACGCCATCGTCGTCAGAACCGATGCAAGACACGCCACCAGCTCTGCCGAGTAGCTTCATGGACCAGCAGATGCTGTGGCCGGACATGGTTCAGTTTTCCACCATGTCGGACGACCAGATTGCACAAGTGCTGAACCAGCCGGGCAACGTGTTTGAGCCATCATTTGGCAGCAACATGTCGTGGGAGGACATGAACAACTTTGACTGGCTGAACTGGCCAGCTTTCAACGCGAGTTAGCAAAACTGGGCATTTAGGGCATTGGCGAGGGATGGGAACAGAAGGGTATTTGGTTTTAATGTCTGGAAATTAGCGAAATGGGCGGGATTTTCTTTCTTCTTTCTTTCCTTCTTTCTTTTCTTTCATTGTTTTCAATTGATCAGTAGAATTGAATTTATTGGTTAGGAATCATGGTTAAAAAGGCGTTGGGTTAGACTTTGTAGCATCTCTCTTATGAGACTGCTAGCAAAAGAATGGTTGCAAAGAAACCAGGAAACCGGAGAGTTGCAAACACGTCGGCTGTCGCAGCTGATTCAATGCGGCCCGCAATATATATGTAAGATGACGATTAAGTAACGGAGAATTTTCAGACAGAATATTACGGTAGGGAAAAGTCATACGATTCCACAAGGAATCCGACGCAATTGCACGTGGTTGACGGGAGATGCCCGAGCTCTCAGATGCGAGTAGTACTATGTAGCAGTTTCGTGGGGCCGAGTCGGCACTCAGATGTGTGCTCCGCTTGAGTGCCGTGGTGTCTTACAAGGAACGGAAACCGCCTTATCGCCTATCTGTTGATTTCTTTGATAAAAGGCCCGGAAGTGTGTTGCCGTGAATGTTGGGCACTTTGAAGCACTAGTTTATATTGCTGATGAGGTGTCTCTCTTCTTTCTCTTACTGTGTTGTTCTTGTTACAAGAGGCTCTACCTATTCTAACTAATCAATCCAGGTTGTGTTACATGCGTCATAAAGGTAACATGTGCACTGCCACTATACATATTTTCGCAGGATGACGGAGGTTGCATAACGTTGAGATGAACTCGGCTCTTGGGGAGTCTGAACTGAACTGAAGCTCTGCTGCGAATGTCTTGTAGCCAATAGCCGAGGCCCGGCGGAGCGGCAATCGGATCGGCCTGTGGGTATTTTTTGGGGGGGACTTTAACCTCCATTTTACTCCGGCCGCTGGTTGGCTTTGCGTTATGTCATGTTCCTTTTTCCGGGGAGGGAATTGAAAGGCGAATCCGGGATTTCCATTTTCTGGAGGGTTTATATAAGAAACAAGAAGACGTTGCGTTATGAAGCAAGAGACTAAGCTGCCGATGCACCAAGAGCCGCAATCGCAGAACCACGCGGCACAACCAGACGCGGCGAAACGCTCGGCAACAACACCAACTTCAACCTCCGTGGGCGACAAGAGACGCAGGAGACGCAACATGTCGAAGCTGTCGCCGGGATTAAAGGCGTTGATTAACGCGCCGTTTGCGAGGCCTGGGCCGTGTAAAGTCGTCAAGGGGGCGGCGGTTGTGGGAGATTTGTTTCGGGGCATTGCGAAGGAGGCGAAGGGGAGGGGCGTTGGGGCGAGGGCGTGGCTGGCGATATCTGTGAGTTTCATTTCATTTCATTTGTTTTTCTTATTGGCTATTGTTTGTGTTGGTGTTTGGTTGAGGGTGTGCTTTATCCCCGAGATCTCATGGATATGAATGTGTGAATGAGTGGCTCATGACCAAAAACAGGCCGCGGCATCATTCACTCTCAACTCACCCGATGCGCTCTCCATCCTCCACGGCATCGCCGCAGCCGAGCGAGGAGGGTCTCCCACAGCCCAGGTGCGCACTGCCGAGTTCATCCGCGAAGTCGGGCTCAAATGCATCTCCTTCAACGGCATCCCACGCACCATCAACTGTCTCAACGCCTTTCACGCATCGCTGCCTCGTGATGTAACCTCTGCACTGACGACGGAAGCCTCGAGGACACTGAAGGCAGACAATGTCGAGGCCGTCAAGACGAGGGGCAGGGGCTTGTGGGACTCGATTTACGCGCCGTTTGAGGATAAGCTGGTTGATAAGCTGGGGACATCGCATCCGGATCTGCCTGTGGTGATTCTGAATTGTCATTATGGGCCACTTTTGAGCGATCCTAATGGAAGAAGGGGCGTGGGGAGGGTAATGACGAGTCTTGTGGCGGTGGCGGCCTTGAGGGCGCAGACGGGAGTCGGGCCGCAGGTGCTTTCGCACGTGTTTGGGTTGAGAAAGGCGATCGACGATGGATCGTTTCGGGATGATTTGGTAGTGGAGGATGGGGGAGAGGAGGAGAGTGAGAGTGAGGAGGGTGTTAGGTGGTTGGCTGGGGATGAAGGAGGGGAGTGGATGCTGAAGACGGTAGACAGGATCGTAGAGGGATTGGGAGGAAGCAATTTTGCAGCCAAGTTGTGATTAGATTTGGCTTTCGTGGTTGTAACCATTTCTATAGATGTATGTATATATAGAGATTAAATTTATAATCAAGATGAGAGGTCCAGTAAAGCTGTAACAGCTGTAACAGCTGGTTCAATGAAAGGTTATGCGTTGATGTATATATAGACGAGCAAATGGAATCTTGACAGCATCATATGCAAACGGCCAGTTGTGGCTTTTCTATATACAATATCGCATATGTAAACTGCAATTATATCCCTCTGTCCATCATCGCTGATGCTTTGTACTCAAAGAACATCTAGATATCTCTCTCGCTTTCGCAGCTTTATATCTCTTCACGTCGAAATGCTATAATGTCCCAGTTATGCGCCCTATATCCATAGAACGAACCCCGATCCATCTAAAATGAAAAAAACTCCATGCTTGTGCTTGCGGGTATATTTCCTCCCTTATTTCCTTCCCATTTCACAGCTTACTCCATAATCGCAATCTCATCCGCTACCGTGAAGGTCGCGTCTGTCTTGCTTCTCACCTCGTCGACGGTGACGCCCGGGGCAAGCTCGGTGAGCTTCAAGGTGCCCTGCGCGCGGTCTACCTGGAAGACGCACTATCATGCAATGTTAGAATTTTTGATATCACTCATACGTAAGAACAACATACCAAGTCTGTAATGATGGTGCTCACGCATCGCGCGCCAGTCAGTGGCAAGCTGCACTGCTGCACAATCTTGGAAGATCCATCCTTGCAAAGATGCTCCGTTGCGACAATGACCTTTGTTTTTTCGGGGTTGGCGACGAGGTCCATTGCGCCGCCCATGCCCTTGAAGAGCTTGCCGGGGATCATGAAGTTGGCGAGGTCGCCGGCGGCACTGACTTGGAGGGCCTGTGGAAGGTTGTTAGCTTTACTGTGTGTTCATCTTGAGAATAGCTGTGTGCACTTACACCGAGGATGGAAACATCCACGTGGCCGCCACGGATCATACCGAAGGACTCGGAAGAGTCAAAGGTAGAAGCGCCAGCAACATAGGTGACGGTCTGCTTGCCAGCATTGACAAGATCACTGTTCAATCATGGGCCATTAGTACATGGCATTTCTCATACCAAAAGGGAAGAAAACTTACGCATCAACTTCATCCAGCGTCGGATGCGGTCCCATGCCCAGCAGGCCATTCTCGCTCTGCAGCCACACAGTCCTCTCCTGGGGGATAAAGTTGGCTGCCATGGTGGGAATGCCCACGCCCAAGTTGACATAGTATCCCTCCTTGAGCTCCTTGGATGCTCTCTTCGCAATGCGTCTCTTGCGCTCCGCCGAGCCATTTGCCGGGGCTGCTGCTGCTTCGCCCTCCGGCTCCCTTAGCTTGAGAGTCTCAACTTGCTTCTCGACTGTCGCCTTGACGACTCTGTCCACGAAGATTCCAGGCAGATGAACATCGTCTGGGTCGATTTCACCAACAGGAACAATGTTCTCGGCTTCAACGATGGTGAGCTTTGCAGCCTTGGCCATGAGCGGGCCGAATGCGCGGGTTGTGCGGCGGAAGACGCAGTTGCCGGTCGTGTCAGCTTTCCAAGCGCGGACGATGGCGACATCGCCGGAGAGGGCCGTTTCCATCAGGTACTTCTTGCCGTCGAAGTCGCGGGTTTCTCGTCGGTGGCCCTTTTCCAGGGGGGCGCCGCCATTGGGGTTATTGCGGACGGGGATCTCGCCATCTTGAAGGAGGGTGTCTATTAATTGAAATTATGAGTTAGTATTGCAGACTCAAGGTTACAATTGACATAGCATGGTATAAACTTACGTGCTCCTGTGGGTGTGTAAAACGCGGGAATGCCTGCTCCAGCTGCTCTCAGGCGCTCTGCAAGCGTTCCCTGAGGACACAGCTCAACGGCCAACTTGCCCTCAAGGTACCCTTTCTCGAGCACCTTGTTACCTCCAGTATACGACAAAATCAGGTTGCTGATCTGTCCGGATTCAGTCAGGCTAGAGAGACCGCCACGGCCTTCAAGACCGGCATTGTTGGATACGGCAGTGAGCGAATGCAGCGATTTGCTGCCTCGACGGTGCAATGCTTGGATGAGGGTTTCTATTACAAAAAAAGAGAAGTTGGTTAACTTATCATGATCATAACGTTGTGTCATTCCATTCTTAATCAATTTGTCTCGCCATAAAGAGGGCACGTGGAATCACGAGATGATCTCAATGGACGGACTTGGACAAAGTCACACACATACCTGCAATACCACACAAGCCGAATCCAGAACTGAGAATTGTCGATCCACTTTTTACATCAGCCACAGCGGCATCGGCGCTTTCGTAGAGCTTCGACTTTGGTCGGATCTGCGGCTGCGACAGACGGATCGCCGTCGTTGAAAGAAGTCGTCTTGTTGAGGGGCCGGTTCTTGAGGCTTGGAGGAGCTGTGCTGAGACGGTGTTGATGAGGGATCGTCTCGTTGAGGCTCTTGGAAGGCACAGCTTCGGATGCATTGGCCGGATTAGCGTCGCCATTGTGCAGGAGGCTAAAATAAGCAGTGGTAGGAGAAATTAAGATGAAAACTCCGATACTGTGAGGGGAGCAAATGAGGGTTAAAAGCTCCCTTTGCTTTGACAACAACTGACAAGGACAATAGAGCAGAAAGAATGTGATTCAATTACAAGATTAGAGACGATCTCATCGATCCAACAACCAACAACAAAGTCCGTGGACAGCATTTTCTTTATATCTTGTTCGGCTCGGCAATGCCATAAGTCTAAAACGGAACTTATTCGGGAATTTGCCCCTTGTCGGCCGGCCAGCCGGAAGCTAATGTGGTGGAGTTTCTGGTCCGAGTTACCGGAGCACTAGAAGATGACGTAGAAAAGAGGCGAATAATTTGGAACGGAGATAAAGATAGACGCTATCGGAGTCTACTTTTGGGTTTGGAATTTAGAAGTGTGTGGAATCTTGATGCGAAGTTGTGATGTAGAGCTGTGAGTGAAGTTGTTTGCAAAGTCGTTGGTTCGTTGTCGTGTGTTGGTTGTCGATAAAGACTTAATGCCATCTTTGTGATCTTTGTGTTATGTAGCAAACACTAGTCTTCACATTGCATGTTGGATAGCCATCAATGGTTCTCTATTTTCATACTCGGCTGAGTCCTCCTTAACCCTAAGTAATTTGGACGCCTTTCCACCGCACAACTTCGCCACCTTCTCGCCAATACGTACTCCAGCGAGATGCAGCCCCATATATCCACTCCTCGAAGAAACATCTTCAGTAAGTCTGGGGACCCCGTGACTCTGGGGACCCCGTGGCCACTCGACGCGCCTGTATATTTTCTGCATTGCATAATGACGGGGCATGCAGAAACTGTAAGTCTCCCCATCTGCGCTCACCTGGTCACGTTGAGGGTCTGCACAACTCCGCATCCATTAACGTGTGCATGGGATCGAATATCGCACAGAACGGCAGTGCTCAACCTACAAACTAGTAAGGAGTAGACCGGGCTTCTTACAGTATACAGGGGTTCCCCAGATAGTACTTGTCATATGTCGAGTACTCTCCTATTTACTATATTAAGATGGTGGTTGGTTGGCTTATAGAATCGTGCGCCACGGTAGTTCGCCATTGTCGTGTTGGACCATAATAAGATTGTTTGCATTGGCAGGGATGTCGATTAAGTGATTCGGGCTTTTAAAGAACTCCGATACCCCTGAACCATGAATTGTAGAACAAATTGTCGTAGATAACGATATGTTGGTCCTGTGGAGTGTCACTGGGAGCCTGGCCAAAGAGCATTATGTCAACGTGCTCATCAATCGTACCCAACTAGTATACAGTAGGAACCGAAATCAGTGACCGGCTTTATTAGATTAGAATCTCTTTCCGCACGGACCATTATGTGGCGTAGTGTGGTTACGTAGGTAGGTAGGTACAGTTGGTCAAGTACACTTCCTATGTTGCATCACAACGGACCTCAAAGTTATGAGATCAAGAAGATAGTGAAGTTGTACTAACCACCAAAGTCTTTTAGATTCGAGATTCAGCCAAAATGGATAATTGCCAGATTGGTGTTTATACTAGCAGAAACTCCTCTTCACGCCTCATGTTATCCGCGGATGGCAATGCCTCCCCATACATCAAACCTTCAACGTAGCATTCGCCGACAAGTTTATACATGGTCGAGTCCTTCGTTGGCCTAAGCAAGAAAGGGACCCTTCCTCCGTATAAAATTGTCACCACGTCGCCGAGCTTTGTCCCAGCGGGGCACAGCCCAAAATTTCCATCTTCCATCTTGAAGAAACATTTTCCGTAGCATGGGAACCTAGTGTCATCACTTGACATGCCTATTTCTTCGTGTGCTTTGTCGTGAGTGGACATGCACCACCTAAACCCCCTTTCAACTGAGGATGGTTCGAAATGCGTCAGAGAACGTGCATATCTCCACGTCCCTGTTAGGTCTGCTGGATCAAATATATGCCTAAACGCCCGTTCAAGGTTTGGATATTTCGAAGCGGTTTCAGACCCAGGGTAGTACGAGATAGAGGATACGCTGCCGATGCGGATGCCCCTGAGCGCCAGAACCTTTGGATCAGAGGGCAGTCTGCATCTCATAAAGTCCACATCCACCTTGCTATCGCCACATGCTTGATATAAGGCTTTTAGGTCTGCGGCTAGTGAGCTGAGAGCCCATATGCTGCGGCCGTTGTACCACCAGGCCCAAGATGGCAGTTGAGGGGAATTGACATTAACATCCTCATCTTCATCGTCGCCTGAAGAGCCGAAGCCGAGCATGTCAACCCACGTACGTCCCGTAAGAGCATGCAAGACAGAGAATATGCCCAGAGTACGGCGATGCTCAATCCACCAGCGAGTGAAGTCAGAGTAGACATCGATAATGCTTTTATGGTAATTTGGTCGCACGAGATCCGGTAGCTCCTCGATGTTGTGAGTCTCCTTTGCAAACCCAAGCAGAGCAAAGATGTTATCGCGCCGGTCTGTAGCTTGCATATCTAGTCCCGAGATAGCCATGCTTACTACATGTATGCGCGGCGACGATTTATATACTTTCTGGGAACTGCCTGGGGATTTTTCCTCTAAGAACAGCATTTCCCAGACGACCGGCATGCGTTGCACGTTTTCCCATCTGTAATAACGGAGACATATGTTGGCTTGTAAGATGATATTCCACGGCACTTCGTTGTGACCATGTTGGACCGTTACACGATCTATTTCATCGCTGGGGGATATCAGCGAGGAGCTCCAAACTTCCTGTAGAACCCAAATACGGTAAAACCATGGCTTCTGAAATACTTTATCATGAGGAGTGATGGCTTTGTCGGAAAAAATGTCGCTATGAGTGCGTGGCATGTGGGCCGGCAACGACTCCAACGAAGCATCAGCCAACAGTTCCGGATTTTGCTGTTTTCGCGCGATCGTACGCATGATGGCGAATTCTGCCGCCACTTCCTCGTCAAACTCTCCCAACCATACTCGGACGTGCTTCGCCAAAGCAAATATCCGCCCCATGAGACCGACTTGCTTGTTGCGCTCTTCGATATTGGATTGGTTGATGCATATCAGGTCGATCCAGAAAGTGCGAGACACGTGCGGGCGTCTCAGGTGCTTGAGGGCGCTGAATAGATTGCTTGTGACTTGAAATTCAAAGTCAGGTTTGGATGCATCGGGATTCTTCATCATAATCGGCTTCAGATCTTGGACGCTGCCCCAACAATATGACAAAGCCTCGAAGGGCGTCCCTTCCGGTTCGTCCAAGGAGAGGTATTGGAGCGATACTCGTATTGTATCATCGTCGTTATCTTGAGGTTCAATCACGACCAGCCGTATTTCTTTCCTCTGCAGACTCAATGGGCGGTATACCGACGGATCTTGTGAGCCTAAGAGGCTATGCTCCAAGTCTGGCTTTTGATCAATCTCCTCCACCCAGATGTCAATGCGGGCTCCCTGAATAAAGTTGACCCATCCATCCCGGGAGGCAGTTGGCACAATCTGGATGTGATCGCCGCTCTCAATACTAGACAGCCACTTCCCCTGGCCAGCGGGTTCGCGATGATCCCAGCAGTTGACATGTGTCCTGAATTCCCGACTAGCAGCTACATTTGTATGGATACGCTGTTCTGGAAAGCGGTCGCGGCCCGCAGGATCGAGCACTCGTGCGGAAAACCACGTTTGAGAGCCGTCGTATTTGCCTTCCAATTTGCCCTCGGATTTGCCTTCGAGCGATTTATCATCAAGCTGGCCCTGGTCATGTGAGGTGGTGGTGAAGACGATGCGGCGCACAACGACTTTGCGACTTGTTTTTACTGCGGAATTCCTAGGAACGACTAATGATAAGTAAGGCAAAAAGGGACAGTATCGGCATACATTCGTCAAGTGTGTTGCAGATTTGGAATAGCATTTCCAGCCTGGAACTATGTCAAGTGAAGCCATCTTTAATTTTGCAGCTCGGCAATAACCAGCGTCAGTATCCCAGGTGTTACAAGCGCTGTATATCCTAGTGGCAGCATGTCATATATAGTTATTCGCCGATAGGGCTATTTCCTTGAAATTGACAAGGATATGTATCAACCACACCGATTACTACTCTGAACACCTGCAATCAAACCAGTGACAAATTGAGGTCTGGATCAAGTGGATAATCTGTATACGAACTCCTTTTACTGGTGTGCAATTTTGGACCTATCATTTGCAGCCTCGGTGTCCAAAGTTATTGCAGCTGCCAATATTGGACATAAGATTGCCCGTACCTCAATTGATGCAGTCACTACCACAATCACACGCCCAACAACATAAGCATTAAGATAACGCAGGCTGCCAGTCAAGAGCTCGCAACAGTAAATATGGCCATCTTGAATAGTACGTTAAAAATTGCGTGGAGCTATCAGGTATAGTTAAAGTATTTAAAGGAGCGTCCCCTCTAAACCGAGATCCTGATCTGACTGGAACGAACAACTCTACCACCAATAGCCATGTTTCTTATTGATGATTCAAATATCGCTCATGTACCTGCACGCAAGCTCCCGGTGCTACTGTGGGAATTATCCATGGAATAAGTTTTCGAACATGGGATAAGCCAGCCGGTCAATCAATCAATTTACATTCATCGTACTTCTTTGTGCGGCGCTATCTGACTGCTAGTCTCTGACTTTGATCACTTCGATAGTTGGCTGTTAATGTTGGTTAACTTTAAGACTGTATCTTCTCCTTTTGGTGGACTATGAGGACATGTAGAAAATATCGCGGTACGAACGAATCTGGAGTAGGAGTACTACGTCGGCTGCATAAGCAGTGAATATAAGCCAGATAGAGTAGGTCTATATATACAAAAATGGATAATAGAGTCTCTTTTGAGGGCATAATGAACTACTAATTGGCTCTAGCTGCAGTCTCGTTACTCTTATGTACCGGTTGGCCTGGAACAACCAACAAAACATCACTAATCGGGACCCAGATCTGCATCGAGGGTTACCCAAAACATACACATCGTCAAGGTTCCCCAACAAATGGCAATCCAAGACAAAAAGCTCCCTTTTTCCAATCCCGAACATGATTGACAGGGTTGATGCGGGGCATGCAGAACCGCATAACTGCAGAGCTCGGTTACGGAGAGACTCAATCGCCGCCCTCCAAATGATTCGAGCTCTTCACCTGTCTCATGCATCTCGGTATGCTTACTCCTCTTCTAATCCCCCGGCAAATATTGGGCGGGCAATTAATCCATGCAGGCAAAAAGTAAGCTGGGGAAAGTCGAGGCTCAACTCCACCCGCCATTCCAATTCCTCAATTCTTCGACAATAGTCCCAGCGGTCTGGTCGCCTATTTCACGATGAAGGCGTCGCAGGATAACAAGGCGGACTTTGAAAATGAGAAGCACGAGGAGAATGAGTTTGAGCATGGGGCGGGCTATGGACAGGATCCGCAGCGGACAGCTGCCATGACCAAGAGGGTTCTGTTCAAGGTGGACACAAGGTAAGCTCTACAATTGGACTTGTTGTGTGAATTGGCAGGTGTTGTAGCCATTGTGTTATGGCTGTTGTTGTTGTTGTTTTTGTTTACAATTGTCAATTTCGATTTTGCTCACCAATGCTGCAGAGTAATGCCAATTCTGGCCCTTCTGCTGCTCTGCTCGTTCCTCGACAGGACCAATGTCGGTAACGCCAAAATCCTCGGCCTCGAGGCAGATCTGGGTATCACGGACAAGCAGTATTCGCAAGGCCTCGCTGTATTCTATGTCACATATATTGCCTGGTCTGTCATCTATCTCTCCATCCTCCAAAGACACAAGTGCTAATCAATTCTTACCTCGCAGCGAGCTTCCTAGCAACCTCGTCCTCAAGAAAATCTCCCCGCGTATCTGGCTGCCCTCATTAACTGTCGCTTGGGGTATCATCACTATGTGTTTGGGCTTCGTGCGCTCCTTTGCTAGCTTCGCCGCCGTGAGGGCGTTGCTGGGCATCGCCGAGGGCGGCCTGTTTCCGGGCATCGTCCTGTACTTATCCAGTATATACACGCGAGGCGAATTAGCATTGCGCATAGGCATATTTTATACATCCGCAAGTCTTTCAGGATCAATGGGAGGGCTTCTTGCTCGAGGATTGTCCGCGATTGGGCCTAGGGGAGGGTTGGAGGGCTGGAGATGGATCTTTATCATCGAGGGCTTGCTGGTAAGTTGGACGTTTCGGCGGGTTAAACAATCATTACAGTGGCCAATTATTGACGTTAAAACAAGACGGTTGCCTCCGGGCTGATTGCATTTGTTGCACTACCAAATAACGTTGCGAGCGCCGGGTTTTTGTCGACAGAGGAGCGAGACTTTGCGGCCGAACGACTAGCAAACGACAGTGGAGGCCGATTCAAGTATGTTCCTTCATTTTTCATATATTTAAAGAGACTAGACTAATATCCCTGCCCTTTAGTCCAGCTCTTGAAGCTGAAGAGACGTTCAAGTGGTCCGAGGTCCGACGCGGCATCTTTAATGTTCAGATCTGGCTCACGTCGACGGCCTACTTCGCTCTGCTCTCAGGAGTTTACTCTTTTGGCCTTTTTGTGCGTATTTATCTCTTTAGACTTGTATTGTATAATAATGCGAGATTTGTACTGACTGGATGAAGCTGCCTACGATTGTCAATGATCTTAAGATTACCACCAACGCCAACAAAGTCCAGTTATGGACTGTCATTCCCTATGCCGTAGCAACTCCCACTACCGGTACGGATATAAATTTTATGATATCCCTCATCAGTATTCTGACCGTGCTTTAAAACAGTCTTTATTGCCTTCATCTCTGATCGCATCAAGCTCCGCGGCGTGCCGATGCTCGTCATGTTGCCCATCTCCATTGCCGGCTACGCAACAATTGCTCACGTCCAGTCTGCCAGTGTTCGCTTCGGAATGACTTGCCTTATGGCTATGGGAATGTACAGCTCTGTGCCGTGCGTGCTTGTATGGAACGCAAACAACTCGGCCGGACATTATAAGAGAGCGACGACGTCGGCATTGCAATTAGCCATCGCGAATTGCGGAGGGTTTGTTGCCAGTATGTCAATATCCTTTTCCTTCATTCGTTTATCTATCTGTCAGAAAGTTCGACAACTAATGCAGGGGTTGCTTCTATAGCATTTGTATACCCAAACAAGGACGGACCCATCTATCTGAGGGGACACTCCGTCATTCTAGGATTGTTGTGCTACGCATGGTTTGCGTGAGTATCTTTTTCTTCTTCTATGAATCTATTTAAAAACATAGCTGACAGCAAGCAAATAGTGTACTGGCAAATCTGCTCTGGTGTGCCAAGATGAACCGAGACAAGAAGATGGGCAAATACGACCAATACGCCAGCTCCGGTGACGACCGCGACCCCGAATTCGAAATGATTTTATAAAGTGTTATGTTTGTTGGTGAGTCTTGCCTTTATAATAGCCAGCGGAAGACGCTAGTTGATAATGATTGTCCACTTGACTTAATCTACTGATGACTTTTATCTATTCTATGATACCCGTTTCTATTTCCCAGTGATTGCAATGCGTAAAAGCACAACCCTATTACATCCTTCATCCCATCAGCGCCCTCACCACCTCTTCAACCTCATCTGTATTTCCAAACACGATGCCGCCTCTCTCATCACACCCTTGCACCTCCTTTGCCAAAACATCTTTTCCATTCTCATCTACCGCCTTGCCTCCAGCACACTCCACCACCAAACCTACAGGAAGAATCTCGTATAATCTCCTCAACTTGGCCTTGCTCGCTGCCGCCACGGGGTTAACATAAACTCCGTGACCCTTGGTGAGGATGTGGCCAAGATCTGGGACAAGCCCTCCGCAATACCGAAGCGTGTACTTTTTTGTGATGAAAGATGAAATAAGGGCGCTGTATGAAGGCGAGTCTGCCGCAAAGCGCAAGTTTGCAGGAGCAAAATATCTCGTCTTGTAGGGGGGGGCGGAGAGCTTGATGTTGGGGTTGAGGAGCTCAATCTTGTTGTTGTCATCCAGTCCTAACTCAAAGCAAACTCCCGCAGCAGAAGCAAATCCTTCAGTTGCGTCTACTTCCCTGATGGCTACAATCACAGTAGTACGGGGTCCGTGAACTCCCAACAGGGAACAAATCTGGTCTCTTGGGTTCTTCCCCAGTGTCGTCTCGCCCTTCCAGACTCCCACGATTGTGCCCACAGACCAGTTAGCAGCAATGATCGAGCTGCCATCAAGAGGATCAAAAGCCACAGAGAACCTTTCATCCGAAGAAACAGCGCTGGAAGCTTCTCCTTGATGAACCTCTTTCTCTTCGGGATCCTCCTCACTACTAGCCCTCACCACGAGCGGGCACTTGGCAAGCGCAGCGCGCATGAGATTCTCTGAAGCGACATCGACGTTGAGCTGGTCATCTCCAAAAGAATTTGCGGATCCAACGAGGGAGACGTGGTGCGAAGATCGGAGGGTGGCGCCGATCTGAGAGATTGCGCTGAGGAGATGCGGCAGCAGAGAAGTGGTTAGAGCGTGGAGCGTCGGAGAGGGGGATTCAGTGAGTTGAGGGGGCAACCAAGGAGGAAGAGGAGATTGAGAAGCCATGGCGATGATTGTCGTCGATTTTCTGGCGGTTGATGTAAGAGAGTGGGTTGATTTGGTTGAGTGGCAAAAACTCTCTGAGATGCGGGTTTTTGGTGTTTTTGGTGGGGTGTGTTTAGCCCAGTGCCTGATGGTGAGGAAACATGCAAGTGGTCTCAAGTCCACCGCGACATTTTTCATCTTTAAGCAAAGGAGAAGGAGTTTGATTCGAGTATTGCCAATTTAATTAATGACATAGGATTGCCACTTGACATATATTTCAGGTTGCATTATCTGTGGTATCTCACGCCACCGATCACACCAAACTGTTCATTTTGTTCTCTCTGTTCCGACCAGCCTTGAGCTTCTTGTATCTGACCCCGAACTCCGAGAGATATGACGAAGAACTCATGGAGATATCTGGCCATAAAGCACCCGACATGTCTGACGACGAGTTAGGGTAGGCATGGCAAGTGGTAAGCAAGGGAAGGCGCATTGTAAGCTATAATCAAGGAAATGCTGTCGAGAACAAAGAATATTTGACGAGGTAGAGATAGTAGACATAGTGACCGGAATGCACAACCCGAACGAGACCAATCTGTTGAAGCTTTCAACAACCCGGCACTACCTCACACCTGTCTCGCCACTTCACTCCAGCTTTCGACATTAGGAGTAAATTTTCACAAGGTGTGCCATTGCGGCCTGATTGTAGAGCGGCCAGCAAATCAAGCACTCTTGTTACAAGCTCAAGGCCGGGACAGAAACATGACGATGTGCATTAGGAGGTGCTTTGCGCCAGAGACTCTTTCGACTGTTTCGTTGAGTCGCGTAGCTTGGGGGAAATACCCCACCACTCGTGCAGACGAGGGTAGGATTGATGAGAGAAGCAAAAGGGAGGCGGGAATCATATGGGCATTCGAAATGATGCGACAACACCTAGACCAATCTTGCTCGAGAGGTAGCAGGGCGCGCGAGTGGGACGGAGTGGGAAGGGGGGAAACGGGGGAAATGGAGGGAAATGAAGGGAAATAGATAAGTCCAAATCACAACTCATAGAAAACTTTTTCAAGCATCCCAGTTAGCGCGAGCTGGTCAGAGAGGTAAACACAACATGAAGGAGACTGCGAGGGCATGGAAACTTGGGGAGAGAAGATTGCTAGAGGGATGATGACTAGGGGAGAAGATTGCCACAAGGATGATGCCTTGTCCTGCTGCCACTTTTAAACGACAAAGGCTATGAGAATGGCAGCACGACTTGACTGCCAGGAACCGCGACAGTATGTGGTGCAGTACCCGAAGATAAAATCATCACCAGCCGCCACAGCCCCGGGAGAGGCGGCATTCCAGCAGAAAGATGGCCACGGTCCAAATCCAAATCGAATACGAGTCTCAAGACAGACAAAAGGAGCGGCACGAGGCATCCTGCAGTAAGCAAAGGCAGTTTTCAGTTCTGCAGAGTTGCAGAGCCCGTTCCGCCGCCAGATATCCTGCAGCCTGCTCAAGCACTTCGAGTGGTCACCGAACCTCTCGTAGGGAGCTTGGGAAGCTAGTTCAAGCAGATTCGCTAAACGCCAGAGGCCAAGAACGCCCGGGCGCTGAAAGCCCCGTCTGGTTCTCGGCAGCCAATCAATTGATCCCTTCAAATGTTCTGGGTCGCAAATACAGTGCATGCCACAGAAGTATATACTGTCTGCGGACCCCTGCCAGGTACATGATTTGCTTGGACTCTGCAGCCATAATTTGACGCGTCCAATCATAAGGTAGGCGGCCCTCCCAGATTTGCGTCTTGCTTTGGTACCTATGTAGTAAACCTGGTGCTGGTTTAGCTATTTTGCAGGGTACTAGGTACTTGTCTTTGAGTGGCGGCAGAGCCACATTAAATCACAAGGAGAGCACATGTGCACGGGTACCTAACGAGAGATGCAACAAACCACTTCAACCTGTCTATGTAAAAGTAAAATCGAAAGAAAATCCCTTTTCCTGTTCTTTAAATTAAAGAAACTCCGTCCACGCTGTGCCCAAAATCCCTATTAACCCTTATGTTCTATTGTGTCCCGCGTCGTTATACATATAAATTACCGCCGCCTTGCCATGTACATCAAGCCGGCATCCCCAAGGGCAAGCAATTCCCTATCAACTTGATGCTCGAGGTTCAGGATCAGGGAGGAAATTTCCCCCAAATAGTTGATGCAGTTGTCCCTCTTGTAGAAAGCCCATTTGACTCCTTGTATTGTTTTCGCCGCTTGGGTTTTTCGTTTGTCGAGGAATCCCGTAGTGGGAACTTGCGTGCCGCAATCGTCCCTGATTCGCGCAGCTTCACGTTGAGCTTTATGGAGGGCATGTTGGATTTCAGCGAGAAGCCCCGCCAATGTCGGTTCTCCCTCCTGTGGTGAGGCTGGCGTGCTATCTAGTATTGCATTTGCGGATAGAGTATTCTTGTTGTGGTCTATGTTGTGGATGATTCTTGAAACGGCGTCACAACGGAAGCGCTGCATTTGGAGGTGGAGCTGGTAGATTCTGAACTCGTCTTCAAACCCACGGACCTGATTGACGCGGCTGCAACCTTGTTGTAAAAAGTGAAAAATGCCAGCTGCACCTCCTACAGCATCCATTGTTGTAGAGGTTATATTCAGAGGTTTTATTCAGAATCAAGATGAGAGGATCAATAAGGCTGCATCCATTATTATAAAAAGGAATGCGAATGATGATATGTGAGAGACTGCTGTAAGTCAGATGCTGCTGCTGCCAATTAAAATAAAGCTCCAGCTTTGTTTTGGCATATGAAGCGTCGACAGGGGTGGTTGAGGCAGGTCGCATATATGATTTGAAACTGGCACATGAATTGTGCCTAACAGTAAGTAAATTTTGCATGTACAGCCAACTGCTTTAAGGATGGAGCAAGCCTCGTGCCCGTGAGAATGGCTATGCCAAAACAGGAATGTGGATGAAGATGCTGCTCTGCCAATGCTTGGTACCATGTACTTCTTTGTGGTGTGAAACTTTGCCAATACCTGGTACTATGCACCTGTTTGTGGTGTGAGGCTCTGCCATTACTTGGTACCATGTACTTGTTTGCGGCGTGAGGCAGTGCAAAATGAAAGGGTGATTGATTGGCAGGCGGGTGCCAATCCGATCCACTGCAGCCAAACATTTCTAGTGGAGTCGCCAAAGGCCACAGTGCTACTTGACGGAGCTAGGTATTGACCAGCTGCTCGGCTGGCCCACGCGGGTATCCGATGATGCTAACCCGATCCCCGGCCAGCGCTGAGGTACCGGCTACTTCAGCCGGCGTCGTCCAAGGCACGACAGGGGGCGGGCACTCACTGGACCCTCCTGTAATGCTATACGGAGTTGCTACTGGAGGGCAAAGCTGGATGTTTTCAATGTTTGTTGGAAATGTAGGCTGTAAGTCGCAGACAGCGGCGACATGACTGTAGGAGCTTCGTCATGGCAGAAGATGGTCCCGACCCAGCAATCTTAGGCGGCGGAAGAACGGCCTTATGCACTGCTATGCAGCTAAGAAACTGGGTGGGTTTGAGATTGTATTTGAGGGATGGCTACAGGAAGGAAAACGTGTTACACACTCCATGGCCAGCGCTGCCTTAGATAATGCCTCTCTCACCTCAACGACGACTAACATGAAACTTGGGGGGGGAAGAGCTTCTATCATCGAAAGCTTCCGAAATATTAAGGTAATGACGGTGTATTTGATTAAATTTCAATTTTTAGCGACTTTCCTATAAAAATTTCATTTCAGCTATTACTACCGAATTAGGTCGCAATGCCGCGCTTGTGCAATGCGGCATCTCTTGATTTGAGGCTTTGACAAATCGTTTAGCAGTGAGCTGAACCAACATCCAAGCACATACTACATACATATTGGTTGTACCTGTGTGCTTTTGGCACAATTGAACGCAGGGTTTGGTTCAAATCGGTTCCTTGAGCCATTGCGGGCAAAATTTTGGCTACCTCTCAGAAGCCATGTCCTCCAGGATTTTATCCTCATCGTTAAGAAGAGACTCACGAGCAGACTGAGGCTTCTTTCTAGCACACTGTCAGCAGTATCATCTTATGCATAGGCTATTTGTTCATCCAAGGCTCGCTGTTCCAAGTTCCGCATTGCTTCTTTATCGTGCTCGGGGTCTAATAAAGCCTTTCCTTTCACAGCATCTACTGCAGCACTGAGATAATGTCCCTCTTCTCAACCTTAGACTAATAAAAGCATGCCGAGTGTTGCATACCTGTATAATACCAATTTTCGGATTCACCACAAACACCCATACACAGCATAGGCCCTTGCTCGGGGACTTCAGTGATTTTGCTTCGACGCCCCTTTGTGAAAACGATGACACCGTATGCACAGAACCGGTCCTCAGAATACACACCCTAAGTGTACTCTTGTTTACTCAATAATGAATTCTGGCCGAATCTTCTCGGGTTTACCATAATCAGCTTATATATCGCACACAATAAAGTTAAAACGGTGTCAATATCTTTAAGCTAGACACCTTTAGGGGTTCTAACAAGCGCGTTAATACAATTAGGTCGCAATATAGAGCATTTTTGGGAACTATTAATGATCAGCGGTTTTAATCATTGGTACTCTCTTTCAAAGCTATTGAATCTGCCCTAGGATTTTAATGCCATAGGGAATTTCAGATTAGTTTTACCGTCGTGTCGAAAATACATCTACTACATCTGCACCTAATAGCGTTCTTGTTAAAGATCAGATTATATCCTCTTGTCGTCATTATTGGTGTTACTTCAAATTGCTATTACAGTTTCAACTGGCTCCTGTGGTATTCGGTTGTTGTTTAACTGCGGCTGGTCGGTTTCACCCATTAGACAGCAGGTTTCCTTTGTGTGTTCCAAAAAAAAAACCATTGTATATGATTCCTAACCTAGTAGATGAAGCTATAGATAATGGACAAGCATCTAATCCTAGTATTGCACCTTGAATATTACGTTCACTACGTTCCGTCCAGTAAGGCTCGTTGGAGATACATGGCTGCGGCCACGACTACCCGTGCGTCTTTCGCAGGTTAGCTGGGTTGGCGATAAAGGCAGCACACACCCCAATAGCAGCCACCAGAGTCGTTGCTCCAAAAGCGAGCCTCAGCCCATCATAGTATACTAGCCGGGCTTTGAGCTGAATATCCGGCGGAAGCGTGCGTAGAGTTTCCACCGAGTGTCGGATCTCGTCAATAATCTACACCGAAATCTACGTCAGTTGCCAATTTCCCCACGAGCTACGAGCATTTAATTGACGAGAGAAAAGGGGCGTACTCTCCATTTATCTGGTACCTCACTCAAGGCATAAGGTAAGCGCAACCTGAGCGTATTTTGTACGATGGCCGATGTAATGGACACTCCCCAGACTGTTCCTAGAGACCGGACGAGGTAGGTGGTTGAAGCGGACACAGCGTGGTCTGCAGAAATATGTGAATGAAGGATCTTAATGTATCGGCGAGCTGTATACACATACCTGAATGGGCGTGGGACGCAATCGAGATGAACAAGATTGCCGGATACACGATTCCTGTTCCCAAGTGAGAAGGGATGATATACAAGACATACTTCCACGAGGCATCTGCAAAAGCCCACGACGAGACCAAAGCCTGACCGATTGTCATAAGGATGAGTCCAGTTCGCATGAGTTGAATCAGCTTTCCCCAATGAGACATGACTGTACCAGCAATCAAACCACCCGTAGGCATGGCCAGCGACGGGATGGCCAGACGACCACCGGCTTTGGTGGCTGAGTCTTGAAGAACAGCTTGGAAGAAGAGCGGAAGCATAAAAAGATACTGTTACCTGGCATGTTAGCAAAGGCTTCGGTTTTCAACAATGGTCAATGCGTGCGAGTGGAATAACGAACCCCGTACATTGACATGCCGGCACAGATGTTGGCAATCTGCGTGGCAATCGGCATCGCTCCCTGAAGCATCCTCAACGGAATAATCGGCATGGCCGTCGTCTTCCCTTCAACCCGAATAAACACCGTAAACAGCACAAGACTAATTGAAATCGACCCAATCACCCACGGACTCCCCCAAGGCAACTCATTCCCACCCAAACTCATACCCAAAAGCTGCGTCGAAACAGCCGCCACAAGGAGCAGCGCACCTGAAAAATCGACTCTCTTCCACAGAGCACCGAGTCCGCCCTCGGAAGAAATCCCGCGATGCTGGTTCTTGAGAACAATGTACCCGGCAACAAACGCAAAGATGGACAAGGGCACTTGCAGGAGGAAGCACCAGCGCCAGCCAATGTAGTCGGCGACGGTGCCGCCAAAGGAAGCGCCGCAGATTGCGCCGAAGCCGTTGATTCCGTTTTGGAGAGCTTGATACATGCCTCTTTTTTTAAACGGTATCATGTCTGAGTTGATTATGGTGGCTATTACGAACGTCAGTACGCAAGAGAAATATAGAACAATCGATCCGCCTCACCCATGGTCATAAGTCCCGCTCCACCAACACCAGTGACGGCTCTCATGCAATTCAACGCAACAATACTTTTCGCCATTCCGCAGCCAAGACATCCCAATGCAAAGACAGTCGTACAGATGAAGAAACAAGCTCGCCGGCCGAAAATGTCCGACACTCGTCCATACAGCGGCTGGAACGCGGCGGAAGTGACGAGATACGACGTCGTTAACCAGGAGGCGCTATTGGCAGCATCAAACTCGGAGCTGATGACGGCGTACGTGGAGGCCGTAATGGTGCTGTCGAAGCCGTAGAGGAAGACATTTGTCATGATGGCCAGCTGGATGGAGAAGAAGCCGGGCGGGGGAGACCAGGATTCATCTGGGGCGGAGAGGAGAGGCGTATCTTCTTGGGCTGGAGGGAGTTGGCGTTCGATGTCATCGGCTTGGGGTTGAGTTGAGGCTGGTGGAGATTTTGATATAGGCGGCGGTGTGAATGGTTGTGTTGATGAAGCCATAGCGAGAAGCGATGCCGTTTACCGTGAATGAATTGAAAGCAGCCTTTTTCACAATACGTTTGAAAAGAAAAGAAGATGGGGAAGAAGTAAGTTATAAAAGCCTGCTTTATTCTTACGGCAGCGATATATGTAAGTCGCAACCTCAAATCACATAATTGCCATCCAACCAACCCCCGACGTGGATCTCTGCCGTGCACCCACCCGCACCAAGCGCATTGCACCATCGGCTTCAGGCGGTTCGTGATCCGGCACCCCTGCAGCACATCCGGGCTGGCTTATTCTCATTAACTAAATAGTTTGAAAAAAAAAAAATCAGAAAGATGTAGGTGGCTAAAGATCGGCAAGTGAGTCAGGCCGATGAGCCGCTGGTTCGGATGTCGTCTTATTGCTACGTCGAGGTAATCTCACTTATGCACGGCTATATTTAGTGGCGAGCACGCAATGAGTGCTCAACGATTTGAATCGCAGACTCTTCAACATTTAGTGGTATTCTCGGCTGTCTGTACAACTCACACTCCGTCATAGAGCAAACGAAACCCCTCAGATAGGCTTGACCATCGCCATGAAGCAGAGCCATCTGTGCAAGACATCACAGTCTTACACCTCCTGTGAAACTCACTCCCAACGCCACCCACTCAACCGCAGCAAACACTTAGTCAGAAAATAAAATGTCAATTCTCACGCATTACATCATCGCATGCTGGTACTCCGTATCTCAGATTCATTCATTTCTTCGCATCGGCCGCCATTCCGCGCTGCACCCAGTTCCTCGTCGACTCCGCCTTCTTGTCCATCTCCTCAGGGCTCAGTTTGGCCAGCTCAAACGCAGTGTGTGGCTTAGGCACGTGTCGACCCTTTTCAAAGCCCGGTCGCTCGAGGAGCGTGTGCAGCCACTTGTCCAGGTGAGGGAACTCGTCCAGCGAGACACCGGCCCAGGCTACGTGCATCCCAATTAGCGCCGATGAAACAAACCAAAGATATGAGATTGAGTTTAATAAAGGTGGAAACTTACCGTGAGAAGCAACCCATCCCCAGGAGGAAATGTCGGCAATTGTGACGCGGTCGCCGACGAGGAAGCCGGAGGTGGACTTGGACAGCTGGGTGTCCAGGACGGAGTAGAGGCGGCGAGTCTCATTGGTGTAGCGGTTGATGCCGTACTGGATCTTCTCAGGGGCATATCCTACAATTTCCCTGTCAGTAACTCTAATGATGCTCGTAGTGTTGTGAAACTCACGGTTAAAGTGGTGTGCCTGTCCCTGCATAGGACCCAAGCCACCCATCTGGAAGTGAAGCTACAGCAATAACAGTCAGTCCCGACAATAACCTCAAATATAACAACTAGAACTCACCCAGCTGTTCACCTCCCAGGTCTCCTTGGAGTCATTGGGATACGAAACCTTGTGGTCCTTGTCATAGCGGTCCACGAGATACTGCAGGATGGCACCGCTCTCAAAGATGCGAATGTCCGATCCGTCGGCCCACTTGTCAGTGATGGCGGGCATACGGCCATTGGGGTTGATCTCCAGGAACCAAGGCTCCTTCTGCTTATTGGTGCTCATGTCGATGGCATGGACCTGGAATAGCCTATTAGTTACCAACGATTGAGGGGTGAGACGTTGTACCAAGTATTATTACCTTGTAGTCAAGGCCCAGCTCCTCGAGCAGGATGGAAACCTTGATGCCATTGGGCGTGGCAACCGTGTAGAGCGTAATATCAGTAGGGATACCCATCTTGTTGATCAATTGCCGTCCTAGCTGTAATATGCGAGCAGACATGCACTTTGCCAAGAGTCGAGAGAGGAAGCTGCCCCGGCGGATAGCGGCTATGAGTACCTTCGCGCGCCACCCCGATTTCTGGTGACGATTTATTCCCTTGTAAGCCGGTGTGAAAAGCTTTCGTCTCCTAAATAAGCCTTTTAGAGGCCTGAAAAGTCTTACCAGAGCAGTGACCAGAGGAAATTCCTTTTGGAAATCGTCACCAGAAAACAGCTTGGCGCGCGAAGGTACCTATAGTTATAGGGCCGTATTAAAATGTATACCTCCTGGATTAGAAAGTATACCTTAAAAGTGGGGCTTGTAACGACAAGTACCGCAGTTGGAAGTTACAGCGCCGTCCTGCTATAATATAGCGCGTATTTGCTTATGTAATTATAAATTACAGCACTCTTCTACTATAATATAGCGTTATTCTATTATAATATAGCGCTCTTTTATAATAATACAGTGCTTTTCTACAATAATATAGCGCTCTTTAACTAAAATACAGCACTATTTTTACTTATATAGGTAAAAATTATAGTGTTCTTTTACTATCTGATAATATAATATAGGCTATGCTATTTATTATAGTGTACTTTAGGGTTATAGTTAGGTAGGTAGGTACGTTAGTAAAATGAAATACTTTACAGTACATAGCTGATTTTTATAGGTTAAGGTGGGTGCTGTATATACTAACCATAAGTGGTAACTAGCCCCGGTTTATGTATGCTTTCTAATCCAGGAGGTATACTTTTTAATACGTCCCCAGTTATATACACGTATATCTCCTATATTTTCCGATCCAGTCGAACTAGACGAGAGCAATTAATAAGGTATTATGCTCGCAATAAGACGGAGAGATGCCACCCCAAGTTGACCCGAGCCAGATTCTGCCCTCGGTTGCTTAGAAATCCTGCGTTGAGGAGCTTGTATGGCGACCCCACCTCGGAGCCGGATATAGCACCCCAAAAGCGGAGATGTATTGGAATCATCTTTCGTCGTTGGGTCTGGTTTCTGTCGCAAAGAGGAGTGCTGCTGAGAAAGCAGGGAGTTGCTTATGAGATGAGGCGGTTTGTCATGGTGGTGATGTTTTGACGAGCGGGAGGAGTATAGTAGGCCTATTGCGCAAGGGCTTGCTTTTACTATACGCTTCCCGCACCCGTCGTCTTACTTTACCGTATACCTACATGTACGCAGGAATAGCAATCGGTCGTAATACGAAGCAATGCGCATTTCTAATCGCAGCCGCAATATATTTTCCTATAACTAAATGTACGCAAGTCCAACGTTGCGACATCATGTGTTGCGATGTCGTGATACGCGTATGGTGTTTGGTGTTCGGATATCTCAGCGGCAGTTGAAGTAGGTACAAGAAAAGAACTACCTGTATATACCTCACACCCACGAGTCATGTTGGAACATTCAACTCCGGAACACTCTCCAAACAAGAGAGACATAAGACTATCTTGAACTACATAGTATCTAACCAAACTCACCAGTATACTCTCACTCGTACAAGTTCACCAAAATGGCAAAACTTCCCTCGGATCTACCCGAAACTCACAAAACAGCCAACCCAAATAAAGTTGGACGCCACAAACCTCCATACAATTGTCGATTACTACGCAAAAATCTATTTCTCCACGGTTAATTCTGCAACAAGCTTAAAACAAACGAGAAAAAGTAATCATGGATGAATAAGTAGAGTGGACACAGTAAGCAGTAAATCTTTTCTTAACCTCCCATCTCCAATCTTCATAGCTTGAACTAGTAGACAAGTCGCATATACGGAGTACAGAGGGCACAGGACTCTCACCAACCGCATCATGTCACAATCTCACCACCGTTCAAAATCATCGTCGTATTCACTACACAAGCTCGGACCGTGATACCTTCGCCACACAAGTGCCGCTGTGGGACGGTCTTGTGATGCGCGAGGGGTAACGTGGTGTTCATTCAGACAATCACACACATATCCAAGAAAGGCAAACTAGATTGTTCCATTCTTATGTTCATATTCATATTCAAATTTCTGCCCATGTTTGCAGATTGCTAGCTACAGATCTGTCTCCATCTCAAAAGTTTCCAGTGCGAAAACCCCTCAAAAAGAAAGAAAAACATACAATCCTTGGCCAGTAAAATGACGTAGAAACACCGACAGCTAAGTCATCAAGTCATGCCGCGTCCCTGCGCGCAGTCGTCGCGGCTCTATCCAAATGCTTTGGTAGCTCTCCACTCTCCGCCGCTATTCAATCTCTTCTCCAAATCGTGCCCATGTCTATAAAAGAGCGAATGGTATCCCTGGGCTTGTCATAACAGTGTAGTCCTCCAGAAAACGCCTTGTGGCACACTTCAAAGGGACTGGGTCCCAGCTTCATGTGCGCATGCAGATCAAACAAATCTCCCTCTCCACGCCCAGGTACAAAGAGTGAAGCTTCACTTCCAGTATCCTCGAGCATCCAATCTCAGCAATTGCGGGAAATATAGAAACGTCATTCTTCCAAATATGGAGTCGCAAAAACAAGGAAAAAGGAAAAACAAATTGGTTGCCAACATCTGGCATACACGCTTGTAAGTAAAAAGGGGAAAGGCCATCATCCCGTATCATGGAAGCACACCAGTGCACTCCGCGTAATTGTGGTAGTCATAGATAGATCATCTCATCTCGTCGTATAGTGAAACCAGGACTAGAAACAGAAAAGAAAAACGAAGGATGATTTCTGAAATAGATTGCAAAAAAAAAAAAAAAAAAAAAAAAAGGAATAGTTGCATGTAAACAGTTCTGTTAATAATAAAATTCAGGGAATTGCCAGGACCAGGACCCCTGTGTGTGGGTTTTGTTTTCATAAAGATATCGCTCAGCTAAAACCGAGAAGAGGTCGAGAACAGGGAGGAACAGTAAAAGAAATATGAAATGAAGTATAAGAATGGAAGTCCAACGCCGTCATGCATAAGTATATTCTTCACGTGGCTTCTGGCTGTGGTAGTGGGTGTACTGGACGTCGTCGTATCCGTAGGCCTTGGACGTCTTGACCTTGGCAAAATGAGCAGATCCTGCAGAGGTGGAATAGCTGCTGTCACGGACCGGCATCGAAGGCCGGCCGTCGTTGTGGCCAGAAGAGTAATAGGCATATCGATCCGGCTCTGGGTCAGCGCGACGGCTATAGGACGCCTGTCGGTTGCTCTCATATCCAGGGTATCGAGAAGTCTCGCCATACCCTTGGTCGACGGACTGCTCCCTCCTGCTGGTGCGGTGCCTGCGATCTCTGGCGGCCCGTTGCCCATGAACTTCGTCTGAATCGATTTCTTCCTCGTCAATTTGCGACTGGTAGCGCGTACGATTCCGTCCGCGAGGGTCGGTTCCTTCTCCAAAGTTGTTGTAGGTTTGGGAGCGGGTGATGGGCACAGCTCGTGGGTAGCTTGCTGTATCGGCAGGCATGGTGTTGTTTCGGGACAAGTGAGGGGGCGAGCCGGACATGGCGGGGTGAGCGGCATGGCGGCTGTTGGGGGAGGCGCTCATGACGACAGGTTCAGTGAGGGGCTCCCTGGACGACTTGCTATACCTATCTCTCGGGCGGTTGCTCTCCGTTGAGCCACGACGAGGTCGCGCAGATGAGCGACGAACATCATCCTCGTCGGGGACAGGAAACACAGATGCCTGGTTAGGAGCGGGTGGGGGAGTGGGAGCTGCAGGAGGCTGCGTCATCCGCGGCGCATAAGTCATAGATCGCTTAAGACCACCGGGGGCAGCGGCACCCTCCTTGGCTCGAGCCGCCTCGATGTAAGAGGCGGCATCCTTGAGCTTACTATGTGTATCTTCCCAAGAAGATGATGGTTCTGGGGCGGCCGGGACAGTTCGTGGAGACTCCACGTACTTGCTGGTCGCATACTCTGAAAAAGAGCGGACTGCTGGGGCCGGGGGAGACACGATGTGAATGTCTTCGCGTTGAGAAGAGCGATCACGATCCCGCTTATCCTCGTACTTCTTGCTCGACTTCTTCTTGTCAGCTTTAAGAGTGGGAGCGGGGGCATCATCGCTGTAGTCATCAACAACGTAGGCCGAAGGTTTGGCGTGCTTCTTCTTTTCTTCGGACTCGCGCTTGATATCCTTGTCGCGCTGCTTCTCCTTGGTTCTCTTATCTCGGCGGGCCTCCTTGGCCTCCTTGGCCTCCTTCTCGCGACGAGCTTGATCTTCCTTGTCCTTCTTTCGGCGTTCCCGGTCCTTTTCCTTTTCCTTTTCCCTGGCGGCTTCGCGATCTCGCTCGGTCTCACGCTTGGAGCGGCTGTCGACGTAGGTTGTTTGTCTTGTGCGAGATGAGCCAGTCTGGTACACTGGAGGTCTGAAGGTCACATCATCTTCAAAAGATCGCGGGTACGAGTATCCTTTGCCCGCGGGTGGGGGTACATTGGTGGCCGGCTTGTAAGACGAGGCGCGAGGCTCGGCAGTGCGAATTTCATACTCGGCATACTTTGAATTTGATCGAGGGGTGCCGCTAACATTTGCTTTGCGCAGCTGTTCCTTCAACTCGGCCAGCTTCACCTGGTCGTCGTATTTCCGGCGTTCTTCCTCATCCGTCAGCAGCTCATAGGCCTGCTGGACTTTCTGAAACTCCTCCTGTTTCTGCGCCTTGAGGGCAGGGTCTTGCACCTTGTCGGGATGGCACTTGAGGACAAGCTTGCGATAGGCCAGACGAATTTCTGCTACTTGCGCATCCTTGGCGACACCGAGAACCTTGTAGTGATCCGGAGCAGGCGTAGAGCTCATGATGGAGGATTGGGGGGGGACGGAAAGCGTTGACGGCGGCGGATGAGGCTATTTCAAGTCTGGCTACAGCAGCTTGATAAAGGCAGTTTGCATCGAATCGCGAGTAACGGCGATTGAGGCTGCTGTGAGGTCCTCAACGTCTGCTGAACGCAGCTGCGCAGGTAGTTGAGGTGTAAAAAAAAAAATATGGCCTGAGGGGGGGCGAGTTGTGAGTCTGTGGTATTCTGCTCTTGTATAGGCGGAAGGCGGCGAATAACAAAAGGCCAGACGCCGCAATGGAATGCCAGCCGCCGCTGATTTAAAAAGGAATGACAGCTTTCCAAAGACCAATGCTAAATCAGAAGGAAAGTGAAAGGAAATCAGACGAGCGACGGGGTAAAACCGGGAGGCAGATGGTGGACAGATGCAACGAAGCACACACGGCTTGCAGAGGAATCAAGATCTGGCTGGGCCAGGTCCCTTTTTGGATTTCTTGCGGCCTGGAGGGGAACCGCTGTACCTTGTACCTGAAGGCGAGCAAAGTCGTGAGGTCACGGGCCTGAGGAGCGCTGCACGCGGTGATTCGTTATGGGCGGGAAAAAATGGGCCAGGGGGGGAGGAGCTGCTGTGGGAGTGGGAGGGACGAGAGGGCCGAGCACGTTGGCATGTAGCGAGTACAAGTAGCGGTACAGGGACGGGTACAGGTACAGGTACAGGCCAGGACGAGACGCTAGCGGGCGAGGGAAAAAGGAGGGGGCGAGTCAAGCGGCCTTTTTTGGTGCCTCAACTAGCCCAAGCAGGATCCGTAGTGCTAGCCGTCGACGAACGCTTGGCCTGAGGGAGAAGGGTGAGGGTGGAGGAGTGGGCTGTGGGCTGTGGATGGTGAGATGTCGAGAGTCTGGCTGTCTTGGTCTGGTGGCGGGAAGCGGGAGAACGAGACGAGAGGAGACGACGACGAGGTGGGTTTAAAGGCGGCGAAAGAGCTGTGGCTGAGGCCGAGGAAGCGTTGACGACGACTCGAGCGATGAAGGACGAATGCCGAGCTGGTTAGCTAATTGATGACGGCGGAATTGGCGAGAAATTTGATCGCAAATGCCATGAATGCGAGCAACGGCCAGATACAGCAGATGCGGATTCCGGCGTCCTCGGTTTCGGAGAAGGCGAGAGAAGAAGCTGGACGCACGGGATTGGTGGAGTGCGTGCGCCAGTGAATGCGTCAGCCAAAAGGTTGCGAGCGCGTGACAAAGCCAAGCAAGACAGACAGACAGACAGACAGCCGGCGGATGAGTGAGCAAAGCAGTTGAGTAAGTGAGGATGAGTGATGAATGAGCTGGTTTGTTCTGGCAGTCTCTGGCAGTCTCTTTTCTTTTCTCTTTCTTTTTCTCGTCAATGTACTCGTAGTAATAATGCAAGTAAGTACAGAGTACAGTACATGCAAAACACACTGTTCCTCAAATTCGTGAGCAATGCGCGACAAATGGCACGGACGGATCAGCAAGGCCCGGCCGGTACTTTATGCTCTAAACCAAAGGGGACAAAAAAGACGCGGGCGGTACCAGGTCGTGAGACGAAACGAGGGGGCGACTTGCGCAGGTGCTCCTATCGGCTGATGTACACTCCGAGTAGCGGACGGGCCCAACGGAGCTTGCCAAACGGTACAGTGCCGTCTGTATCTGCTGTATCTGAAGACCGAGGGTGCAAGGGCCAAGACACAATGACGATGACTGGGTATGCGGATGACGACGGACGAGTGAGCAATTCCTCGTCTTATAGCGGATGAGTCAATTGCTGGACCGGCCAGGGTAAATGAAGCAGAGAGCGAGAGGCAAGCAAGGCTGATGAATTAATTGGCGTCGAACGCTCTGATTCCAATTGCGCTGTGAGATGATGACAGATGAATGCTGGCGTGGCTGGGCGCAGGCAGCTGTGAATCGCTGTAGCGTGCGCTGTAGTGGCAACGGCTCCAGGCGCTTATAGGAGCCGCGTGTAAATGCGGATATCGCAGCAGGTAGATCAATTCGACAAGGCAGACGAGATGCGGCCAGGCAGAAACGTAGGCAAAAAGAAAATGTAACTGAAGAAAAAAAAAAATCAAGGAATCAGCGTAATGACACAGACGACGGTTTCAATGTCAACAGTCGAAAGACGATCTCTTGCGATTGACCCGGCGACGGAATACTGGCGGTGAAGGTTTGAGACGGTGCTAGCAATGGGTGTAAGTCGTCTGGATCTCAAAGACCCTCGAAGCTATTATTGGATGCAAGTAATGGCTTCCTCCCTAGTCAGCGGAGCAGAGCAGGGCTTCCAAATCCCCACCGCAGCTATCGATGGAAGGGAAGAAAAGACTAGAATGAAAGAAAGCAATTGATTAGGAATAGTGAGAGGGAGCCCGAGAACGAGCGAGCAAGCAGAGAGTGAGATTGTGGAGTTTTGATTGAGAGACGAGATGCAACGGCGGGCTGCAGCAAGAGACGGCACAAGCATCTCCCAAACGAGATACAGCCGATGGATGTATGTATGTATGTATGTATGGTGCGAGATTGAGTCGTCTCAACTGTTGCCCGCTTGCCGCGTGCAGGCCGCGAATAGTTGGTTGGACAGGCCAGCGGGAGGCTCGCAAACCATTCATGCGAGCCCGTGTGGAGGTTATTATAAGTTGAGGCCCGGGCAATCAGAGATGGATGACCAGATACGGATGAAAGGACGCGCAGCTCCATCGCGATCTACTACTACTACAGGTGCTGCACAAGAAGACAGCTGCTGCTAGCTCGAGGTAGCCTCAGGTACTCGTGCGGAGGCCAGAGTATCGCGGCGAGCCTCGATATCAGCATCAGCATCACCACCAGCACTAGAGCAGTTTGGGAGCATCACCATCACCAACCTGTCGCGCTCCAGTCACGAGAGGCCAGGCCTGCCACTCGGCTACCTCCCCTTGCCTTGGCTCAACGTCATTCGCTGTGCGCAATCACATCGCATGAGCGTCTGTCCCCCGGATGCCCCGAATCTCGTCGACCTGCGTCTGGCCCTCACCAATGAAGTGGCGGCTCCGCGCCCTCTCTGCCTCCCTCCTCGCTCCATCCTTGCCAACTAGCAGCAAGTCAGCAGCATATGCGAGGCACCGTCTCCCAAGATGCGTCCGGAACAGGTACGAGCACGCCAAAGCGTGAGCGCGTCCCTGACTTGGACTGGGGGGGCGCCTTTGCCTTTACGAGGTCGCGAACAAAACAGACGGGACGAGATGCAAACAATGGCTGGGCCCCTGCTGTCGCTCTGGGCGACGATTCTCGAATGCTGCCTCGGATCAATCCCCAGCTGCAACGGGCTGATGACCCGCACACAGACTGGAGGTTTTATCTATAGGTCGTCTTATTCTGTCCCCCGCTTTGGGGGAGCATAGGCTACATGTACCGTACATGTACGAGGACCGTATGTATACATGCATGTATTCGTACATATACGCATGCATGTATCATGTATGGATGGATGCCGTTGAACCAGGGAGCAACAGTCCAGAAGCTGCATGATGGGACATGCAACCGATGCACGGAGCAGAGCAGAGACGCTCCTTGCTTCCCAGGCATGCGAGGATTCATGTACTCCGTAATGTACGACGCACTGAAGCACTGTAGCCCGCATCACGAGCCACCATTCATGACCAGCTCCATGGGGTAGGATAAGGCAACATGGAAAGGTAAGATCATGTCTGTATCGCATTGATTGATGGATGGACGCGTACCTGTACCTGCTGCTCCGCGCCCTGTCCCGCGGCAGGCTCGTGTATTCGATACACGCTCCCGCGGTCCGGCCCCTTGACGTCCAGCCTCCAGCCAGTACCGCATCCATACGAGTATCGCCGACAGGCTGCCCGGCTGCGCTTCTGGCCTGCGGCTTGCATGAGGCCGCGAGTCGCAATTCGTTGCCGCCAGCGTCACTGCATGACACCATCTGGGGCTCCTTTTTTTTCCCTCTTCCACCACCAAGGCATCACCTATCACGCAGACAGGCGCGCCTCACTCTCCCTTGCCCATGTCGCCAGCGCTGCCCCCCACACCCATTCGCTCGTCCATTCGAGGGCTGCAAGTGCCAGCGTGGAGAAAGACTTGAACACTCAGGCAGGAGGATGGAGGGGGGAGGAGACACGCTAGGACGGCGCTGTGGGCTTCTGGTTGGCAGAAAAGGGAATCTAAACAACATGCCACTTAGCCCGTCAAACCACCACTAGATCCAGGAACAGGTGTCGTCGACTCAGGCGGGCCAGCGAGGCTGTGGGCAAAGCCATGAGGTCTGGGGTGATTGGCCAGGGCCGGCCTGTCAGATGAGACGGCAAAAGCAAGAGGGCCCTTCCAAGCGATTCCATTCGACGCCGTCGATGCGCCAACCAGGTGACGACGGCCGGCCCCAGTGAAAAAGCCGGTGCCAGAGGCCCAAGCCACGCTCTCCTGACTGGACCATGGCAGCCACTTTGGAGCAAGCCCGTCACCTTGTCGCCAAGTACGAGTACTTGTACATGCTACGAGTCGTACCGTCCTGAGCTGAGCTGAGCTGGGCTGGGTCTGTCCCTCTCTCTCTCTCCACCGGCGGAGAGGCTCAACCATTGCCACCGCTGCTACTGTACGAACCAATCCGCTCAGCAACGCCTCAGGATGGAAGCTACGGGGAGCCGTCAGGATCTAGACGGTCCGCCGGCGGGAAGCTGGTCAGCAGAAGCGGGCAACTCCAGCGGACGGAAGCTGAACGTGACCTGAAAAAGCGCTGGAGCCAGAAACGATGAAAAGCTCTGGCTAGCACGCCAAAAGTGACGGACCACTCACAGAGGCAAACGGCACGGGTAACGGTGCGGTGCGAGCGGAGCGTTTCCACATGGTTTGCGTGGGCTTGGAGAGGATGATGCCGCGAGACACTCTTCGACGGCGCCACTTACATACCTTGTCGAATGCTCGTACAGTACGGAGTCTCATGGAGACGGAGGAGTTGCAAGGGACGGACCAGGGCGAGATGCTAAATGCAGCATCGAATCTTCTCCCCCCAGCAGCCGTCTGCGTGACAGGGCAAAAGCCGATGGAAGAAGCCCAGAAGAGCCCCATATCGCATGAAGAAGCCCGTACCGGAACAGGCCCATGAGCGGATGATCCGCTGGCGGCCGTCTCTTAGCCCGTCGCTCAGACTAGAGCTAGACGGAGAGCACTATCACGAAGCCAAAAAGGTACTTGTGGTGCGCGCTTTTCGACGTGCTAAGCTCCATGTACCCTCTCTCAACTACTGCTATCGCGGCAAGGGAAAACTTAGTACTAAAGGACGTTGAGCAAGGGTATCTATTTTATCTTTTTTTTTTCGAGCTCATGTGAGAATGAGTTGAAGCTCCGCGCGCTTGGCTCGTTAGCTGAGTCTAGTTTGGGCGCTATTGCTACGAGCACTCGTGTTGAATCACAGAGCCTAGGCCCAATTCTTGGCTGAAGATGTTCCTTTGAGGGGAGCTTCGTGCAAGGGTAGCTTGGGGAGCTATCGATCGACGTGAGCTACAAGCTGTTTGGAGGGGAAAGTCAGTTGACGGTGCTGCGCCCAGGAGAGCTGATGCCGTAGCCCGTTCTTGACTGCGACTCGTCTGCGTCATCATCGTGATCATCCATCAAGCTATATTTAATCGTAGATGCAACAACAAGGCGGGAACAAGGCCAAGCGGCTCAGAAGATGTGAGCTATTAATCAAGCACATCATATCACAGCACCCCATCCCACTTACCGTATCCAAACATAAGTCCCCTGTTGGATCGCATCTGACTTTCTTCCTCGTTCTTGGAACGCGAGGAATCCAGGTCCTGTGACTGGCCACGTGGAGAACGAGAGCCGGCTTTTGCCACTGTGGGAAATGTCTTGTTTTTTACTCTTTCGAGATGGGAGGCCATGTGGTTGACCGAAGCCAAAAGCCGCACCGTTTTTTTTTCTCTTGGTGCGAGCTATATGCCGGGCGCTTGCTGCCGCGGTGTCATTGGGCGCCAGCGGCGAACAGAGATCGAAACAGCGCCCCCGGGCTGGGGAGACGAATTATCGTCTGACTGCTGATCTTGGAGGTTGTTCGTTTTACTGCTTGATTTGGGATGGGCGATGCTACGCCAAACGGAGGATTTTGGGTGCCGTTGGGAGCCCAGAATTCGTTGGACTTTTGGTGAGCATCACACGGCGTGTTGGGTCACTAACAATTTTGATGACTAGATATGAGTGAGAGGGGGGAAAAAACGTGCTTTAAGCTTGCATTCCACGTTTCACGACCGGACTGGCCGGGGAAGATGATGGAGGTGCGGTTATATCACAAAAGAAGAGTGAATCTAGACATGACGTTTTTCAGCCGTAAGATGGGAAAGATGGATGGAAGGAATTTCACCAATGATGATGGAGGCTGTCTCGAGCTCGTGATGGGAAACGCGGCGGCTCAGCCTCTTCTTCTACTGCTTCTCTTCTTTTTTTTCCTTGATTCTGCAGTCCCGATTGTTCCGCAAATCCGGCTGCGGCAGACCAGGCACACACCCATTTGCCCTTATCGAAGCCTCGTTGTACTGTATTTTGCTCTTCATGGAGTGTGTGATGATGCTTGACTGCTATTGGCATAGGGGCGCCAACCGCGGACAGAAAGAAGCACGTCAACGAGCAAAAGTCTTCCCGCTGTCATCTATCATATTTTTCTCCTTCTTCCTTATCCCTCTGCTAAATGCTTCCCAAGATTGACTCACTGAAATATTTTTTTTATTGATCAAGTCCTGGTCCCTTTGATAGGACAAATTCCTCTCCAGTCCCCATACCAAAAACCCGCAAAGCCCATTCAAAAACGCTCATGCCCATTCCACACATGCATGCACCAATAAAACCGACGCAGCATAAAAAAAAAGCAGCAGCTTAAAGGTGCTACAGTAGTAGTTCTTTCGCCCAATGACATCGTCCCGCGAATAAGAAGCGTGGCGGTGAGCACATACATGTCATGTCCACGAGACAAAGCATCCACACACACACGCAGGACAACCCACGCTTCCCTCTTTCTTTTCGTGCGGCTTCCTGGGCAACCTGACCAAACAAAACACTGCGTTGGGATGGGCTAGCGTGTGGTAGAGCATGCCTCAAGCGAGTTCTTGTCTTTTGCTGCTATACGGAGTACCGAGGATGGATTTTATTCGTTGAAATTCCAGGGATCCAATGAGTCTTTGTCTCTGGCTTCCCATCTCCACACAGACACTGAAAGCTTCGAAGCTTCATCAAAAACAGCTTATGCTACCCTACACCTCTTCTCATCGAAGCAGTAAAAAGAAAAAGCACACCTCTCACAAACCCAGCAAATCAATCATCTGAGTCCAGCCACCCCCAGCACAGCACACCGTCCCAAGTCCAAGTCCTCAGAATCCAATCCCCTAAAAAGAGGCGCCGCCACAATGCACTCCCCGCCTCCCAATCAGCTCCCCAAAAAGCTCGCAGCATCCCTCTCTATCTGCCTTGTAAGCCTACGAAAACGAAGCCGCTCAAAGCAAGGGGCCGGGGAAAATAGACGCCCATGCCCGCATACATTACATTACATTAGTATTGTTCCGATGATCGGAAACCCTTTTCAATGAGGGGAAAGCTTTCAAGACAGTCAATTCATTTACCCCAGGAAATCCGATATCAAGCCGTCTCATTGGATGGGAGCCAGGACAGACCGGAAACAAGACACCCCCAGCCCAGCCGCCGGGGGCTCTTAATCCTTGCGCCGAAACTTACACGTAGGCAGACATCTTTCTAAAATATAGTGTAGCAGTTGTTCCTATTTCTTCCTTTTTAGCGTTTAACTAGGCCATGCAATGCGTGTGATGGGCCGTCAAAGGCGCGACGTGACGCAGGGGGTGAGGCCATGTACAGTAGACAGCTCTTCGGAGGATGGAAGAGGAGGGGGAGGAATGCGCTGGCCCTGCGTCGGAGCTACGACGGTTGTGTAGATGGGGGAGGATGTGCTGGCCGATTGCTTATCGCCAATGCAAGTTTGAGGCTGGCTAGCTTCAAGTGCCGGGAGTCTAGATGCTGTTATCGATCATGGGACGGTGTTTATGCCGTTCGTTTCGTCAATGGCTTCTGCACATGGCGAGGTACCGGCAAGTAGATCAGGTACTTGGGGAGTATTTCACGTGGAATTGGTAACATACTGTAGAGCTGCTGTGAATGCTACACGTGCTTGTTGAAGCTTGGTGGTGTCCATGTAAGTGAGTAAGCTACATGTACCTATTACCCCATCATCAGCTTTGACGATCCCAGGCTTGACGCCCTCCCCCTTTTGACATGTGTTTTTGATCATTCAATTTTGCCCCTCTTGCGTTTTTCGTTCTTAATCTTCGAGCGTCAATCTTCGAGCTTTAATCTTCGAGCTTCCATCTTTGAGTCTCAATCTGCGGCCCTCCTCCTTCAAGCTTCATCATCCTCTTGCCACACTGGCAAAAACAAGTCCACCACAATGGGCTTGCTAAACGTCTTGCCATCGGTATGGGGATAGCTGCCCTTCATAATCGCAGCATTCACCACGCACGTCTCCTTGCGGCCGGTTCTCCCCGCCAATGCCTCATAATCGCAATCCTCAGACTCCGGATTGCCCCCATAGCCCACGCCGTCATCGTTGCTGTCGCTGCCGCCTCTCTTTTGGGCAGCGACGCTAGAGCCTTGCTCTGATGATGGACCCGAACATGTCCCCGCGGGTGCCGATGTCGTGGTGGCCGTTTGTTGGTCGTCTTCATAGCTGGGCCGGCCCGGATGTGATCCGTCGTTTGCGAGGGCCGGCAACTTGCCTCCTTTGCCGGTGAGGTCGACCAAGCTGATCTTGTTGTTGTCCGCGCCAGGATCCTCCCATGCCATGGCGGCCCTCTCTGCGTAAGGAGTGGCCTTATTCTTCAAGTCCCAGAGCACTCGCTCCGCCCCTCGTCCATCATGGATATGACCGCAGACCGCTAACTTAGGTCTGACTCTCCAGAGGGCCTGTCGCAGAGCCTCACAACCAGCAGATCGTTGCCCGTCTGGCTGATCGCAGTGCGTACGTGGCGGCGTGTGTGTCACCACAATGTCCGTCTCGAGCGGGATGAGCTCCCACAAGGAGGTGAGATCAGCACTGCTATCGTCGGGGGCTTCTGGGGCTTCATAGTAGAAAGCCCATAGTCCGTTGCGAGGAGAGTATGGGGAGCCAAAGATGGTAAACTCAGTATGCGGCCCCGTGGGTGACTTTAGACGGATCGTTGCCGAGTCGTGACACAGGTACGTGAGAGAGGGCGACGAAGTGAGCAGGTTGATGCAATCTGCCGGATTCTGCTTGATCTTGTTATGGAAGTGGTCGCCGTGATGGAAGTAAAAGTCTTCATCCAAGGTGACATCGTGGTTGCCTAATTCATCGTCAGCATCGAACGGTTTTTCAAAAGCCCAACCAGAAGAGCCATCACTTACCTGCAACGATAATCTTGGCTTCAAAATCAGCCTCTTCGAGCCACTTTACTGCCCTCGAGAGCTTCACGATTTCACATATTGCTGGTTAGCCACTGCACAGAAGCGTGTGACGTCAAGGGCGGCAGGATGCAACATCCTGCCAAGCACCCGCCCAAAATTCAAAGTGAGGGACAGCTTACCTCTGAGATGCTCCCCTTGTTGGTGAGGTCTCCGGCATGGATCAAAACATCGCCGGCTGGAAGCTTGATGCTGCAGTTGTGGGTGTCGGAGACACAGACAATCCGTGTCTTGCGCAGCTTTGGGGTCGCCATGGAGTTGATGGTTTGTTGGAGCAATTGGCTGCTATTCTATAAAGTCACCCGAGAATTTGAAAGAAACAGGCCGGCTCTGGTATGCCCGTAAAACAATGATTCTCCAGCTGCAGCAGACGTGATGAGATGAGTTTATATGCTTCCCCCGGGAAATTATGTGTCGTCCCAAAAGGAAGGGTATTGACTTCCAGGGCCGTTGATTCGGTGAGCTAACCTTCCAACTTTGTACCACAGCATATAAGCCGTGGCTGTTGATTGGCTGCCGGGCTGGCTTGTGTAGCTCCATCTACACCGATGCTCTCGTACATGTAATTGGTATGCAGGTATGGCCTTGGAATTGTTTGCTTGAGATGTCATTTTCACCACCTCAGCCCGCCAAATCCCGCCAGCCCTGTCCAAAAATAGGCTCGGGATTCTGTCTGTGCAGGCGATGAGGTCATTCTCCCCGTGTATTACCTCTGCCAATTTCTCGTGTATGTAGCCCGAGATTAAGCCTATGCTGTCCTCCCCCGTGAGTTCGAGGAAGCATCTAGAGACACGAGATACTCGCATGTACAGACACTGCTCTTTTGGTCCATCCAAACTCAGCAGTCAAGGCTCCGATTGACATGACTCGATTGAGTTTCGGAATACCTGCACTCCGCGTCGGTACAGGACGACATGTTCCGGCGAGGATTGGAATCCTTGATACATTGTATCAAGTGAGCCAGCCACTCTGCACGGCCATCACACTGGTTTTCAGCTTCACCGTCCGTGTGCTCGCTATGCACCTATGTCCCGTCTTCCCCGTCCACCGCGTGCCTGCGGTGATGTGTTTGGAGCAATATTCCCCACCGGTGGCTGAAAAACCGGTGTCAGGGAACACCAGCCGTCGAATCAAGGTCGACGACGCTGGACAATTGGGAGAAACCTTGCCAGCTGGTGTTGACGATGGTCACAATCACCATGCCGTTCGACTGAGCACGCTGACGTACAAGTGCGAGTACAGCCATGTCGCCCGTGGGTGTTCAATGGCACACGTATACTCCTTTTGGTATAGAGATCCTTACAACTTGCGACCGTCTTCATGTCGCCTCGTTGATGTGAATCCCTTCTGCTGTAGTTGCATCGTCAGCAGATGCTACACGCACATGGAGAGTAGCAACGCAGACCAGAACAACAAGAGAATCGAGCACGAGCATTCGATGCTTACCACATGTAACAGATCGGCAGTCGCACAGACGTGTGTCTTGCACATGTATCGTATCAGAAGGCACTCTTTTCGTTTCCCGCTCGCTAGGGCTAGCACAATTTGTTGTTTGCAGCCTCTTTTCTCATCTCGTCAGGCTAAACGAGTAGGGCAGTGAAGATGGCAAAAGACGTAAGCAGCTGTGAGTTCAAGGTCTTTGCCATGTTCCCCAAGCCCCTTTTCGTCAAATGTTTGCTCGGCACTGTATAGTGCAATGGAGCAACTGTCGAAATATGCAACTCGACAGCGAAGCGCAATGATTCTCCCATGTAAGACATGATGAGACTGAGGTGGAAAACCATGGAACCCTCACGCATCTAAATCTGACGGTACATGCCCATGCCACCACCGGATGTGCTCCCCTATCTTGTTGCCTCATTTGTGAGCTGTCCGTCTTTGCTCACGTCCCAGGAGGAGAAGGTCCTTGCAAGTTGCAACTCAACCAGCCGGAAACCCTCGTCCAGAAACAGCACATGTACCGATACGCAGACACAAGAGCTTCTAGCCAGTGCTGGTAGTATCAGCTACCTCGCAGGTGCGCCCATGTAAGCACAGCCATGCACGTATGTTTGAGTATTCCCTGGTTGCAGGTGACCATGGTATGGCCGGGGTTGACCTGGTCGTCTGGGGCAATACGGTAGCCGCCGCATGTACGTACTTGGACATGCAGGCCTGGGCTGATGCTTCCACTTTAGCAGGTGCCGGGGAAAGCGGTGCGATGCATCTACGACTCTACTGGTGACTCTAGTATTGGTGAATGGAATTTGATGGCTGTGATGGTGATGAATCGAGGCACGTTGATGTGATTGGGACTTGGAGTACGAGGTTGTCATGTCGTGAAATGACACCAGCTGCTGCTACAGGTACATACGGGTGCTGCTCATGGCCAACGCCGCTCCAGTAACGAGAGGCCCAGCAGGGGTCCATGCCCACTGGAAACAGGCGACAGGGCCCTGTAGCCACCTTATGGGGGGCCCAGCCCAGCCATTTTGATGATGACTGGACGGTGACTATGTGGACTTACACCAACAAATCCATCCTCCTCTACCAGCTTCAAACACATGACTGAGCCGGGAAGAACAAGGTTTGGATAAAGCGCAAGGAATAAAAGTAGTAAAAAGTAGTAAAAAGTAAGTAACCCCCACTGCCAAAACCTTCTGCATCATGGTAATCAAAGACAGTCGACGGCAATCACCTTAGAGTTCCACTGATTATATCAACCCATGTCGCCAAATAGCCCGAATCGACCTGGCGCCTCCTGGTAAATGAGCGGGTGGGCCACAGGCCTGGGCGAGCCCCAAGCCAACAGCGGGTGAGTCGCTCCAAAGCGCGGCCAAGCCGGGTTTTGCAGCAGGAAAATCCTGGAACGCATTGAAAGACGGCCATGATCAAATTTGCCTGGGCGACCTGGAGCGAGTAGCGAGTACTCGTACTGTACAGTATTGTACCCGTTGTTGATACTTGCGCCGCCGAGCAGACCGAGGTACCGGTACAGCGCCGCAAGGCCTCAATTCACACTTCATCACGGCACTGCGTCCCCTTTAGCAGCACCGCCCGTAGCGCACCTCGCTAGCCATTAGCTGCTCGCCGCCAGCCAACCACGCAACCGCATCGCCAACTTGTGCCTCTAGCTCGCCTTCTCCCCCTTCTCCGAGATTACTTGTACATACCTTACTTACCTCGACTGTACTCGTATGTAACTGGGCAGACAATACCAATACCGCAGGCAAGGCACCGTCTCTCGCCATCTTCTTCTCCGGTTGAAGCTCCTGTCATTGTCTGGTCTTTTGCGGCGACTGCGCCAGCCAGCTTGACTGCCATTGCGTTGTCAAGAGAGCTTCTTTCTTCTGGTCGCCCGAGCTTTGACCTCGTTTCCGGTTCCAATCCTTTCACTCGTTTTAGACAAGACCAAAAAAAGAAAAGAAAAAAAAAAAAAGAAAAAAAAAGTACCCCATGTCTCAGGGGATCGCGACAAACCGACTCCACGAGGCTTGGTGAATTTAGTCGACGCGACAATCGACCACTTTGACCGCCACTACCACATTTCAATTTTTTTTCCATTCTCAACTTGTCATTCGATCCAACATTTTTATTCTTGTCCTTTCACATTTGCCGCCCAGCTTCCTGACTCGATCCCGCATTGGATTTTGCCGTCACTAAGAAAAGGGGGGAAACACTGCTGGTACTCTCTTCAGCTCGGCTACCACTATGGCTGCCATTTCAGCGGCTCGGGGCGCTCCCACAGCTTTGACGCCACCGAGCAGCAGCCATGGGGATGACCCATCGTGGAGGTACCGGGACCAACATGAAGTAAGTTGACGAGAACAAAGCCTGGATTCTGTTTATTCCCTCTTCCCTCTTCCCTCTTCCCCCTTCCCCCAGGAGCGCCACACTTGCCGATCTGGTGAGGCGCTGCATGGCCGCATGACATGGTTTGATGGGACTTGGCTCTATTGGAATGCGGCCGACTAACCTGGATCCTGCTAGGAGGCGTATGGCGAAACTGGCGCCGGATACTACGACGACGCAGCACCGCGACTCAACGGAAATACTAACCACTTCGACTCACACAAGATGCCGGCCGACGACCTCTCCAGCCCACGATGGGACGCACACGCAGAGAGCGGCGTCCAGTCGCCCGTCGAGTTCGACAACATCCGGTCAAATTGGTCGACCGGTGAACCTGAGACGGACGATGTTGACGTCCAGCGCGGGCGCGCGGATTCCACCGTCGGCACGGAGGTGGAATCGAAATGGATCCATCGAGACAAGCTGGCACAGATAGAAAGCGAGGAGCTGGAGGCGGCTGGCTTTATCCCCAGGTCGCGGGCCCCCAGCAAGCAGCGAAGGGAAAAGAGTGCTCGGAGGGGCACCGACGCCTCGGAGCACATCCGGCCCAAGCAGGAACAGACGCCCGAGTCTGGAGACGCCTCGACATCTCCTTGGGATCTCAAGGTTCCGGACGAGGCGATCGAGGAGCAGGGAAATGCCTCGGCTGCGCAAAACGCCAAGGGGGGTTCCAGGATACCAGTCTTCAAGGTCAGCCAGACACAGCAAGCTCCGTTACCGCAACACGATGCTGAACATGTACTAATGATATCTACAGACACGCTCCAGGAGTGGTAGTGCCACCCTCAGAGAGTTGGCCCCTAGCGCCCCGATTGAAAAGGCCGAGAAGCCTAAGCCGGTGCAGCGCTCTACCACGGAGTCATCCCCCAAGAAGACGACGGCTGCGAGCCGAAAGAACTCGGAGCCTATCAACTCGAAGGCGAACAAGGCAGCCGGACGACCCAAGACTCGATCAGGGCCTAGCAAGGATTCGACGAATACCAACGGTCGACCTACCACCCGCTCTGGAGAGGCTACTCTCAAGAAGCAGCCCGAGGGCAACCCGCCGTGGATGGTGGACAGCTACAGACCCGACCCTCGCCTCCCCCCCGACCAGCAAATCATCCCCACCGTCGCCAAGAGGCTTTTGCAGGAGAAGTGGGAGCAGGAGGGCAAGTTTGGCGATGCTTACGACAAGGACTTCCGACCCTTGAACGATAACGCGCTGGCCATGTTCCAACGAGAGGGCTCTGCGCCGCTGGAAGAGGCGGCCAAGCAGGAACCCCCAGCCGAGGAAGGCATTCAGATTCACGATGCGCAGGCCCAGTCGGACGAGTGGCCGCTCAAGGCAGAGGCGCCCAAGAGCCCACCCCCACCCCAGGCGCGGCTGGGCTCATCCTATTCCACAATGCCCAAGATTTCAGACATGCAGCCGCCAAAGAGCCCTCTGCCTGGCCAGCGGCCCCCCATGACGCCGCAAGGAACACAAGGAACGGCGCAGTCGCAGAGCCAGCTCAGCGAAAAGGCGCAGAGCGCCCAGAGGATCCCCGATGTTCCGGACGACCAGGACCAGAAAGGCGGCTGTGGCTGCTGCGTCATCATGTAAACCAGGACAATCACAAATCACATACAACAATGCAGGCATTCTTCTGCTTTATTAGCAACTACATATTTGTTATAAACTAGACAACTATCAGAGAGCACAAACCAACTAATCCGTACATATCGAGAACACTCTTTTATTCTTTCTCAACCTGCTTTCTCTTCCCCCTTACGACGTTACGAAACTACCCCCAAAAAGCTGTTTGACTTAGCCGGCAACATTTCTTTTTCTTTCTTTCTTGTTAAACAGCAACAGCTTGTCGACCAACTGATTACCTAGCGACTTGATCGATTTTCCTTTCCTTATTTCTGCCTTTGCGCACAACCAATCAATCCCCGGTCGAGCCCCGAGTTGGAGCCTAGAAGAAGCAGGAATACGTGGCAAAGAGGTGGAAGAAGACACGTCATCTATCTATATACGCAAGAGAGGAGCCTGCTCGGGGCTGCTGCCACCTTCTGTACTTGTTGAATCATGCAGATTCTGGTTTCTGTTCCTACCGTTCGACCCGTCAATCTTTGTTACTCTTCTATGTAATTCCTCTCCTTTTTATTTGTTTTGCGTTGCGTTTGTTTGTTTGTCTTTGTCTTTTTTTTTTTACTGTTCGCGAGAGAGGTGGCTTTCTTCATTTCACCCAATCTTGAATTTTTATTACTACCATTCGAACAAGAGAAGGGTGTTCTTGGCGCCGGAGCGGAAGGGGGGCTTTTTTCTTTTTTTTTTTCTTTGTGTTTCCTTCGCGTTTTAGGTATTTTTGAGAAGAACTTGAATCCTCAAACTTGGAGAAAAGAGTTGCCGGTGTGCGTGTCCTGGTTCCGCCCTCCTATGGTGATGTGTGAAAGGATGCCCAAGATTGATTATGTGAGCGTTTGTAGATTGGGTTGAGTATAGATTGATTTGTGCTTTTTTGTTTTTGTTTTTGTTTTTTGTTGTTAGCGGGTGGGATTGATAGACGAGGTACTGATACATTATATCCAATTTGATTTTTATACTGCGGGATTGAGCGTGAAACTGTTTATTGTGATGATCCTTTGGATGATGTTGGGGAAAAGCTTAGCCGCCATTATACTGTGCTGAGTGAGAGTGTAGATCCCAGTAAGCCTTGATCTTGTTGGCCACTGATGAAACTCTGTTCAATTGCGTCCTCCATCCAAGCAGCTTATACCTTTACTCAGGATGTAAATCTACTAGACAGCCCAATTCAAGTTCATCGTCCATTTACTAACATTAAACTATATTTTAGATTAGCTATTTTTAAATGAAATAACTAACAGCCAACGGTAATTTTCATTACGCTGAATACTGTGTTTAATAAATAATTTATTTTATAACCACAGTGTAGTAATATATCACTAAGGATAATTTATATTTACTATACGGAGTATTAGTTATCAAAATACCAATCATCTGCAATAAGTTAAATAATAGTCAATTAAAGAAAACTATTTATTAAACTAGCTTAAATAAGCTACAATTTATAATATTTATATTCAACGTCCAATTAGAAAACTTGGGCACCAACCAGGAAGCCTAGCCAATACTTAATAATCGACGGGTCTCACCGCCACGACATAAAAAGTAATGTATTAATATTACCTAGCATTTCCAATCTCACTCTGAGTTATGGCCAATGCATGGCCAGACATTTTGCGTCATTTCTCGTACTTTCACTGTTCTAAGGATATATTAACGTGCTTGTGACCTGACACCTGATTATTTTCCAAGGTTTGAGAAAGCAATCTGTATCACGACCTGCTCCAATCCTGCAAAGACTATGTTCGTTCTCATCCGGGGAAATCGCCCACGGACATTCCGCTACTCCCACTTAGTGTCCTCGGCACGGTGTCTCTGATTCATGATGGAGGTGGGGCTCGAAGGTTACCGGGCTCGTTTTGCTGGTGTTGAAACAGACCTTGGTAAACAGGTTACTCTAGGGTTGGAGCTGATTAAGGTAAGTTGTTCTCCTGGCCGTGTTATGGAATAGCCCATTGATGTATCTATCGCAGGAGCTTTTGGAGAAGTTGGATCGTACTGAAAAACAATTGACAAAGACAAAGCTTGACCTGGATAGCGAGAGTGACACGAGAAGGCGTCTTCAGAAGGAGGTTCAAGAGAATAAGGAATGGAAAGAGCGTCAGGAAAAACGGCCGTTTATGGTCGCGTTAATCGATGCAGACGCGGATGGCTATGTGGTAAGCAATGTGTGTATGGCATGAAGACTTGAACATTGATTTGCTAATTCATGATGATGGTAGTTCCGTGATAGTTATCTTACGCTGGGAGAAAAAGGCGGCGAAAGCGCTGCTGATGCGCTTTTCGATGAGTTACAGCGTTATATGGGAGAGCTGACTGGAGTTCCCAGTAACATGGATATTCTCGTCAGGGCGTTTGCAAACGTCAGTGGGCTGGGTCAAGCCCTTGTGCGTGACGGGCGATTGCAGGACATCAATCAGCTGAGGGCATTTGCAACAGGTTTCAGCAACCGTCGAGTGTTTTTTGACTTTGTGGATGTAGGGCCTGGGAAGGAACGGGCAGACTTCAAGATACAAGGTAAGAGATATAGCTTTGTTTCGTCGAGCCTCGAATTCCGTTGTCCCCCCTCAGCGTACATACTTCTAACATTGGATTGCCACCACAGAGAATGTTAAATTTTTCGTGGAAAGTCCTCAGTGCAAACACCTTGTGGTTGCTTGCGGGCACGACACTGGTTATGCTCCGTTTCTGGGGCAGTTTGTTGGAGACAAGCAGGTTGCGGAACGTATAACGTTGTTAGAAGGAAGCCCATTCCCGGCAGTGATCAAGAACCTGGGCCTGAAGAAAACACGGTTTACGTCGGTCTTCGCCGAGGTGATGCAGCCAGTGGTATTGTCCGGATCGGTAAGATCGTCATGGTCGAGCGTGGCGGCGACCAACCGGCTTACAGATCCTGAACCTGGATCGTTGTTGGTACCTGTGAAGCCGTTTAGTGGAGGATATCGAAACTTCAAGGCACAATCGGCCAGACTTGGGCCCATCAAGACGGACGATAGCGGGCGTCGAGTTGACCGCCCGCTGCGGGTGAATGAGGCGATTGTGGAGAGGCTCAAGAAAGGGGGTCTGTGCTATTATTACTACCTTCGTGGGGAATGTGTTGTGCCATCGTGTCGGAGCAACCATGTCCATCGGGAGCTCACGGATGAGGAGTTTGATGCCCTCTGGTGGCTGGCCCGACAGCACGTGTGTTATAAGAATCGTAAAGCGGATCGAGCGGGTGGTGATTGTCTTGATGTGACGTGTGTTTATGGGCACAAGATGTGAATTGTTCTTACATTCTCATGGGAATGGGTTGGGGGTAGAGTATTGTAAATTGCAGATACTTGTGTAGGGAAGAGTGATATATATATTGACATTCTATAACATCTATTCAGAATATTACTCTATATAGAATCTTGCAATACGGAATATCCTTTTGTAATAGCACTTCTATTACTACACATATAGTAGAGTGTATTTTTAATAGCTTCCATCTATAAATGCCCAATGGCTTAGAATAAATCAGCAACCTTCAACCGTTCAATAGGTAGTCCGACTTTTCCTTCCTATCCAAAGTACCTACTTTAACTCCGCCTGCTCAAGTTGGATAAACCTCAATGTTCGGAATGCAGACGCTGAAACTGGACTTGACTGTCTTACCTTGGGTTCATGTGGTCGCATTTACACTTTGCCCATCAGCCTGCTGTCGAACTTTAAGCGTCCATAAAGCCCCCGACCACGTGGCACTCAGACAATGGGAAATGCGGCAGAAGGAAGTGAGACAGGCGGGTACTCTTTGTCTCGAAGGAATCAAAAAATCCAGGGCGGGCTCTACGGATACGCGGCCCCCTTTTTTTTGTGAGGTCGAGGCAAACTTGCGGCTGAATTGAGGCTTGTAATCATGAGCAAGCAAATGAAAAACGAGGCTGGATTTGATAGGGCGTTTTTTTGTTTAGTAAGTGATCACAAGGACGGAGCTGAGGATGCCTGGAGCGCGGATCGTGTGCTGCTAGGTTAGGAGGCAGGCATCCCAGGAGGCGCTGTATTATTTGCCATGCCGTCTGGAAATGCTCTTCCCGTCTTTTTTCCTTCACCGATGGAATGATGTGGTATTGGATGGCTGGAGAGAGGCTGAGCAGGAGGGTGCATTTCACGACGGGCTACCTTACCTTACCTTACTCCATACAAATGGGGGGGCTTCTTTAGCTGATGGTTGGACTGGGGTTAGTGCATGCAGTTCCATGGAGTTACAGCGCATTTGAAGCGACGCAACCCCTGCCAGGCACACGGCACTTGCTGAGACGTTGTTTCTCCAGCGACTTTCTCTCCCTGGCTGGCGCGTGTCCTTTTTTTTTTTTTGTTCTTGCATCGCATTGCATTTGATGCTTGGCGTCTTTGGAGCAGGCAATTGTGAGTGGAAGCTCTGCGGTTATTACTATTTTGAATCGTCTTGGGTGTTGCTAACGTCTGCATTTTGCGATTTGGGTAGGGCTGCTGCTGGCATTGATACCGAAATCGCTGTTCTCTTCGAGCTGTGGAATCGAGGATATAGAATTACGATTACGATTTGCGAGAACGATTCGAGCTGAAGCGATAGATTACAAGACATTTGGCTTGGTATAGAGGAGGGCAACATTATAATACGGTCGAGGTTACACATTACTCTTGTTGCGGAGAGGGGAAGTGGAGGCGAGCTCACTGGGGGTAACTCGAAGCTCTGAGCTTTGATTGAAGAGGTGCCGAGCTCTATTTCGGAGCTTAAGGACCTTGGTTTGATCACTCTAGACGGAAGACACACGAAATAATAGCTGGGGCAGTAATAACGAACGAGCTCAGCGGCAGTGTCGACGACATTAACCATTATCCACGATAGCACACAGTACACTCGATAGCAGGCGGTAACAGACAGAGAAAGGCGGAACGAGCAGAATATGCGGTCGCGGGATTGCTCCCACTGGCTGAGACGACCTGGGATCGGGACATGGACGTCGTTTACGTGCGGCATGCGACTCGGTCCGACGAGGTAGCAGGGGATAGCAAGCGGCGGTCATGGCAGGTCACCATCCAAGTCAACAAACAACCCGAATTTGGCGCCCTCATCGAAGACCCGTTTCTCGAGGCGGAATACAAGGAAGTCTTTGAGGACTATCTCCGCAACTCGGACCGCCAGCATTGGAGCCTGCAGAGCCTTGAACTCGAGGATAGCGGCACTGATGGCGTCTCACAGGCCGAGGATCGTATACGTGAATATGGAGAGATACTGCTCGCCCAGCTGGGCCTCTTACGACCGAGAGTGCTCCGTACGGGCAGCACCGAGGTCCAGCTCGTCATTGTTGAACGACACGATTCACAGGAAGAAGATTCCATTTACAAGAACGGAGGCATCCACTGCCTTGCCTGGGAGCTCCTCGAATCTGTCAGGAGCCCGCTGATGCGGAACCTGCGCTTGAGAGTGATGCGAATGAGCGACTTTGCCAATCAGCCGTCTCGACCACTGGGGCCGCCGCGGTCATTGTCGAGCGTACAGGCCAACCCAAACGGCGTGTTTCACGTGCTGTTGGTGATTGCTCGTGACTTCAGCCGGTCAGGGGCTGATCGTGACCCGGAGCCCGATCTGGCGCAGTGGCCGCTGATGAATATACACAAGAAGCTGAGGAGCCGGCTGTTGTTGGAGGTGGTGCGGCCGGGCAGTATAGAGGAGCTACATGAGCACTTGACGGTGAGGGCTGGGCATGGAGTGCAGTTTAACCTTGTTCACTTTGACCTTCACGGAAGGATCATGAATGACGAGTAAGTCGTGTTGTGTTTTGATGCTTAGAAGGGAGTTCAAAACAGCTAATGAGTAGCACACAGGCACGGCCGCCAAGTCCCTTGGCTTCTCTTTGCCAAGAAGCATCAAGTCTCCAGCTCGCACGGGTATCAAGCTCCACAGACGCATCTCGCCAAGGCGTCAGATGTCGCCAATTTGCTGGCTGGCTATCATGTCGAGAATGTGGTTCTTAATGCGTGCCTCTCGGCGTACAACCGCACGGGACCGACAACGAATCTGGCCCACATCTTTCTCGAGCGTGGCGTTCACAACGTGTCGGCCATGTGGTTCTACGTGCACTGGCAGACTGTGGCAACTTACCTCGAAGCCTTCTACAATGAGCTACTAATTAAAGGCACCGACTTCCACGTGGCGGCGCAGCGAGGTCGGGACGCCATTCAGCGGAATCCTACGAGCAGGACGGGAAGACCGTACCAGGACTTCTTCCTGTGTGTCAACTACACTAGGGATATCCGGAGGCCAAGTGCAATCCACCGCGAGCCGAGCCCGACGCCATCGGCGCACTCGGCGGAGTCGTCGACGTCGAATACTTCGATGAAGAGCTTCATGAGCGGCGTGTGGAGGCCGTCAACACCTCGGCTCAGTGACAGCTTTCTGATTGGAGACGAGCCCATCATGCGGCTGCAGCTCCACCTCCTGGAGCTGGAGTACAAGCTCATGTCATCCCGGGTGGTGTATGCCAGCGACCTACGGAGAGCCGGGTCGGACCTGAACGCGACGATTGAGAAGATGGTGAGCATGTGGCTCAACACAAACCTGGTCGACGACGTGTATTACTACAAGGCCAAGGACTTTGCTAAGCGCAAGCTGCTGACGGACTCTGTGTCGTACCGAGAGAAGCGCTCGCGAGCATCTTCCGGAGGCTACCTGCAACTGCTGTTCCCGCGGCCCGTTCGGGCGCTTCGGCAGACGCTGCATATTGTGCGGGACGTGGACCCGGTGGTGGACCCCGGATGGCAGGCCGACGACGTGGAAAACCAGCGGAGCGAGGAGCGGCGTTTCCAGGTACAGGAAGGGTTGCAGCGATTCGCCCAGAGACTACACAGAGAGGGCCACAGCTATCTGCTCTTCATTGGCAGCCAGGACGCGCAGTGGTGGCGCACGTATCTGCAGCATCTCAATGGCGAATGGTGGCTACACATGCCGTGGACGTTTACGGTGCATAGCCGATACGTCAGAGACGTGATGACGGAGAAACGGAAGCCTATTCCGCGGATTATGCAGTGAAAGCGATGCGATGCTTTATGCGACTTTGACTCAGCGGAAGTTTTTGGCCAGGAAAACTCGGCGAGCCGAGGCTTTGGGGGCGTTTTTGTCGATCGGGAGGCCCGGCGAAGGTGGGCTGATTTACGGACCTTGTCTGACCGGCGAGGATGCCGGACAGCCCGGCGTTGGGGGGATTATTCATTAACGGCAAGTCTTTTTTCATGTGATTGATGATTTGTTTGTGCAGGGTGTATTTGCATTTTGCATCAAAGGTATATACATTTGGGAGAAGATTGGTGCATGCACTTTGCGAGGCTTATATTACATGGATATGCGTGTATGAAGCATTGGACGGGGCATTTACATGGAGTAGATATTTCTTCTTCTTTTCTTTTCTTTTCTATTTTTAGCAGGTATGGCATTTGGGTGCATATTACGCTTGATGGGTGTTTATTATAGATGAGCTTGCATGGCGTGGACGTTATTTTATGGAGCTCTTGATACGTATATATTATATATTCCTGTTGTGTATGAGATGGTATACATGTTTGATGATTGTAAGAGTATTGTACGGAGTAGTAGTATACTGGATATGTAGGAGCATTTTATGGAATAAGCAGCATGCGTGTCGTACATGATGCGCGTAAGACGATCGGCCCTGAAGGAGTCCGAAAGACAAGGGAGGGAGTTTGTGTTACACGATCATCACCCACCCTGCCTGGGGATGCATAACCCACATGAGGAACATGCATGGTAGGGATTTAGGGATTTAGTAAGGGTCAGCGTGATTTCACCATGATGGCGATTATCGAGCTTGTCCGGCCTGTGACTGGCTCGGGAGCCTAGAAGGCTGCGTGTTGCCGAGCTATGGGAAAGGAAAAAGTGGTGTCTAGAAGGGAGAAGCGAGCCTCGGGAGGTCGGAAGAGTCGGGTGGCGATGGGACGGACGAGGACGGAGGGAGAGGGGGACGGAGTACCGGTACGCGGATAGGGGTTGTGTGAGTGGTGTAAGGCTGAGTAGCGGTACTTGGATGGACATTTACATTTGATTACGGGGGGTTTTAGGAGGGTTGAGTCCGTCCGCTGTCCAGGGTGGTGTGTTGGTATGTTGTGTGAATATGAATGTGTGTTGTATGTTTGTATGTGTCAACGGGTGTAATTATATGGTAGTTTGAATGGAGCATTATAATGGTGTCAACCTAGAACAATGTGATTTTGACATCATGGAAAGCTGTAGCCTATTCTAAGCGGCTCCAGTAGCACCCTTTTTACCCTTTTTAGTGCCGAAAATCCCACAATCAACCTTATAAGCTTCCAATGCATGCAGCCTCTTTATAAAGAGCCGGTGCATTATCAGCGATAACCAACCGAAACAAGCCCATTTCGTCGGCGTCAGAAAGTGGGGGCGGCCATTTCAGCGAGGGGTCCAGTGTATAGTCCAGTGCAGTTGCAGTGCAGTGACGTACTGGTACCTGCTTCGTCTTCCCTTCTTCTTGGCGATTCCAGTTTCTTTTCTTTTCTATTTATGCTTCTTTCTAATTTCTCATCGTTGCAAAGAAAATCACCGCATCGTATCTTTTAGCAAGCTCTTCTCTCTTTGTCCATATTTATTTCTTCTTTGTGTTGCTGAAACACTTCTCTCCATCCGGGATTCTTCTTTCAACTCCCCCCCCGGTCCCGCATTGAATGCAAGCGATATAATTTCCAGCCCAGAAAGTCGGTACCTCCTATTACGAGTATAATCTGTTTAACCTACCTGCGACCTGCTCTATCCACCCACGCTTCGGTGCTGCCGCGCCTCCTGAAGGGATTTCTTGATACGAATTGCGACACGGCGGAGGGAAATAAGAGGAAGCAAGAGTTGAAAAAATTAAGGAGGTTTTTTTGTTTCTTCGGTGGCTGGTTGTTTCTTCATCTTCATCTTCCCTGCTGCATCACTGCATCTACATCTTGCTGCAGTTACATCTACCGAGCCGAAATCGATCGAGCGATTACTTACTTGGAAACCGCCGGATGAGGACATCACGGCTTCTGCTTGGCGCATCATGACCTCGACAGACGTCTTGGCCAATGGCCACAGTCACTTCGACACCTACACCGACAACGTACTGCGGGCGAGAACACACATACACAAGCCGCTGCATGCGCAAGTGTCGCGCGCATCGTCCGCAGATGGCGACCAGCACTTGGGCTTGCCGGTCGAAAACGGCGGGGGAAGTGCCACGACAAGGTGAGGAGGATGCTGTTGCTTGATATACTCTTCTTCTTCTTCTTCTTCTTCTTCTTCTTCTCCAATACTGACCCATCAATCCATCATCCAGTGGCCGCTCAACGCCCGTCTCAGACAACGCTCCCCCATCGACCAAATCCTTATCCTCCGCGCGCAAGCAGGTCCGCGCCGAGCAGCGCCGTCGCATCTTCCCGACCATCGAATTCGCCTCGCGCGTCTCCCACTTCGATCCCTCCAGCGACTACCGCGACTTCCATGGCTTCTTCAACCTCTTCTGGATCGGCCTGGCCATCATGGGCATCACCACGATGCTGCGCAACATGAAGGACACCGGATACCCCATGCGCGTGCAGATCTGGGGTCTCTTCGCCGACAAGCTGTGGCATCTGGCCATTGCCGACTTCCTCATGGTCGCAACCACTGCTGTCAGCTTGCCATTGCATCGCTGGATGCGTGAACACCCCATGGGCGGTGCTTGGGGCTGGAGCAGAGGCGGAATGGCGATTCAGAGCATCTATCAGGTTGTCTGGCTGACGTTTTGGATCATTGTGCCGTTCTGGCTGGACTGGTCATGGACCGCCCAGGTCTGCCTCCTACTACACACCATGGTGCTTCTCATGAAGATGCACTCGTATGCCTTTTACAACGGCCACCTCTCAGAAACAGAGAAGCGACTGCGCAATCTAGACGACCCAAACCCCTCGAGAGCAGACCGCAGGCCGGCCTACGTCTACCCCAGCGCCGACCACCGCAAGGGCAGCGTATCTGGAATCCCAATGCCGCGCCTCGTCGAGGAGGACACCTCCAAGCCGAAGAAGAAGCAGCAGCACCGCCTGCAAGAGAGCGTCGATAAGGGCGTCAACGGCGTCAACGGCCACGCCGCGCCCGAAACCGAGACGGAGCCCGAGCCCACCAGCGCCGACGAAATCGACACCCTCCGCGAGGACCTCGCCCGCGAGCTTACCAGCCCCATGGGCAACGTCACGTACCCGCGCAACCTCACCTGGGGCAACTACCTCGACTACCTCTGCTGCCCGACGCTCTGCTACGAGATCGAGTACCCGCGCACCGCTGCCATCAACTGGACCGCCCTCGTGTCCAAGATCATCGCCACCTTTGGCTGCATCTTCCTCCTCACCGTCATCTCCGAGGAATACATCTTCCCCGTCCTCGTCGATGCCTCGCGCCGCCTCGAGCTCGTCGCGTCCGCCCACCTCGTCGACGCTTCCTCCTCCGTCGCCCTCGAGTCGTGCCTCATCCTCGCCGAGACAATCTCCTGGCTGCTCTTCCCCTTCATGCTCACCTTTTTGCTCGTCTTCCTCGTCATCTTCGAGTACGTCCTCGGCGCCTTTGCCGAAATCACTTGCTTCGCCGATCGCCACTTTTACGCCGACTGGTGGAACTCGACCGACTGGATGGAGTTTTCGCGCGAGTGGAATGTCCCCGTGTATTCTTTCTTGCGGCGCCATGTATATAGCGCTTCGAGACCGCATACCGGCAAGGCGTTTGCCACGTTCATCACGTTTCTTATTTCTGCTGTCGGACATGAAATTGTCATGGCCTGCATCACAAAGAAGATTCGTGGATACGGCTTCGTCTGCCAGATGCTGCAACTGCCTATTGTCATGTTGCAGCGAACTCGCTGGGTCAGGGGCCGCAAGACGCTCAACAACGTCTGCTTCTGGTGCTCCATGATCCTAGGCCTCAGCCTGGTAAGTCCAACTCTTTGACCCCTTACAATACCTCAGCATTAAAGCAACTAACATAATATAATAGATCTGCGCACTCTACGTCCTCATCTAAACACCAAAATACCCACCTCACACCTACTCACTCAAACCCCACACTCATTAGCCATTACTTTTCATACTCGTCTTTGCAGCAGTTACATAGCATACCGTACATTTTGTTCAGACTGGTTCTGAGGTTTTTCCTTTTGTCCATAAATGGGAGAGGCCGATTTCTTTTTCTTCTTTTTTCTTTTTCCTTTTCTTTCTTTTGTTCATTGCGTTTTGGATATAAAATGTGTCATTGGCGGCGTGTTTTCGTTATTTCTACAGGCATAAATACACATGCATCTCACGATGTTTTGCTGATACTACCTGCGTAGTATAAATACCCACATGCTTTTGTTTGCTTCAATTGACAAGGCAAACACCACTCAAATGCTTACACCATATATTTACCTCGTAGATACACCGATAGATCAAGATATACAGCAATCACTGGTAAAACATCACATGTCACATCATGGGAACCAATTTATTGTCCATTCCATTTATTCATTTCTCATAGACATAGCTAAATTACGCCCTCCCTCGCCTCTCTTGGAGGGGATATCAAGGGCACTAGGGGTAAAAGCATCGTGCCCGTTTAACCTGGGACCACCTTAATAGTAAACAAAGTAAAAAAAAGAAAATCCACGTCCAAACCATGTTGCTCTAAAACCGTTCAACTCCATCGTGTAAAATCAAACTTTTTGTCCGTGTATCCCGATTCTTTGCACACAAAGAGGTCGTTTAGTCAACCTCCTCCATGGCGCTGTCGCCAGTCTCGACGGCAGGGGTGTCGGCGGGAGCGGCAGCCTCGACGGGGGCGGAGTCGTCCTCCTCAATGTTGAGGCCGAGCTGGACCAGCTTGTGGATGCGCTCAGCGAAGCCGGCGGGCTCATCAATAGTGAAGCCGGAGACGAGCAGGGAGGTCTCGAACAGCAGCTGGACGATGGACTTGACGGTGCGGTCGTTCTCGCCGTCAGCCTCGACCTTCTTCTTGAGCTCCTGGATGATGGGAGACTTGGGAGAGATCTCGAAAGTCTTCTTGGAGGACATGTAGCTGCTCATGGAGGTGTCACGGAGAGCCTGGGCCTTCATGATACGCTCCATGTTGGCGGACCAACCGAACTGGCCGGTACGGATGGCGCAGGGGGAGAGACCAAGCTTGTCGCTAACAACGACCTTCTCGACCTTGTCGCCAAGGACGGTCTTAAGGGCCTTGGCAAGGGCCTCGTACTCCTTCTCCTCAGCCTCACGAGCAGCCTTCTCCTCGTCAGTCTCCTCGAGCTCAAAGTCCTTGGTGATGTCAACCAGCTTCTTGTCCTCGAACTCCTTGAGCTGAGTCATGGCGTACTCGTCAATGGGGTCGACAAGGAAGAGAACCTCGAAGCCCTTGGCCTTGAGAGCATCAAGGAAGGGAGACTTCTGGACAGCCTTGAGGGACTCGCCAGTAATGTAGTAAATGTTCTTCTGGTGCTCAGGCATGCGGGTGACGTAGTCGGTCAGAGAGGTCATCTCATCGCCAGACTTGGTGGAGTTGAAGCGGAGGAGCTTGGCAAGGACACCACGGTTCTGGGAGTCCTCGTGGATACCAAGCTTGAGGTTCTTGGAGAAGGCGCTGTAGAACTTGTCGAACTGCTCCTTGTCCTCAGCGATCTCCTGGAAGAGCTCGAGGGACTTCTTGACAATGTTCTTCTTGATGACCTTCATGATCTTGTTCTGCTGAAGGGTCTCACGAGACAGGTTGAGAGGGAGATCCTCAGAGTCGACAACACCCTTGACGAAGCTGAGCCACTCAGGGATGAGGTCGGTGGCGTCATCAGTGATGAAGACGCGGCGAACGTACAGCTTGATGTTGTTCTTGGTCTTCTTGGTCTCGAACAGGTCGAAGGGAGCACGCTTGGGAACGAAGAGGATGGCACGGAACTCGAGCTGACCCTCAACGGAGAAGTGCTTGACACCGAGGTGGTCCTCCCAGTCGTTGGAGAGGGACTTGTAGAAGGAAGCATACTCCTCCTGGGTGATGTCCTGGGGGTTGCGAGTCCAGATGGGCTTCTGCTTGTTGAGCTCCTCCTCCTCGATGGTGGTCTCCTTGACCTTCTTGGTCTTCTTCTTCTTTTCCTTGTCCTCCTCCTCGTCGTCGATCTCCTCGACCTTGGGCTTCTTGTCCTCACCCTCCTCGGTGACGGTCTCCTCCTCAGCATCCTCATCGGGAACCTCCTTCTCAGTCTCCTTCTTAACGTGGAGGTAGATGGGGTAGCTGATGAACTCGGAGTGCTTCTTGATGACCTCCTTGATGCGGCTCTCGTTCAGGTAGTCAGCCTGCTCGTCCTTGAGGTGGAGGACGATGGCGGTACCACGACCGAGCTGCTCGCCCTCGGTGTCGGCGGTGATGTTGAAGGTACCACCGGCGCTGGACTCCCAGATGTACTGCTCGTCATCGTTGTGCTTGGAGATGACGCTGACGCGGTCGGCGACGAGGTAGGCAGAGTAGAAACCAACACCGAACTGACCAATCATGGACACATCGGCACCGGCAGTCAGGGCCTCCATGAACTGCTTGGTTCCGGAGCGGGCAATGGTACCCAGGTTGTTGACAAGGTCCTGGGGGTGATATGTTAGCATCAAACTGGCGAATAACTTGAGAGAGAAGGAATGCATCAACTTACAGCCTTGGTCATACCAATACCGGTATCACGGATGGTCAGGGTCTTGGCCTCCTTGTTGGGGATGATGTCAATGCGCAGGTCCTTGCCAGAGTCGAGCTGGCTGGGGTCGGACAGCGCCTTGTAGCGGATCTTGTCCAAGGCATCGGAAGCGTTGGAAACAAGTTCTCGCAGGAAGATCTCCTTGTTGGAGTAGACGGTGTTGATGATGAGGGAGAGAAGCTGAGAGATCTCAGCCTGGAACTCGAAAGTCTCAGCCATTGTGAAGGGTATCAACGGAAAATTTATGTGTCTGGATTGGAAGAGAAGAGTTAGCGGCGTGCTTCGAAGGTAGTTGTCGTAATGGAAGCAGATGGTGAAGAAGGGGGAAAAAGAAGGAAGCAACACCAAAATCAAGTAGAAAAAAACTACCAGATCAAGGAGGACTTCAATCCGATTCCGCAAAATGCAAAAGCTTGAAAAAAGAGCCTTCCAAAGTGGCCGACTCGATCAAATCCAACGCAAGGCTGAAATCCTCCCCAAGCAAAATGGCGGGGTGATAAAAAGCACAGAGGCTAGAAGGGGAAAGTGGGATGATAAGATAGATTGCTGCGCTGCAGGCTCACTCACCTTGGTAAAGAAAAAAGAGAGGCTCCAATGAGAACAAGCGCAAGGTTGTTGTATCTCGAGCACGGGGTATTTGGGAAGAAAGAGGAATGAGAATGAGAATGAGAATGAGAATGGAGAAAAAGAGAGGGATGGATCGAAGGAGGAAGAGGAGGAAGAGGCGTCTAAAAAGGCTGGCCGCAGCTGCTGTGTTGCAAGAGATTCCATGGGATTCTATGGTCGGTGCGCGCCTGTGATTGGCCAGAGCGCGCTGGAGCCTTCTAGCAGAAAAATTCACCTTCGCCGTGCTTCTGTTTCTTTTTCAGGCGGCACAAGGCAGCCGCTGGCAGCCCGCTTTTTGGGCGCTTTTTGGGCGCTTTTAGTGAGGGGAGAGGCGAAACGGATTGGGCTGGGACTGGCCTCCCCACATGCTTTTTTTCTTTGTGTTTCTGTCGGAGCGTTGGGAACTCGTCAGTGCTTCTAACTCTTTGTATGAGCATTCCTAATACCAAAGCAACGTCTTTCATCCATTACTATATCCGTCGATAATAATAATAAAATACAATGAATTTCTCTTCTTTTCTTCTTCCGTATAACAGACACCAAATTGAAACCCCTTGCCACTCTCTCTCCCGCCCCCCTTGTCCGATCCTGCTAGAAACTTCCACCTTGTCTCGCTTCCCCTTTGGCCCTCCTCTCCATTCCCTAGAACGAGGCTGACGATGAGGGGAAGCAAATGCAGCGCCCCGTTTCGGCTCTGGCCCCCCTCCAGATGGAACTGGGCACTGCTGCAGCAACCATGACAGGGGCCCCCAACGCCTACTGTACAGCACTACGCCTAGTATCTTATCGCCCGCCCGCTAAACATCCCACCTTTGCGGAGCCCATCGAAGGCAACAGAACATTGACGGCAGCTGAAGACCATCGACTGACTATTGGCATCCCCTTGTCTGCCATCTGCCATGAGAGCACAGCAACAGTCAACAAACGGTTTCTTTTATCCATTTATTCATCAAACAAGCCGCTTAGCGCCCGTCTGCCTCGTCTAGTTGGCAGCTGTAACCCCCGCTCTTCCGGAATCCCCCCTTGCATGTAATCTAACCAACCCCCTTGTGAAACTCTATAGCTACCATGTAAGCTTCATACATCCGACGCCGTGCATCCGCCTCCTCGCATATACTCGTACACAATCCATCTATCTGTTTCTATACAGTTCCCTTCACATGCTTTAGGTGGCCATGTCCTTGATACCCGTCGCCCTCAATCCTGCGAAATCACGCTCCCGATCTGGCGGTACTTTCGATCCGCGTACGACAGCCCAAACTTGTTCACGCAGCTTCCTGGTATCATCTCCACCACTTCTCCCACGACGATGACATGATCCCGGACTTTCAGCAGTCCCCTCGTGGGCTCATCGGGTAGCAGCCTGCACCTGAGGGCATACATGATTCCCTCGCCTTTCAGCAGAGGTGCTCCATCCGTCTTGCTCGTGTCGTATTCTAACCCGTCAAACACATCGTCTGTGTTGCCCCTTGTAAACCTGTCTGCTACCTGCACGCCTAATTCGTCCCCTGACATGATATGTATGTTGAAGTGGCGGCTTTCTTTTATTGCGTCGAGTGTTCGGCTCGGAGTCGCAATGTTGAAGGATATCAATGGTGTTGGAGAGAGAGTAAGAGATGTAAACGACGACATGGTCATTGCTCTTGGAGTCTCTCCATGTATTGATGTGCAGACGACGACAGAGTGTGGGAGTAGCCGCATTATAGACCGTATTTGCTCTGAGAGGGCGGCGGGAGAGGTCGGATCAGCGGTTGGTGGTATAGGAGACGAAGTATGCCATGAGCTGGGGTTATGGCTCGATTGACTCGATTGTTGAAAGCTCGTCGGTTTTTCGTCTATTGCTTATGAGTTATTAGCTAAGGATCAGCGAAAGATTATATCCAGGCATCCTCACATGTAGCATCCTGAGCTGCAACACTGGAACTCGCAGCCACTCGAGGCCGCACACCAGTCGCATACTCTCCAAGAGTCAGCGCATGGCCCACAACATCGTGAACGCCTCTCATCAACCGTATCGCCCAAAACCCTCTCTTTTGCACCGTCCACGCATCTCCCAGGTGGCCAGCCGTGATCCGACTTGCGCCGCAGCATCCAAGCCGCGACAGCTGTCGCACCGCCCTAACAGCCCTCATCGAATCATACGGCCTTGACCCCTTAAATCTTCCAATTTGACCTAAAAAAGAAGCCCAATTGAGAAGAAGAAATCGTAGCAATAAGACAGCGACCCGAGGTTGGAAAGCTTTCCTGGCGGTTGCTTTGACGCTTCAGCACAGATCAATTCCCTTATCGATAAGCACCATTCCGCTGTGTGCCGCCACTTTACTAGAACCACCAACCAGCGGGCCGGAAATTTTGCGACAACTCCAAAGGTCTAGCCATCACCACATGCGACACTGACCAGCTCCACGAAATCGCACATTCCGCCTTCGACCCTCCCTCAATTGAACCTTCGACTCAATCTTTGTATCTCTCAACAAAAAAACAGAAATACCGCCCAAAATGGGGAAGCTCCCCGTCCCCTCAACCCTCCTCTCATCCTCTCCCCTCCGCCCATCAACCACATCTTCGCTCTCCATCCACAGCCTCTCCTCGCCCGTCCGCACGCAGACCCGAAACGCGACATTTATCCCCCGTCCAAGAAGGCCCTACACCTTCACCCAGCTCATCCAGCTCTCCGACGGCTCGACCTACACCGCGCGCACCACCTCGCCATTGCCCTTGTACCGGGCCCAAAAGGATACTCGCAACACGCTTCTGTGGCAGCCTAGCGAGAAGAGCTTGCGTAACGTCGAGTTGGATGAGGCTGGTAAATTGGCTGCTTTCAGAGAACGATTCGGAAGGGGATATGATGCTACAGCTCAGGCTGTAGAGGGCGAGGTGGAGGGTGAGAAGGCTGCTGAGCAGGTCGCCGCTCAACCTGTCGAGGAGGATGCCGGACTGAACTTTGAGGATCTGTTGGCGGAGTATACGCCGCAGGATACGAGTGCGATGAAGGATTCGGGTCCCAAGAGGGCTCCTACACGAAGAAAATAATGAATGGGCTTATATGATGTGTACATTACCTGTATGAGGCAGATTGGGAGACTACTGGGTAGGCTTGGACAACAAAAAGGGAGATGGACGAGGAGGATAGACAGAGGAGGAAATGCATGGATTAGAGGATCGATTCTGTTCAAATATGTACAGCACTTTGAGCCTAGCGGCCTGTATGATATAACAAAAGGGATGCATCTCCGAGTTTTGAAACGAATACGAATAGTAGCACACTGTAGCCCGCCCTCTCTCATTCAATTGCCTCTTCGCCTTCACCCGTAAACTCCAACTTGTAATGTAAGATTACAGCCTCAAAAGTATCTCATTAGTCTGAATCCTCATCTATAGTTGCTCTAGCGCGATCAACGACAGTGTCACCAGGAGGCTTGGGCTGGTAAACCGGCGGCCTGTAGAAAGCTGATTCGTCGTCCTGGGCATCCAACTGCATCAGGAACGTCTCCCACTTCTCAATCAACTATTTGCGTGTTAGTCAGGCTGGTAATATTATAATACGACCATGCGAAGCTTACCTCCTTCTGCGCCTCAACAGCGCCTTCAAGGAACGTCTCAACACCGCTCTTGAAATCCTCCACCTTCTCCTTCTCGAAACGATCCAACTCGGCCCTCATGGAGCGGCCCATATCCTCAAACAGGAGTCGGGCTTGGTGGACCTTTCTCTCCGCCTCTTGCACCTCGGCATTCATCTGGTTCAGTCGGTCCTGCTGGCTCTTACCCTGTCGCAACAGCTTATCTTGTGTCGTCTTCTTCTTCTGGAGCTCTGACTCGGCTGAGTGCCAGGCATAGAATCCCTTCTGGCGCTGGCTGAATGCCTGCTTGATTGATCCAATGAGGCGAATGTACTCATCAATGATAATTCCAAAAGTGAGGACATCTTGCTGAGCTTGACGTTCGTACACATCGCGAATTGTAAGTTGAAGATCGGAGAGAGCATCGAGGGGGCCGGAGAGTGAGGGCGAAAGTTCAACAGTGGAGAGTGCGTGGAGAGAGGCAGAAAAGTCAGCAGCGGCCTCCGCCATCATCTTCCTCTGGCTAACCATGACCTCCATTGCCTTGAGAAGTCCCTTGAGCTGGTTCTCTAAGGCGTCAAGGTACACCTTGCGATCGTGGAACCAATCATCTTGCTCGACAAACTTGCTTCCTCCTCCGACATTGATGCCGAGAGATCCCAGCACACCCTTGCTCTCAGAAGGCAGTGGCTCCCGTCTCTCCTTATGCTTGATGTCAACGTTGAATGCCTCGCTTTCCAGGAACAGTTTTAGGTCAGCGTCGTGCTGAAGGACGGGGTGCGCCGCAGTCTTGTTGAGCATTTTTTCTAACGCGGCTCTTCTGCTCTCAACAAAGTTGCTGTCGAATCGGCCAACAGCCTGCTTCTCGGGTGGCGGAGGCACCACATATCCGGGGTTGTTGCCATGCAGGGTGTTGTAAAGCCAGAGGAAGTCTCGGTATCGACGCTTGACCTCGAATTCGGGCTGCTTGTAGGCTCTGGATGTGGTCTGGCAGGGGAGCTTGTTTTAGCTGGGGAATCTTGATGTATCAGAGAAGCAGCCAGAGGTAATAAATACTAACCTTGGTCCGCACCGAGTACACAATGTGCGAACTTGTCAAGTCTCCGATCTTAACCGGATCTCCGACGGTGATGTAAAATGTGGGCTTAGATGCCTCCTCGATGCTGACGCTCGGCTGCGTGCTGCTCTTCACACTACTGGGTCTCGCAGCATCCACAGGCGGCGGCATTCTTGGGCCTCTTGGGTTGTCCAGGTCATCATCGTCCTCGACAAGATGCGGATCGGCAGACCGTCTCTGCTGCTGCAGTGGCGCCATCGTCGTTCGGATGACCATCTGCTCCTTCTGGGGTGGCACGGGCGGGGCGTCCAGCGCAGCATTCTGGGTCGGTCCAGCGCTCAGAGGCCCGAGGGGATCGTCAACGGCTTCCAACTTCGTAGGTTGAGCAACGATGCGACGGGGGGCGCGCGAGGGTCGAGGCGCCGACGAGGTTGAGGCCTGTGATGTCGCTGGCGGGGAAGCAACGGGCTCACTCTCGGCGACGGGCTCAGGGGGGGTCTGGCTGGAATCAGCCCATGGCGACTCTTCGACGTCCATTGCGATGCGGGGATTCGGCGCGGTGAGCGGGAGATTGGAGGAGCTGGAGGAATTGGAGTTGCCTGGAGGCGGAACTGCGAGGTCGAGGCAGCTTGGCCGATTGAGAGTGGCATACGTACCGGATTGGAGAAGACACTGGTACCCGCTCTAGCGCCTGCTCAACGTCAGCGGTTGACGTACCTGGACCTTTGGCTGAACGAGGCTGCACCCCACTTAGCCTCAGCCTTGGTGATGGGAGACACAACAAGCTCATTTGATATCAGATATATATCAGATATATCTCATCGTCAGTCCAATCAACTAAATTTACGAAAAGAAGGATTGTTCTTTATTTGGTACAAGATGCGGGTATAAACACGCAGTCTTTGTTCGCTGACTATCTGTAAGTTGACTGCTCCCTAACATCTCTTCACGTCCCCTTAGCTCCAACTTTCCATTGTTATTATCCAGGCAGATTCGTGCCCCCATGACGCCCTGGCAGTAATCAGCTGCCATTACAACGCATCAAGTTTTGATCTAAATAATTATTCCTGAAACCAAACGATACCTATAGCTGTACACCAATTCCCAGTCCATCCCAATCATGTTGCCTCCTGCCAAGCACTTTATCCCTTTGGCACTGTAGCTGCTGCAATTTACTCGATTGCCGTCATAGAGACCTCTAGATTTGTGTCGCGGATGCGCAACTCATGTTCAGTCGCATTACTACCCCAATAATTGCCGGCAATTCCCCTTCATACCATGCCATGTTTCGCTCTACCTGTCAGGATCGTAACATCCGCCTGCTATGACGAGATTCATTCGAGTAAACTTGACATTGATCACGGGCGTCTTCTTCGTGGGAAAAGCAGAGATTTGATCCGGAGTAATCATCACCTCCTTGCTCTTCTTCTTGGGGCCCGTGGTGGTGCCGGCGTTAGTCGGTTGGCCTGAAGGTCCGGCGTTGATTCTTGATGCTTCCCCGTTGGGGCCGCCAATTGCCAAGTCGGTACCGGCAGTGGCAGCCTCCAGGCCGGCCTGCTGAGCAGCCTTGTGAGGGTCTGCTGGTGATTCGACGTCCCACAACCGAACCGTGCCATCTTGGCCACCAGAGGCAAGGATGTTGGACTCAACGCTGAAGCTGAGGGACCAGACGCCGCCTTTGCCGTGGCCGCGAGAGCGCTTTATGCGAGTCCCCTTGACCAGATCCCAAAAGAAGATATTGCCCGCAACGTCTGCGCTGGCCAGAATCTTGCCATTGGGGGCACATTCTAGAGAGCTGACATGTTCGGTGTGCCCAGTAAAGACTCTTACGCAGGCTCCTGTCACCACCGACCACATGCGGACAGACTTGTCCGTCTCGTCTGACGCCGAAAAGACGTACAATCCGTTAGGGTGCCATGCAATAGCCGAGATGGAGGTGTCGTGTCCAACAAGGAGACGCTGAGGCGATGCATGATCCTGCATCCAAACTCGGACAACCTTGTCGTAGCCACCGGTTAAAAAGTAATGTCCGTGTGGGCCCCATTGCGCCCTGTAGACAGGTCCGTCGTGTGACTTGTAAACGCATAGGCAGGTCCACGACTCCAGAGACCAGAGCCGGATTTGCCCATCCCCTGAACATGACAGCAGCAACTTTGGTCGCCCATCAATCGCCGCGTTCTGTCGTCCTTCATCACCAAACAGCTTTTGGGGAGGTCCCGAAGCAGAATCGGAAAAAGAAATATCATATACGGGACCAAAGTGCCCAATCAGTTTCCGGCTGTTGAACTTGGCACCCTTCTCGTGAGCATTTGAGCTGGGGAGAGCCTTGCCATCTAAGGACCAGACGCGAATATAGGATTCGCTGGTACCCACGGCCGCGAGCTGTCCATCATCGGAAAACTCCATACATGACACACTGACTTAAAGGTTAGTCCCTTTCGCTCTTAATTGTCAATCAAAGTGTAAAACTACTTGCCTCCCAAATGTGTTGTGGAAAGTAAACATGCAAGCGCTGACGGGGACGCCCACACCGCCTGTTCGACCCTCAATTTTGAACCTGTCTCTGTTTTCCCGTAGCTTTTGCATTTCAAGCATAATGTCTCGTGGGCGAGATGGTGGTAGAGGTAGATCGGCTCGGCTCGGGGCATCTGCACTCTCCTCTCGCTTTATCTTTTGGTCAAGCTCCTCCAGGAGACTGGTTCCACCAGGGGCCAGAGGATTTCGTCGTTCCTCATCTTCGATTTCGGCTCGGATATCATCGCGAAGATCCGTATCCATAGGTAGAGGGCCGAGGCTGAGAGGTGCAGCCGGATCCAAAATGTCCTTGTTAGACAAGCCGATGTTGACACCTGGGATACCTTCCTTGGTGTCCACCTCCTCAATTTCCAAATTTTTACTCTTTCTAAACACTGCTTCAAAACTAAATGGCGTGATAGGCCCGCGAGCTGTTGAATCAATCTGACAATATGAGACGAGCAGTTGTCGAATCACAGATCCACCCTGGTCAGACTCGCGCTCAAGAAAGTTGAAAAGGTCGCCAGTCGCGTGTTGGTTTAGGGGGATGCGATATTTGTTCTCTTTGTATAACTTGGTAATAGGGTTCTCGTTTGTATGCTGTGGAAGCGTGATGGTTGAAAACGTTTTTAAATCATCCGCGTGGGACGCTTGGAAATGCTGGCCGATTTCTTTGAGAAATAGCTTGCCCTCTTCTGTGTATCCATTCCCGACCAGCTCGATAAATGAGTAAACAAATGTCGGCCAGAGAAGCTTTGATAGCTCAAACTAGCGCAAACCTTTGTTCAGCACGCGCGCATTCGTAGCAAACAATTCGAGGAAGCACCTACCTTGTAGATTTCGAGGTTGTTCTCGACCCAGTCTCTCAATAGTCGAAACGCCCTCGAGTACTTCTTTGGACCTAAATTTGCCAGCTGTTGGACTGGTTTTCCGTCATTGCCCAAGTGTTTTGACTCCTGTCTGAAAACCTCTTCTGTCCTATTGAAGCCTCTCTTGAGTAAGTAATCGGTAACCTAGTGATGCTATTAGCTGATATGATTCTGAGGATGTGATACAATTTGACGGGTAATTGCGATTCAATAATGTGTTTTCGTGAGAGGACGGAGGGAGACATGGAAGATTGGAGCGTAGGCTGTTGGGTATGGGCTAGTGGGTGGCACATAAGACTTGTCTTGCTGAGTGTGCTGCTGTGTCATCGAATGCTACAAAGTGGTTGAGACGATGTAGCAGAAGAAGGACTGCAGATACCTCAGGTTTTAAACGACGGCCAGCGCTCCACGTAGAGGAAGAACTTGGTGATTTGCAATAAAAGCCTTTCCAAAAAGAAGGACCATTGTGGGAACAGGCATAGTAATTCCAAATACTACCACATACTATCTGGTTCAGATTCTGGTTTGACATGGCGCCTCCAGTGGTGCCAGTTGCAGCCGTAGTCGCGGCAGGAGGACCAGCTGGTGATGTTGCAGGTTGTCCTGCATAGGAGTTGGCCGTGCCAGCGCCCTGGGTTGGCGCCTGAGTAGCCATAGTGAAGATAGAGTAGACACCGTCTTTGAGGAGAGATGAATCCGAAGATGGGTACTAGATAAGCTTCCACGATTTCCCAGGCTTGGTGCTATGTCATAGTAGATCCTGATCCTGCGTGGCGTGAAAGCTGTAACTCGGCCAACTTTGTTCAGTGAGGTCAAGTTACGCCTGGATCTCACGCCCTGGTCGTGTGGCGGTATGCGGAGGGCAACTCGCTCCAGTCGTGAGCTCCACAAAACGAAGCAAAATCCCGTGATTCCGATTGAGATGCCGGTGTGCGATACTCGGAGGAAATGAGGAGGTTGCAGACGATAGCAAGCGACTATGCTTTGATGGCCGAGGAGCTGGGTTTGATGTTGAGAGTAAACTTAGGGAACGGGAATGCGCGAGACACCAGTACAGTTAGTATAGCCGATGTTTAAGCGGCGCCTCTCAGAAGCTGTTCAGGTTCAGTCATCCAAAAGTGAAATGTTATCCTTTGCAGACGTGCATAAATTAAATATGTTATACAGTGCAATAAATGTTTTTAAGTAGTGACTTTTTAAGCTTTCAAGTAACGAAAAGCAACCCAATTGTGCATATTCTCACAGAAAGCATGCCATACAAGCTTCACGGTAGCTTATCAAATTCACGGCGCGTTGTCTGGACCCACAGTTGTCCAATGTTCCTCTTACGGCTCATGCTTTAACGCATCACGACTCACTACACTTTCCATTGCCTAGGTATCCCTTCTTGTCTGATACCCTCCGTAGCGCCTCAATTAATCGAGTGACGTTCGAAAAAGAATACACAACCTCCAGGGGACCTGTTGGGAATCACACAGCTCTACACAGCCAACTCACCCAAGCTTTGCAACCTTTGGTCCACTCTCACAGCCATGGCTTCACCTGAGGATATCGTCATGGGGGATGAAAAGGAAGACTCCCAGCCCCAAGAGCCCTTTGTCCCTTTCACCTTGGAGGAGAACATCCATCAGCTAAACTCTATCGACCGGTCCATCGTCCAGCTGATGAGCCACTGTGCCACTGCACTTGGCGCCTTGACCACGCCAGCATCAGGCGACGACAGCAATCCTTCGGCATCAGTAGAGTCAACGGCGCAAAAGGGGGCATTTAGAGAAGCTACGGATACATTTCTTGATACGCTTCATAGTATCGATGTACGAATGAAACGCCAAATTCTCGCACTGGAAGAAGCAGGCATTGTCAATCTGTCGAGCGGACCTCGGCAGGGTCACAACGCTACCGTCAAGCCATCTCTAAAACCTAATGGCATGGGCGCTATCGGAAATCTAGACGTTGGGTGGTTAAATAGCCGGAGCACCAAGGTTGAACGAGATATGGAGCTAGAGCTATGGAGAAGGGCGCGGGAGCTCCTTGAAAAGGATGAGGGGAGTATCAAGAAGGAGTAAATACATGAAAAGGCTGGTTTCCTGGAAGTAATTTACAATGGATTTATTAATCGGGTATGTCTCAAGGTACGCTAATTACTTGTTCCTGGATATCACATTACTGACAATTTTGAGAAAGGCCATGCCTTCCATACACGCAATGTTTCGCAATCCCACCAACTCACATTGGGCTGCTATTGAGATGGCAGGCACCTATCCCTAGATCTCAGTATCATTCTCGCAAAGCCTGTTATATGCATGCGTAATTTTGAAAGGTTCGTCTGGTGCTCGTGGCACAATATTTTCGGGCTGAATACTAACAGGGCGTCAGCCTGGATGAGCTTCCATCACTTCAAACAGCAGCAAGCTTACAGGGCGTCGAAGAAATAGCAAGAAAACTCTCCCGACTCGGGTGTTGAGTGCTTAGCTAGATGACCGGGGTTAGCTATATGACGGTGATAGAGGGTAATGGGGACATCTTACTCTGGTATCCAACCCAAGATACGCATTTCTTTCTCGCGTTGCAGGTGTACTGGCACCTATTCTCGGCCCATGGGACCCAAGTAGTGCCCAAAGAGAAGTGCTGTATGTATTAGGTCACGGTATTTAGTTAGAAGAATATACGAGGCAAACGTACATCTGCGTCTCCAACATTTTGGTGGCGCGCTACCCATGCTGGATCGAGAACAAAGCGCATCGGGAATTGGGATGGCGGCTTCACCTCGTGATAGTGAATGGTCCAGTGGTCATACTTTTTGGGGGCCCCATACACACAAGCCCTGTGGTCCTTGTTGGTGATGACCTCTTGGTCTAGGAGAGGGGCCGCAGAGGTGGCAGCGATTAATGAGGCAGCCAACAGGCACCGGACGAGATGCATGGTCAATCAGCTGCAGTATTATTCGAGAAGAAAGAATTTGGCGGTCTACAATAGATGAAGGCAAATTTCTGGTTGAGCCCATATCTCGAAGCCTTTCATAAGAAGAACGACCCCTCAAGGTGCTGCATTGGTTCCCGTGTCATAGCATCATCATATCTACGTTTTCTCCCGCTTCCCCAACGAACAAAATAAGGAAGCGGCTAAATGAGCCACTGCCGTTTGAGTGCCGCGTACCTCTTCTTATTCAAATGAGGCGCGCTAATCGCCGAGATTCTAGACTGATAGTTTTCGTTTATGGAAGGCGCTGAATTGTGGCAAGACGCATCATGCATACTATTCTCGTGGAGCATTCAGGGTATGTAAATCGGTTGATTGTTCAGATTAGTACACGGTGCCAGAATACTGACATCAAACTTCTTTTAGGATAAATGTGTAGCATCAAGTTGATCTGTAATATGCATGCTCTTAACCATATCTATTGCATTTCTTGGCGGATGAACCATGAAGATGGCTTGCATACTAGAAGCGAATCCATGGGACAGTACGCTACTGCAGGCAATTAGGTGCCTGGATGGATACCGCTGAGTCTATCTAATCGTAAACTGGAATGTGAAGTATTCAAGGATACCAGGTATTAGCGCTCTCTTGATTAAAATAAAGTTCTCTTTTATCCAAAGGTTCGAGTCTCGTCTACAATAAGTCGCGACTCTTTCACGAGCATCGCGCCGTGTTAGCCGCTTTGAGATGACATGCAGGAGTGGAGAATCTAGAACCTCGTACGGGCTATCAAATTACGTAGAGCGTCGCTTGAGTTTGCTGAGCAATTCAGTTTCAAAATGATCTTGGAGCAATCGTTGCGGAATAATTTATTTGTATGTACACACTTCTCAGCACTATGAGGGTATTGAATACAGCACATGTCGAGAGCCAATTCTCCATCTATAGAATTTGCCTCTCTTATCACTGTTTCTCCGTCTCTGATCCATCAATGGATCCATGGATATCAAAAACGCTCAGACCACTGCAGCTCCAGCGCTCTTTTGCGGGGCAAACCCCAGTAATTCGCCCCAGTCTTACTGTAATTGTCGCTGGTACTTCGTATTAGAGCATGCGTAATAGCGCATTGCAGGTCTCTTGGTTCGCCCGGCAGAACGTCGGTGCCAGGGCCCTCCCTGCGCGTTTCGATGCATGTCGTGGCATTTCATCTCCGATCAAGCCGCTCAAAAATGTTTCAATGCCCTTGATAAACACCTGGCCGAGGTTTTTCTGGCGTCCGTTCTCTACGGCTACAAGGACCGGAAGCGCTGTACGATTCGGCTTTAGGAGGTGAAAAGAAGGGATTTTCTTTTTCTACACTGCTTTTTGCTTTTTTCTTTCGCATCACAGTCAAAATGATGCAGCTGTCTCGGCCAGCGGCGACGGCTCTATTGCTGTCGATCGCTTCGTTCGGGACGCTTGTCCAAGGCCACGATCACCATGAGGGCGGCGAAAGTCACATCCCCGAGGGCGAAGCGATATCACTTGAGCCTGTCGTGAGTTGGCGCTGTGGAAGAGGATAGGGGGAAAAGAAGAAAGACAATTAACATCAATTATAGGACACGATTCTCTGGATTCACATCCTTATCCAGATGCTTGCATACGGCGTCATCTTCCCAGTGGGCATGGTGTTTGGTGTAAGAACCACCGTCTTGAATCTACATGGTGCTTTGCAGAAGCACAGCGACTAACTTTATGCGATTGCAGATGACCAAATCTCGATGGCACGTCCCGACGCAAATCTTTGGTTCCATCCTCGCTGTCGTCGGCTTCTTTCTCGGCCATGCGCACAAAGGGCGAGAGTTTGTTAGCCACAACGTACACTCGGTGTTTGCAAACATCTTGCAATTCCTGCTTATCGGCCAGGTCGTCTTGGGTCTATACTTGAAGCTTCACTGGGAGAAGGGCGCCCTGGGCATGATTCGCAAGTTTGTCCGACCTTTCCACTCCGTCATTGGCAAGGCGATGCCCCTCCTCGCTTGGGTGCAGATGATCTTTGGAGGCATCACCACCCTTGGCTTTTGCCAAGGCGATCACGTTGGTCAATGCGCAGCCCACTTCATCATGGGTGGCGCATTCATTGCCTATGGCATCCTTTTGACCATTATTCTGCTTGCGGGACAGGTCTGGATCCGTCGCACGGGAAGATCACAAGAGTTCTACGACAGCGCTGTCATTGCCGCCTGGGGCTGCGTCAACACCTTCACGGAGCACCGCTGGGGCACCGCCTGGGTCAAGAATGACTGGCAGCACACTACAATGGGTGTCATCTGGTGGTGTGCGGGTCTGGCTGGTATTTGGCTGAGCCGAGATCGCGACGGCAACCCGAAGCGCAACTTCATTCCTGGATTCGTCATCCTCATCACTGGCTGGGGCATGTCTGCGCACCCTCAAGAGCTGATGGTCAGCGCCATGACACACACCATGTTTGGTTACACCCTGATGGCTGCCGGAGTTACACGTATCATCGAGATTGCCTTCGTTCTCAAGGATGCGCAATCGCTGTCTGACGATGGCCGCACCTGGAACAGCTTCCAGTACATTCCCGTTTTCGTAAGTTGACGCTATTTGATAGCCAAATTAGATGATAGCTAACACATACTAGCTCTTGTATGCCGCCGGCTTCCTCTTCATGGGCGCAACCGAACAGCAGATGGCTCTCATCGACGGCTCCAGCATGGACGTCATCTCTTATATCCTGATCCTCTACTCTCTTGCATTTTTGGTCTTTTTGTTTGCCAATATGCTTATCCACCTCTACGATCGCCTGTCAAACCCACCTCTGGACACCAAAGGGTTCACCAATGGCCACACTCACTTGAACGGACGAGCTGTAGAGGATGGTCACATCCGAGCGGCAGAAGAGTTTGAGCTTGATGGGCTGTCAACCGATGATGAGGACGATGAGAGGCAAGGAATGCTGGCAGGCGAGGGATCCAATGCCCCAAAGCGACCTGCTGCAGTTCAATCATGAAATACAAATGGGATATGAAAGTTATGTCAACGGGGAAAACACATGCTATTGGAAGAAATCTCTATATAAAGCTTAGCGTGTTTTGGAGTTTTGTCTTCGCTTAATGGTCTGTACACAATACTGGGAAGCAAGATGATGGGTAATTTTGGGTCTAATAATGCCGTTATAAAATAATCTGAAATATGAATACTATTGAATATCATAAAGTTGCATCTCAAGGTTCATATGCGCAAGTGTTGCGATTGGCAGCATTGAGTTGGTACCTGCGTCCAGGGTCCAACCAAAAAAAGCTAGCTGCGCGGGTGCTCTTCATGGTGGGGCTTATCTTTTTTTTTCTTTGTCGATATCACCACCATCTTTCTGCATACAATTCTCGACCAAATCTACGATTCATTCAGAATATACATCTAAGCACCAGCGTCGTTGTTTCATTTTCTAACAATGCCTTCCGTCAAGAACCCCAACCGCCTCTCCAAGAACCGGCTCGCCGCCCGTGCCGCAAAGGCCAAGAAGGCGAACCAGAAGCGCGCCGACCCGGCCAACCAGAACAAGATCACCAAGGCCGACAGGACGAGGGGCGCACGGCCGGGCTTGATGCCGACGAGCGGACCGAGAGCCCCGATTAGCGGCAAGAAGGCGAGGAAGCTGGAGAAGAAGATGGGATATGCGCTGAAGAGGAAGATGGAGGCTGAGGGAGAGGCTGTGATGAAAGGTGCGTTTGACTTGGGGCTTTCGAGTCTTGACGGGAGAAGAAGAGATGAAGAAGGGAGTGCTAATGTGGGAATAGATGCGCCAGTTGTTGAGGAGAAGGCCGCACAGGAGGAGCAGGATATGGAGATTCAGTAATTGCTTTGTCTGGGGAATGGGATATCATACGTAAGTAGGTACCCTTGGCGGTCCGAGGGGAGATTCCAGGCTAACCGGGTGCGACAGATTAAAAGTTGGTTGTTTGTTTGATTGGCATTTCTGTGGTACAATGGGACACATTACACGGCGCAGGATGGGGACTGGATTTGCAACGATTAATAGACTGGATGAGCATCTTCAACGGCTATGTGATACGTTAAGCTATCGAATATAACTTTTTTTCTCTCGCCACCATGAGCCACCTAATAGTTACTCGGACCGCTGAGGATATGGTATAAGACCGCCGTCTTTGATGGATCGCATCTCTTGTTGCTTTTTATAGCCGTCATCTTGCCTCGATAGGTTCTGCATATTTACAGTTCCTGCATCGCTTGCTTGGTCTTGGGAGAGCCCTGTTTCGGTTTCGGTGTAGGAATACGAGTTTGAGGAAAGTGACGAAGGATACGGTGTTGATGACCATTCGCTTGATCGAATTGATGGAGGAGGGCTGTCGCAGATGCAGCAGTAGATTTCAGCGCATATTTCTAGCGATGTCTCGAGGAAGGTGGGCTTATATGGCTGAAAGTTATGAGAGCGAGGTTCAATAGTGCCGTATGTAGAGACACTGGCTGATTTGGTGTCGGGAGGGTTGCATATGGGGCAGTCTGGGCAATATGATGAGGCAGCGTCGGTGCTGGAAGCGTCTGTGGTCGTTTGGCGGTCTTCGGTAATTGTTTCATTGGACGACGAGGATGGGTTGCTAGGTTGAGATGTGCGCGTATTATCCATGATGGGCGTATTATTCTAGGCGATTATTGAAGTCGGGAAGATGCAGAATTGGTGGATATTTTTGGCAGCATTGGAGTCTCACAAACATATGGAATTGACACCTGCACGAAAACAGGGAAAGGAGAGGGTTTATATAGGTTGGGCATATCATGGTCGATATGGCATTTGGAGAGACACATGCGTATTGGTCAGATGCTTTATCGCAAAGCTGGTCGATTTGGCATCTTGCGTCACTTGATTAGGCATGTGCGTTTGTGGTGTAACTGCGCATTCATCACTGTCCATGAATCACGAAACGGTACGTGATAAGATGTTGCTGTGGGTTGAGGCTGAGAACTCAGAGCCAATGATACCTTACCTAGGTGCATCGCAAACAAAACACCATAACTTTGGGGAATCTTTGAAGATGCTGGAAAGCATGAGAGCTGCTTGTTTGATGGCGGATATTGACAGCTGTTGAAGAATGAGAACAATAAGAGGGGCGGAGTGAATGAAGTAGATTTTGTGCATTTCCACGCCAATGTGAATCCAGAACAAGATGTTCTGCAAATTGACAATACAAACTAAAGGGAATTGTCCATGAGTCTCAATGGCAGAGGTGCAAGATGTGCGCAGCGTTATTGCCATATGACGGAGAGAGAGAGTATGAATTCGTTTGCGACTGGGAATTTTCCGTTCTTGTTTTTGCTGCATATTCACGCTCTCTAGTTTTCTTCCTTTGAAGCTGCATTTCCTTTTCTCACCAGTATCTTCCTGGGCCGAATTTTCTTTTCCCTCACCGCAACCGAGCTCCAAAGTGCACTTTGGCTGGTTACCTTTCCTTCTCTCTTTTCCTTTCTCTCCGACGTTTTTCTTTGTCCTCTCATTTCTTTCCCTACCTTTTCTCTCTCGTTCTCTTCTTGCAATCCGAGTCAACTCACCATCAGCCTCTGCACCATCTCTCAAGCTCTTCTAGCAGCCATGGCTTCCACCAAGCGAACAGTCATCGAAATATCCTCCGACAGCGACGAAGACAACCCTCTTGTCACACGCCGCAAGATCCGCCGGCGTTCTAAATTAGAGACACAGGGTTCGTAACAATGAAATGACTAAGAACCTGCCCCGACATCGGTGCTAACATCTTTCGATACGAAGCAGACACAGGGGCCGCCCAAGGCCAAGCGACATTTGCAGAGTTTCTCTCCCGTGCGGTGCCGAGCAAGCTGATCGCAGGTGATGTCGCAGAATACATCCAGCGCGAATCTAATGTTCGTCTAGAGACTGCCAGGCAAGAAGGGATTAGTCTGGACGAAGTCTTCATCGGCATGGACTGTTTGCCAACTTGGATTGGTATGCAATGGGATCCTCAAAGAGAGTCTCTGCACTGCGCTATCCAAGATCGGCTGATGGACTTGGAGGTCTCGAGTATTCTGGGAGATACTCTTCGGGAAGAGCTTATCGACAAGGGGAACCGGAAACTCGAAGAAGCACGACAGCTCGGAATGACCCTTGAGGATATTACGATTGGAAAGGGGCTTCTGGCGACATGGCGTACTCTAGAGTCCAACCAAGAGACGGGAGATAAACGAACAGAGCTGATATACGATGACGTTATGCAGTCGAGTATCGAAACTACTGTTCCGCGCTCGTCAGTCTTTAGTCGAGCAGAGACACCCGATTCCGATATTATGAGCATCTCCTCAGCAACTGCGGCTCGAAATTCACCCGAAATCGTGTACGACTCATCAAGCACATACGATAGCTGCTCTGACTTTGGCAGCAGCAGCAACGATGGTGACCACAGCAGTAGCACCGAAGATGATGACGGAGTTGACGGCATCATCCATATGACCAATATGGTCAACCCCCAGCCGGAATATTCAGAAAGCGACGGCGAAGCTCCGCATATTCTTCACGACGTTGAGATTGCAGGCGGCCGTGAGGGTTATGGGGATGTCGATTTAGAGGTTTATTTGGTGGATGACGATGACGAAGAAGTGGAGCGCTTGCCGGAACTTGAGCTCGCGATTGATGGAGATGCGTTTATACATTACTTTGGCGACGATGGAGTTATGGAGGTGGAGATTCCTGGCATGGATCTGCGGTGTTCGCTTGATGTTCCGCCAGACCAGAGTGATGAAGGAGGCTATACTACGGAAGATGGACAACCAATGGAGGAGATCGAAGATGATTTTGACGGCGTTATGGACGAGGACGAGGATGAAGATGGAGAGCAAAATTCTCGGATTCAAATCACCGAGGATGGTTTCACTTGGTGAAGTTAATTACTTTCTGTCTTTCGGTTTACCGTTTGCTCTTGGGAGGGGAAATTCTGCGTTTTTTCTATGTTTTGGGGCTCTGGGATTTAGCAAAACTGGCGTTGGATTTTCTATGAACATGGAGGGTATCGGATTTGGGACTTGGGACCTGGGAATCGGTATTGATAACATTTACAATTCTTCGTAGCGAGCTTAGCGGTATTTGAGAGGGACATATGCGGAGTTAAATTGATCTTGCTGGCTTTAAAGTTCTATAATCGTCGTCACTCTATATGGCACCATTGCATTATTTTGAAAGTCATCTTTGTAACTTTCGAAGCGTCCTTGTTTATGTCAGTGCTGATAAGTACTACGACTACTTGTGAAAACTTGATAGTAAGCAAATATGACCCAATTGAAAGCGGATTACAACTTCTTTTGTTCATAACATGTAGACAAGTGGGTAAAACCAACGTTATATGTATTATGGCGCGGTCCACTTACACATGGGAACTATAGAGTTGAAGTAGCTGTATGTCTAAGTCATGCAATCCTTCGCGTTCTCAGACGGACACTACTATCTCTATATATCCTCAAGATTACTCCATATATAACGTCCTTTAAGATCTCTCTTCACCCCCTTCATTAAGCTCAATTTACATGTTCACAAATCAGTTTTCAACTGGCCAAGCATCTGGTAATCATTATCAATACGGCCGATTGGTCATAGTCGGTGCGTTTGCGGTCCGACGGGGCTGCCGGCTACCAAACTAGGCATGAATATATTCTTTAGATATTATGAGTGAGGCAATATGCAGACGGTTTCACCCGCATCTGATATATGTAACGTCGAGTCGATGGATATTTCCGATAATATACCCTGCGTCGGATATATCAGTGCTCCGAATTCCACAGAAAGCCGATAGTGGATGTACATCCTCTCGCGATTAGTGAGAAAGGCCGACGACAAGCAAGCTATGGAAGCTGGGGTAATTGGTGGGGCATATTAGGCATGCATAATTACTCTATACAGACGACCAAGATAAAACGGGCTTGGAACGATGTAGATGGAAATGTATCCTTTCTTCAATAGGGCTGTAGAATCATGATCCAACGGTCTATAGGTATAGAGTCTAGAAACTGTCCGTAGAACACGCCGTGATGGCGTCCATATCAAATGAGTTTATTGATCGCCCTACAATATACAACAGCATACAAAGCTTTGACGCTGTAGCTATTGACACCACTTGACCCTCTGAATGCTCCAATTTTCAACATGAATGTATAAATCTAGAAGCAGATGGCCCTAATTCTATTTTACTCCATGTATTATGGATTGTAGCGGTTGACACAGAATTAATACCTAACCGGCGTCGCGATCCTCGCGTAGCGAACTGACCAATTCGTCCGAAGCACCGTTGATGCCGATCGAGTGTGAAATAACGGAGACCGAACTACCGACGGCTTGAAAGAGAAATTTCAATAAAGGGTAATGGCTGTTGGATTACAATACATGCTCTCTCGGAAGGAGTAGGGTAGCAATGCCAAGATGTTGGCTGGCTGACACAAACTGGTAATTACCTGTATTTGTTTCCCACGCGCCGGTTAATAAATTTGTCTTCGATATAGCCGTGGTTAAATAAAGACATTCCCCTCCATGAAGCAGTCATAGCTCCAATCATTCTATCATTCTCTCAATAAACTTACATACAAGACAAAACTGTACGATAAATCACCAGCTATGCCTTTCATCGACGGTCCCAACGGCGAAGAAGTCGTCCCAATCAGAATCAATGGCGTCTCTCAGCCCATAGATTCAACTAGTCTCATCCCAGTTGAATCCAATATTCAAGACAAAGTCATCCACTATGCTCAGAGCGCCACACCTGAGTTGGCCATCAAGGCTGCCGAAGCGTCCTACCAGGCGTTTTGGAAATGGAAAAATTCCACACCTAATGAGCGACGGGACTTGCTTCTTCGTACGGCTAATGTGATTGACTCTTGGCTTGATCGCTTCATTGAGCTGCAAGTAGCCGAGACGTCTTGCACGGAAAGCTGGGCTCAGTTCAACACGATTACCATGGCACGATGCATGCGCGAGATTGCTTCCAACATCTCACATGCTACGACGGGCGAACTGCCATCTTTGGAATCGTCTGGATCGCTCGTATTGGTGTATAAAGAACCAATCGGCCCTGTCCTTGCCATTCCACCCTGGAACGCTAGTTTGATCCTTTCCGGGCGTGCGTTGGCCGCGCCAATTGCTGCTGGATGTTCTGTCGTGCTCAAAGCATCAGAGCTGTGTCCACGAACCCATCACACTATTGTCCTAGCCTACGAAGAAGCCGGTATGCCAAAGGGCCTTATTAACGTACTACAAGCCTCGCGTGAAGATGGACCAGCTGTAACGGAAGCGTTGATTGCTCACCGAGCAATCCGCAAGGTCGAATTCATTGGCAGCGCTGCTGTTGGCCGTATCATTGGCCAGCTCGCATCCAAGCATTTGAAGCCTGTGCTGATGGAGCTGGGTGGAAAAGCCCCAGCTATTGTACTCAAAGACGCCGATGTAAAGTTTGCAGCCGAAAAGATCGTTGAAGGTGCCCTTTTGCATCACGGCCAGATCTGTATGTCTACGGATCGTATCGTTGTGGTGCAAGATGTTGCAGACGAGCTTATCCAAGAGCTGAGGAAGGTTGTTGAGACGAAGTATCCAAACGGCACGAGCCATGCTGTCAGCAAGAAGCAAGCTAAGAGAGCTCATGATCTCTTACAAAACGCCCGTGCTACGGGAGCTCGTTTTCTTGTAGGAGATGGAAGTCTCAATGCTGCTGGGACAAGCGTTACACCGACTATCATCACAGACGTGAAGCCCACAGCTGAAATCTATCATGAGGAGATTTTCGGCCCAGCTGCCATGCTCATCACTGTCAAAGATGAGGCTGAGGCCATTCAAGTTGCCAACGACACAGAATATGGTCTTAATGCTGCGGTCCATAGCCGAGATATCCTCGCTGCGATACGCGTTGCTAAGCAGATTGAGGCAGGGCAAGTTCATATTGGTAATATCACGATGTATGATGAGCCGAATATCCCGATTGGAGGAACGAAGGGTAGTGGCTGGGGAAGAAACAACGGCAAGTATGCGCTGAATGAGTTTTTGGCAGAGAAGACAATCACGATTCTTGATCCTACAGCTGGGGGAGCTAAGTTTGGAAAATGAAGAATCAATATATTAAAGCAGTATGTGATTAAACGTTTAGCACGCGTCCAGATATGTATTGTATAAGCTGATATCGTCATCCGCTTTGAATTATAGCTATTTATATGAATTTTCTTGAAGCTGTTGCAGTAATGTGTCCAGGTGTTTCATTAGAGTGCTCAAATATTTCCGATATAGTGCCTAATAAGCTGCAGAATAATGAGGGGGTTTCTAAATTATTAAAATATCACGAAGCTCCATTCATCGTATTGGAAATGTCGCTCTTAATGTAAAAAACTTTTGATGGTTTCACTTAGGATAAACACAGTATGTGTAAGTGAGGTTACCCTGCCATCTCAAACTTACAATTTGGACCGACCATAAGGCTCTGCTGAAGGTAGTTGGAACAGCTGCTGGTAAGTCCTTCAAGCTCAGCCGATATGAGGGTTTGCCGTTGAAACACTGATGAATGGGATGTAATTACGGCTTTCGTTCAAGTTTCTAACCTTGCACTTCACGTACGTTGCCCCGGCTTAAATATTTAACATATTCTCATTGTAAGGATCTATTTGTTGCTCATCATCAGTGTTAGCTGTCACTCGTTCGCAATACTTTTAAACTGAATTATAATATCTTGTGTGAGATAGTTTTACGTAAATTAGCTGTGACACATCATCCTAGAGATTACTATTATGAATCCATAGTCGCTACTTGATATAATAGTAACAAAATGAAAACGGAATTGGACCTTGGCTAAAGACAGAACTAAATTTCGAAAGTTTTACACCTTAGAAGAAATTACGTATCTCCACGTACATATACACTGAGCTCTGGAGGTTTTCGTATGGTTGATGTCTCGCCTCTAAGTAAGAGCTCTGCTGTTGCGTAAATCCTTCAAGGTAGCAGAATTGGTACCCAAGCTAGGCTAATCAAGCTGCCAACAGAGTTTCACTCTGTTCTCCATACCGTGTAGTCAATTACAAGAGCAACAGCAATCAACGTATTTATATTGCACATCCGAACTACCCCTGTTGTGGTTTATGATGTTGCATACGTAATCTCCAAGTGGCTATCTCAGACACTTCGAAGGTGGATTAACATTGTGGAGAAGTTACTTATAGGCAGATTGTCAGCGAAAAATTATATAACATGAATAAAGAAAAGGTGGCTCTTCATGTAAATGATATCCTAGATAACTACTTTGAACTTGCTATTAATCGGTATGCTTACCTTATTTCTATAACATAGATAAGAACATTCTATCACCTTCTATAGATGTTTAATTGCCACCCATAAGTATATATTAAATCGGCATGTGATAGGCAGTGGGAGGTGGCTAAGCATTATTGCTTTTCTAACAACTTCACAACCTTCTTATGCCCCTCCTCGGCTGCCCATAACATCGGCGTCTGCCCGTTATAATCCTTCGCCTCTCGGTCGGCGCCTCTGTCGACCAACAGCTTCACAACCGCCTTATGCCCCTTCCCAGCTGCCCTTGACAGTGGCGTCCGGCCGTATTTATTCTTAGCCTCTAAGTCGGCGCCCTTATCAACCAGTAGCTTTACAACTGCCTCATCCCCATTCTCCGCTACCCATAACAGCGACGTTTGCTCATAATTATCATCTTTAGCCTCTAGGTTAACGCCCCTGTCGACCAGCAGCTTTACAATTGCATCATCCCCATACCTGGCTGCCCATAATAGCGGCGTCTGCCCGTGATTATCCTTCGCCTCTAAGTCGGCGCCCCTGTCGATCAGCAGCTTCACAACTGACTTATTCCCATACCCAGCTGCCCTTGACAGCAGCGTCCGGCCGTCTTTATCCTTAGCCTCTAAGTCGGCGCCTCTGTCGATCAGCAGCTTTATAACTGCCTCATTCCTATACACATTCCTCATTGCCCATAACAGCGGCGTCTGGCCGTCTTTATCTTTAGCATTAACGTCGGCGCCACTCTCGACCAGCAGCTTCACAGTTGCCTCATAGCCTCTTTCAACCGCTAATACCAGCGGCGTCTGGCCGTCTTTATCTCTAGCCTCTAGGTCGACCTTGCCACTCTCGACCAGCAGCTTCACAATTGCCTCATAGCGTCTTTCGACCGCCAATACAAGCAGCGTCTGGCCGTCTTTATCCTTAGCCTCCAGGTCGACCTTGCCACTCTTGACCAGAAGCTTCACTACTGCCTCATGCCCTCTCCCAGCTGCGTGTAATAGAGGTGTTCGTCCGCTATTATCCTCAGTATCTGGGTCGACACGTTGATCTGCTAATAATATCTCAATCGCAGAGTTGTGTCCCATCTCCGACGCATACGACAGAGGTGTCCGGTGATTTGCGTCTGCTGAGTTTGGGAATGCTCCCCAATCTATCAATTTCTTCATAGTATTGAAGTGCCCCTTTTCCGCGGCTTGAGACAGAGCAGTTCTTGAGTGTTGTTTTGGGTCTTTAAAATCCGGTTCTGCGCCTAATTCAAGCAACGCAAGGACCACTTCTGCCCAGCCGTGTTTTGCCGCCGAACAAAGGGCTTTTCCCTTGTCTTCATTTGTCATTGAGGTCGACAGAGTGAGGTAGAGCAAGGTTGCGTTTAAGTCGTCTTTAATCTTAGAGAGCTGCCCACCTCCATTGATATTATTACCCTGTTCAACCGCTTCTATAATGCCACTGTAACGATCTATAATTTTGCCAACAGCTAAAGGCCCTGGTTCTTTGCTGCTGGATTTCTGGTTTGAGAGCCATTTAATACCACTGAGGCCAAACTCTTTCATATCATTGCTTCGTATTGCCCACCGGTATAACTCGCCTAGTGAGATTGCCGCTTGTTGGATTTGTTCGCCCGCGACAGTCGACTCGTGGTTCTGACAGCTCTCCCCCATTGGATGAGGCTGAGACTCGTTGCAAATTTTCCACGCCCATCGTAGCACTGTCTCCGCGTGCGCCCACTCGCCACGCCTTCGATGTTCGTTTGCTTTTGTCATTGCTGCCCCAACGGCGTTTCCTGTAGAAGACAGCTTCAGCCGAGGTATCATTGGAGGCAAGACACACAATAGTGCATCTTCTTTTGAGCCCAACTGCGTTTGGGTGAACAACTTTATTATCTCCGACACCAAGTCATTCTCTAAGCGGAAGTGCAAAGGTTCCTGGATGCTAATATCGCCGATATCATCCACAATGTCAAGCATGCTGGCGATGAAGAATCCGAATACCTCCTGGGTACATAGGGATAAAAGAGAGCCGGTTGTAGAAGTCGACGAGACTATGAATGGGACAAATTCATGGCTCTGTGACAGCTCTGCCGTGTGCCAGCCAAAGAACCGAACTTCCCGGTCCTGTTCCATGCCTTTCTGCCATTTCGTGATGCTTGGATCGCCACGTTGAATGGGGGTGGGACGAAGTTCGTGTTCTGTAAAATTGGAGATTTTGTCACCGAGCCATACCTTCAGGTCAGTTTCTGCTATATTTTTGTTGCATGAAACGATGCGTCGTGCCGGGACTTCAGTGGCTCGAGATACTGTGAACCGACTCTGTAGGTCTGACGTCTCAACTGCAGGATCAGACTTCAGTGACCAAACCCATAATCCTAGAAGCCCTTCAAGCTCTAGTCTGTTTTTCAGTCTCCAGGGAGTTTCGGGGTTCTCGCGGGTTAGTTGTAAATATACTGTGTGCCGGCTTGTTTGATCCTTGGAAGCATTGCATGGTTCGGCGGACACTACTTCACAGGCAAAGCTCCAGAACATGGATTCAGTATGTTTCCACTCTTCTCCGATTCTGGGGCTCTTTGAGAATATCGTGTTGGCTGCAGACTCAATGGCCAAAGCGAGCCGTTGGGCATTCTCTCGGACCTCGACCATTCGGAGACCAAAATGCTCCGCAGAGGTTGCATTCTTTGTTAGAGTGGTTGGTGATTGGGTGAGTTGCGCGAGGCGAGTCCGGTAGGCTAATAATTTGGTAGCAACATTTGGTTCACCAGAAGGAGGTGGAAGCTCGGGTGTGATTCCACGTTTTCTGTCCGGCGTATTCCCACAAAATCTCCAAAGTTGACGGCGTAGAGGGTCTGACGGACCAGGTGAAGGCTTCAGATCGCGTTGAATATCTTTCTCGCCAATGCGCAGGGCAAGCCAGTCAAGCTCGTGCCCGACAACCTCGTCTGGGCACTGAGAGAGGAAATTGTCCTCTGGTTTTAGGCGCTGCATGCGGAGCGCAGCCCGAGCAGCACTCATCAGCATGATGACTCCAAGTTGTGCCACAGAGACTGCAGAATGGATCGCACGCAGACCGACAAATTGCATCACAAAGCCGGCAATAGAAGTACCAACAGCAGCCCAAACTACAAGTTCTGAAACTTTTGATTGGTTCTTCCATGAAGTGATATATTCCTGCAGAGGTTGGTCGTGATCGCTGCAACAGAAGGCGTCAAAGACTTGGTCCCCAAGGACTTGTCCTCCAGGCTGTACCCAATAAAGGTTTTCTTTCGTCGATTGCTTGTTTTGATCGTCTTGGGTCTTGCGAAACACTCGTTCATTTGTGCTCTGTCCCACTAGAAATGCACAAAGAAAGATGCCGCCGCACAAAAGAAGAGTTCCTATGATTGTCAGCGGGCAGGCATACGATTCTGGATGACTGCCATCCTTCTCCCAGTGCAGGTGGTATGTTACAATGGCCGCAAAGACCAAAACTCCAGCCTGTAATACCATGCCAGTTATAGCGACTGCCCAGAAAACAGCAGGGGTTTTTCTTTTGATTCCGACATTGAGAGAGAGATTTGGAGCAAACACATCAGCGATAGATTCGCTGTCGTCTGGTGGTCCGCTCCATTTCTCTGGGTGTTTCTTAACGAATTCTCGAAAGGTATATATCCCCGCCGTCCCATCAGTGAACTTGTGCTCAGCCTCCGCATCATAAACAATCTCGAGTATCTTTGGCCGTCCAAAAACTCGTGCAATGCCGCCATTGTTGTAGAGTTCACACACATCCCTGCTCGTAGAGGAGCACAGCTCTGCTTCAGCGTTCCCCCCTCCTTCTTGTGCTCTGCCGATGAAGGCGCGCAGCGACGGACTCCCGCACACGCGAATCGCGGAGACTACCGCTGTCAGGATGCCCATGGGCGCCATTGCGAATATGAAATAGTCGATTGTAGTAATGCTTTCGCTGAGGTATTGTTTCGTGATCTGCTCACCAAAGAGGGATAGAAACGGTGCCAGGTCTGTCGCGAGATTATTTGAAAAGTCATCCCAGCCATCCGCGCGGACAGTTGGGAGGCTGAGAAGGCCAAAGAAGCCAACAAGAAAAAACATCCTCAAAACTGTACACTAAAGCTTTGGCTGTTACTGATCATGATGCCGAACGCGTAGCCATAGGACGGGCACAGGGCGGGATATATGCAGCCTCTGACCGTGGCTGAGATGCTGTGCCTCCATGCTTCGTGCCCAATCATGGGCAACATCATGCACTTCCCTGTCCATTGGGTATGTAAATGCATATGTGTGTTGATAACTGCCAACTTGTCGCCAATCAACGGCACAGAACACCGCAAGGGGTCAATCGCGAGAGTGCCTTGCGCCACCCATCCATGAGGCGGGTTGGCTGCGAGGCAAAAAGCAGGGAAACGTACTTCAGAGGCGCTTCGTGAAACACGTGTGGTGAAGAAGAGGCAGCAGAAATACATGTATCTTGGCAACTACATGTAAGCCAGCCCCACTCCAGGTATTCTGAGAATCAGCAAAAGACTGGATTCGTTTAGACCATGGGCGGCAAGCAGATCGCGTTAATCGACGCCAAGGCTCACTAGGAAGAATGACGCTCGGACGCACATACAGGGAACCCAATCTGCACAGATAGCTGAGGTTCGGGGTGATTTCAGATTCGACCCGATCCGACACATCGCAACGCGGAATGGCCCGTGTACAATAATGGAAATCTGGTGTGCTAGCCGCTGACTACATGTGCACTACGGTATGCGTGTGAGCCTGGCTGCATGACGCAATCTGTCGGTTTCTGAAGCTGAGGCGGGATGATGAGACGGCAGAGTCCGTCTTTCGTGTTCTTGCTCTGTGTTACGGCGGCTCTCCAAGGTGTTCCGCTGATGGTGATGGATGGTATACTCGATGCTGAATAACTCTGTCATGACAATATGCGGTTAACCCATGCATCGTCTTCTGAGCGCACATGTGTTTAAGGCTTGTAATCAGCTATGAACAAACCTATGTCAGTCTCTGATCCCTAGAAGGGCAACTGAAATAATTTTTTACTGGTCGTGGCTACATGGCCCAACGTAAAGACAAGCACGCGCTGAGTAAATGTTCAACAGCGTTGGTCATCTTTGGTCCCGAATCCTGATTTCTGTGCGGAGAAAAATCAACACCCATAAAACACCGAAAGACCGCTGATCCACCGCAGCGGAAAGCTTAGACACCGCAGAGTTCTGATGATTCCATAAGGTTGATACAGTAAGCAAGATTAACCCTATCATCATAAGAATTACGACTGTATTAGGTAGATGAGTCTGTAACTATAAGTCTTTAAAAGCGGACATAAAAAATATATAAAAGAATGCTATGTTCGCCCTGAATACATGTATGCTGCCAACACAGTTCAGCATTCCAACCTGAACGAGAAGCAAATCCCTAGTCAAAACCATTGCCATCTTAAACAACTCTTAATCACTCATTCGCAATCAACGACACAATGCCTTACGTCGCAGAGCCGTGGTCGTATGACGATGTCTTGAAGCTCACCAAGGTCAGCTCAGCATACTGGAGAGCTACATTCAATGCTCCGCTATTGAACCTCTTTACGCCGCGGACCTACGCCGCATTGCGTACGCTAGTTGAAATTCTCGAAAACGACCGTGCTGTTAAAGTCATCGTCTTTGATAGCTCTGTTGAAGATTATTTCATCGCTCATTGGGACCTGGTGCCGAGTGAAGACAAGACGGATGACGAAGAGACTACCCCCATCTTTGACTGGGCCAACTTTGTGCTTCGTCTTGCACGTCTTCCTGTAGTGAGCATTGCCGAGGTTCGTGGACGCACTCGCGGCCATGGCAGTGAATTCATTCTAGCATGCGACATGCGCTTTGGCAGCGTTGAAAAAGCCATATTTGCGCAGCCAGAAGCCGCTGCTGGCGTTCATTGTGGTGGTGGTGGAATCGAGTGGCTGCCTCGCCTGGTTAACCGCTCACGAGCCTTGGAGATTCTCCTTGGGGGCGAGGACTTTGATGCCACGACTGCTGCTCAGTATGGGTACATCAACCGTGCTATCAAAGACGCAGAGTTATCTGCCTTTGTGGACAATTTTGCTCGTCGACTGGCTGGGTTTGATCGCAAGCCTCTGCTGGAAACTAAGCGCGCTGTCAATGATCGTGCTGGACTGCCTCGTTTGACGGACCTTCTTTCATCTATGCAAGACTTTGTTCGAGCTTGTACTTGGCCTGAGACTGTAAAGCGAGTCAAAACTCTCTTTGAGATGGGTATCCAGCAGGATGGTCCTGTGGAAAGGGATATGGGGCGTCATCTTCACGAAGCGTCAATCAAGATGTATGGAAAGACCGAAGAGGCATAAAGAGAGTGTAATCCTGTTTCCATGTCATGTGTTTTACTATACTTGCTTATATAGCCAAAGAATGGAAGTTATTCTGAACTCCATAAAATAGCCCAATGAGCTTCCTCGCCTATGTATCAACGATAGCTCTCTTTCTCCTTAGCAATGCAAATAATCTCCCGGCTGCCTTCAGAACTTCTCTGATTACTATTCGAAAAGGTTGAATACCAACATCTATGGACATCTAGCTCGTTATGGAATCTCGTATATAAATCATGAATAGAAGGCTAAACTAATCATACAAACGGTGACGCATATTTGACCTAACAGGTAATATTATAATATCTAGAGTTAACTTCATTTGGTGAATTAAGGTTTTATTCTATTCTATCATTACTTCTAACCTTTGAGTAAAGTTAGTTCTCAACCAACGCTGCTATTAATTCCTATCATAGTCCACCTTGAACTCCGTCTTGACCCTGATCCCCAAATCTTTGTCATTGCCTCTTGCACGCTCTTTAGCTTCTGCGTCAAGGATTGACTCTTCGCTGGTGTTGTCGGAGGTGATTCGCGCCCTGGTAGTGCTCTGCCTAGCAGCCACAGTTTCATCTCCCGTTGGATTTGCAGGATTGCTTCGAGGCCCAGATCCACCGATGGTATGCAATGAAAACACGCCATCCCCCGACTGATCCTTATTTCTCAACCATCCACTGCCGCCTCCTGTACCGCTGCTTCCTCTTGCAGTTGATAAGCCTTCTAGCCAGTCTCGGTAAAGCGGTCGACAGACAGGAATACCGATACAGACCATGGTCGAACAAAACTCCGCAGCATGCCATATAATGATGCCGACAACGTCTTTGAGGTAATTCGGGCTGCCCAGGTACTTCAATTGTATGGCTCTTTCAATGCCACAAGCCCCGGCAATAATACCCAAGCTCAAAGAAGCCGCAATAATGCGTTTCTCACGCTTCGGCATCTGAATATTCCAGAGAAGGTACCAGGGAAAGGCTGCATACCAAAAATCCGTTATAACAGACCAGGCACCTGCGTAAGTTGAGATTGGGCCTGGGTCAATAGGACATTTTCCGTCAGGAATTCGACGATCCCACAAGAAAGCGGTCGGTCTACACGCAAACCAGAAGACGAAGAGCGATGCTATGATGCCGGTTGCCAGGAAGAAGTTGGGAATCCAAATAATGATTTGATTGCGCTTATCCGGAACGAGTCGTATCAAGAAGAAAGCCATGGAAGTCTTGCAAAGGATCGTTCCGAAGACGAGAATGGTCTGCCCGATGGCAGAGTAGAGTATCGCCCTCGTGACGGATTCCATTCCCACGACAGGGCCCTTGATGGCGATAACGTCGTCGATATTTCGGCCGAATCCATACATCGACGCAATCGTCATCATAATGTCGTAGGTTAAAAGGGTAATCTGTCAAAGAGTGAGTTCAAGGATACATAATCATATTTCGGATCGGAATTCAATGCACGTACAAAAGAGGCATTATAGAAGTAATCGTCCAACCCATACGCGCGAATAACTCTCAGACGGGTGTACAAACGGAGAATGACAAAGACCAGCGCCAGCGCGGTAAGCGACCATAACACAGCCAGCATCTTAGGCGCATCTCCGCCCAATCCTGTCTGATATTGGTTTGCCATGGCTGATGTCGGCGGCGTACAGCCTACTCCAACCAAGTTGATGCGGAAGAAGGGCTTGTTGGTAGTGGAATATTCTTCATTGGGAAGGGGAGCATGTTTTTGAATCTCTGAAGCAAGAGCCACATCCTTGCCATGGGTTTTCGGTTACAACTGGGGTTACGCCCGTTACCAACAACGCAGACGGTATTTGGTTGGATACGAGCAATATAAAGAGTAAAGATCAGCAAAGATCCCTTCTCTAGGAAATAATATTTCGATTACGTACACGTGCTTAGTGGCAGAAAGGGAGGTACTTGAAAAAAATTCATAAAAATAAATCTCATGGTATTATTTGTCTGCTTATTCTCTGGCAATGGCTTCTTCATTAGGGCAGAAATGCTGATCAGGGGGTATGCCTGCGATCTCCGGAACAACTCCAGCATGCACCCATTGCCTAGTTGAGCATAGGTGGCCGCGGCAAACAGGAAACCGAGCCGTCAGACCCCGGCTAATATTCTCATTTGAACAGGGATATAAGCCAAGCGAGGAACTACACTTGGAGCTGAGTGCAGGCACTCCATGCAGCTGAAGAGACCTTTGTTTAGTTATCATGCTATGTAAAAGTCGCATACTTGTACTTGTACGGAGAACGTAACGGCTGTTAAACTGTTCTAAACCCTGTAAAAGCCTAGCTGAATATAGTCTCCATATCCGCGGGTTATAGTGGACAATGTCTGCGGGTGTTAGGGGCTCGTGGGGGCCACTAGGAGGTGCCGACCTGCAATTTGCAAGACCAGTCGGCCATTCCACAGCACGGAACGAGATATACGAGAAGGGAGCTAGGGAGCATATCACTCCAAGATGTAAACGGTAGCCGATTCCCGGGTTATATCTAGATGATATTATTCTATGTAGCCTTATGGGCTTTGGTCAACTGATGAGCACAGCAACGGATAGACATCTTCGGAAACAAGTAGTCGGAAACACGCAGGAAAAAGACGGAAGAATGTCAGGCGAGAAATTGTAATCTGATAGGTTATTAATCTCTCCTCTTCAGTTCCTAAGTTCGCATAGGGTGATCATCCCCTGACTGCGGAGAAGCACTACTGTACGGCTGCATTCAACAAGGGTGTTTGAACCAACAACAGTCTCCCTATTTGCTCTTACGCGAACTTCGATTCGATTTTTTTTTTCAGGGAGAGTTAGATAAGTTTGCATGAATAAAGTCGTCGAAAAAGGAAACCCCAAGGATCTTTTCGTTATTGAGATCTTCCACGTGAAAGAGCTGTACGGAGTACGGGGGGTAAATGCTTCTCCGTTGTCGATAGATGAAACCAGTGTGGGGACTGGTTAGGTTGTTGGTTGACGTTGCCCCCACAGCTGAGAAAAGGGTGTAACAAATCAGATATTTTGTCATTTGGAGTTGAGTCAAGGATAACAGAATCCCTGAAGAATTTATCCGTAATAGCTTGTTGCTGTTGGTTGATTGTCCGTAGACTTGTGGATCGCACTGAACTGCGAGTTCCGCTCTTTTAGATACGAATGCCATGTTTGAGGGGTCCCCCGCCCCTATAGGCAAGCTTGAAAGCACTTATTCACGCTGTCTGCATTGTAAATTGCTAAGAGAGGTTTCCCATTTATGTTCTTGGAAGTCTTTCCATAATAACTGCACCGACGTTGTAGGTTGTCTTGGTACTGTCAGAGCAGCCCGAGATCTCATGGAAATCAACCACCATGGACAATAATTCTGTTCCTCATTCAGCCCAAGGTGGTGGGCTCCTTCAAGATGGCCCGGCCACGTTTGCGCGGCCAGTAGTGCTCTTCGTACTTCTTCCAGTCGCGACGTATGTCTTCTGGAGCATTGTCTCGTACCTAATTTCACCATTGAGGAAATACCCAGGCCCATTTCTCGCATGTAAGTGAGGATGAGAGTGTCTCAAGAAGAGAAGAGTCACATCAGTAACACATTAGGCGATATTAAGCCTATACCAACTTCTACCGAATGTATTATGCCTATCGAGGAGATATGCACCTCTTGACCAAGAAACTCCACGACAAGTACGGGCCGGTTGTTCGCATGGGCCCAAATTATATCGACGTCGACTATCCCTCATTGATCAAGACATGCTTTGACACTCAGGGAGTTTGGAGAAAGGTGAGTCTGAGAATTATATCTTGCAAGAGTGGACATTGGCTGACGGTTGGTTGCCATGTTATAGACCGATTGGCACGGAGTCAGTGGGGCAATGGTTGAAGGCAAGCTCTACTTCAACATCTTCTCAGAGTGTCGCCCCGAAGAACATGCTCGGATTAAGAAGCCAATTGCAAAGTATTTCTCTGCTCCTGGCGTCGCGCCGATGGAGCCACACGTCGACTCTGTGCTCTCGACTCTGTGCCGAGCAATTGATGAACGATTCGCTGGCGACGAGACGTTCGGAAAGACTTTCGACTTTGCTGAATGGATGCTTTTCTGTAAGATCTTGTTTAAGCCATGTTATTTGAATCAAACTGACTTTCACAGTTGGAATGGATGCGGTCGCCAAGACTACATGGAGTGAAGCGGTCGGATATCTTGAGAAGGGACATGATTTCGATGGCACCCTGAACGTCTCGGACAAGGCCTACGACTATCTCGTCACAATCGGCATGAACCCTATTTTCGACAAGTTCCTCGACAAGAACCCGATTATGCGAATTGGCCCGCCATCGTTTGGAACCGTCACTGGAATTTGCCTTGGACACCTGATGGCGCGCATGAAGGGCGAAGACAGCCACGACCCATCCAAGCCCGACTTCCTGGACCGCTATCTCGAGGCCCAGCAGCAGCACCCTGAAGTTGTCGACATTTACCGTATTCTCTCCTACATGCTCGTCAATGTCGCTGCCGGCGCTGACACCACTGCGGCGAGCTTGCGCTCCATCTTTTACCTCTCGCTGAAGCACCCCGCCGTCTTCCGCCGTCTGAGAGACGAGATCCTTAATGCCAACTTTTCGCAGCTGCCAGTCCCCTATGCCGAGTCCCGACAGCTTCCTTACCTGGAGGCTGTCTCCCGAGAGTGTTTCCGATACCTGCCCGGTAACTGCTTCGCCCAGGAGCGTTACGTTCCTACTGGAGGTGTGACGCTTCCCGATGGCTCGGTCGTGCCGGCCGGTACTGCTATTGGATTCAATGCCTATGTTATCCACAGAAATAAGGAGGTCTGGGGTGAGGATGCTGAAGAGTTCCGGCCCGAGCGCTGGCTGCAAGCCGACGAAGAGGCCGAGGAAGACTACAAGGACCGCATGAAGCAGTTGAACTACGTGGACCTGTCATTCGGCGCTGGCTCGCGAAAGTGCATCGGCATGAACCTTGGAAAGATGGAGGTCAGCAAGACGGTTGCCACGCTCATTACTCTCTTCGATTTCGAGTTGGAAGACCCGAAGAAGGTATGGAAAATCCACAACAGCTTAATTCCTCGGGCGTCTGAGATTATGTTGAAGGTTAAGAGGAGATCGGGCGCTGCCGAGCGGATCAGCGAAATGATCAGCCATTTTTAGCGTCGCAAGTTTATATATCGAGAAGATGGAGGTATTTGCAGTTTCGCTGTTGTATTTTTATTAGCCTTGTCACAAGATTGAATATACCAGCTTTAATTCCTTTCAATTGTTTAGCAGTAATTGACTACCTGTTAGCCACTTTATACTCTTACCAATCTACAGTTATTGTGGGTTTCACGCCTCGTGTTAAACCGAGTTGAATAGTAATCACCGTTAGCCACGGCTCTTCAACGTAGCTCAGCTTATAAGCCCGCACATCCCCACGCCGCTGATTATAAGTCCGCTCTCTTTACACTCTTGCACCGCAAAATGTCCACTTCCAACGAAAGCCCGTCACCAGGGCCTCGAGCCTTGGCCAACCCAGGCAATGCCGGAGTTTTGGCTTTACGGTGGTCTTGCGCTACATGCCGTCAATCGAAACGCCGCTGCGATAAGATGTACCCGAAATGTACGCTCTGCTCTCAGTGAGTCTTTCTCGGCCTCGGCTGCGGCGTATGCAAGGATGTAACAAATCAAGGTTTAGTAACCGCTTTGTAGGAAGAATGCTCCATGTAACTACCCAGGTCGTCGGAAGAGACAAAAGTTGAAGAACCGCATCAAGGCGATTACATCAGTGGAGAAATCCATCGTTGACCTGCCTTCCGCTGCCCTAACGGAGAAGAAGCAAGGGGGCGTGCGCCAGTTGCCTTTCCCTTCTGCCAACTCCAGCTTTATCGCAGAGCGCTTTCTGGACCCTGACGTCTTTTACCGAGCGCAGTTGACTGTGGTCAACACAGATGTGGCTGTGACAGACAATATTGCTAATCTGGTTGGAAGTGTGCTGGACATTCAGACTACTTCTGATCAATTCTTCAAGTCAGTTCACGTATGGATGCCGATTATATCGAAACCTCACTTTTGTTCAAATATACTCAGTCGATTGACATATAAACGAGCCGAGTTATTCCTGCTCGTGCTGTCTATGAAGCTATGCAGCACACGCGTGGAGACATGGAATACGCCACTGTACGAAACCGTCAAGCTATTTCACTTTAAGATTGAGACTTCCGGGGTGCTCTCTGTCCTAGTTCTCCAGGCTGCTATTCTTATTGCACTCTACGAGCTAGGTCACAGCATCTACCCGGCGGCTTATCTCTCCGTAGGATCCTGCGCTCGTTATGCAACGGCCTTGGGTATTGATAAGTCTATTCTTTCGTCAAGTGCCACACAGGCTCAGTGGATTGAGGAAGAAGAATGCCGCCGAATTTGGTGGGCAATTCTAGTTCTTGATAGGTATGTAAAATGGATATGCAGGAGCTGTGGGCCCTTTTCAATTCCCAGCATTTGCTGTTTTCTATTCGGGGAATAGTATGATATTGATGCTGTTTTAGATATCTCAACTTGAGTGATCCTAAGCGGCATCTCATTACTCCAGATGCGGACTTGGAGAGCTATTTGCCCGCAGATGACGAAGCGTGGGAATCGGGAGTGAGTAACTACGCGTGTCATTCCATGCCATCGTAATGGTGCGTTTCTAAAGTGGCGCCAACAGGTGCGCAATCATGATCATACGTTTACTTTAGCAACAGCCAATAGCTACCACCTGGGGCTGTTTGCGCGATTCGCACAAGCCGCGCACTTGCTTAGCCAGGTTCTACATCATGTCTCTGAGCAATCGAACGAGACTGCCCAATTGCGACGCACGATATTCGCGCTCGTTAATGTCTCCAATATCGAGGCATCCATGAGGCGATTGGAGTACTGCAGCCAAACTGCAGTCTGCTATGCGTAGGGCTAATCCCCACGCCCTCTACTAATACATGTCTGAACTAATGGCGTAGTGGAATTCTCGCGCTTGATTATTCGTCGTTTGACAAGGATATGAGTAACTCCGATACACAACTCTCCGTTGAGAGTGCTACCATTTCGCAAGCAACCATAGATATGTCTCTGACTATACGCAAGGGAGAAGAGGCACGCCTCTGTGATATCGCCAGCCCATTTCTTGTTCATCTGATATACAAAGTTGCCTCGATACACTTGAGGATAGCACATAAGTCCCCAACAAAGGACTCTCTAGAGAAATTTGAGCTCTTGAAGGAGACATTGAAAATTGTTGGGAAGCGGTGGCTTTGCGCTTGTATGTACCCGATTGACTCCTGGTATAATTTTGTTGCGCTGACAATTTGCACAGTGACATACCTTTCCCTTTTAGAGAAGCAAGAAATTTTGCTCGTAATGCAATGAAATGTGTTACTGGGTACCATAACTTCCAATGTTGCTATGGCAATGATTACATGTGGCTACATACCCAAAGGATATAGACGGAAGTTGTGGATGATCTACACGATTCAGGAAGGATGATGTGTCAAGATAAATAATCAGGGATAATATCTAATGCCTCACCAACAATCAAATCAACGTCTCTACAAAGGTTATACTACATAATGTGCATATTTAAAGCCGACAATGAATGAGCTGTTCTTCTAAACAGACATTCGATTTGTATACAAGGGCGTCATAGTGAAGCAACATTGCGGTGTTTCGCGGTGTTTGCGGTGTTTGATGCACTTTGCGGACTTGCGCGGTTTCGGGCTTGGACTGTAATGCACCGCATGTGTCCAGGCACATTCTTTTTGTGATGACTGCGGCGCAAAGGCGTTTACTCAAGATGACGGAATTGCTGCAGTTTAAAATATGGCTGCAGTAGCTTTGTGCCATTGGGTGTAACTTTAATAGACTCATTGTTTGAGATCTTTAGTCATATGAGCAACAGTGAGCGATGTTTTGTATAGACAACAGCAGTTCTGCATTATTTTATTCCAATTTCAATAAATATAATGAAAGAGATAAACATTGGTTATCGCAATCATGAGTGATCATGACCTGAGTTTCTCGGCCGTCGAGTGATTATGAGCTGCCTCGTGGCCGTGGTTCTTCGCGTTCTTCGTCTTTAGCCATTCTGGGAATTCAACCCATCGATGTCTATGTACCCAGTCGACCATTGCACTATAGTCACGGCATGTATGTACTTCATCAAGTACAAATTCCTCCAAATCGTTGGTAGTGACAAGTGTCAGGTCAGGATGGCAAAGTAGTTGAGAGCGAACATAGTCAAGACAGTGAAGCATGTGTGTCTCATCCCATGGAGGAGGCGTCTCGGACATGAGGTTTTGGCGGATGGAGTTCTGTAATTTCTGGTCAGTTCAGCTTGTATTTAGATAAAGGACAGAAGACATACCAAGCAGTGAAGCGCATGGAACACGTCCACTTGATAAATGCTCTGGGAAGGATCTGTTGGTGATTGGGCTGACGGCCTCAGGCCTTGGCTTCGAGCCCATTCTGTATTCAAGGATATCACTCCTCCGCTACCGAGAAGATCTCTCCAATATTCATCGGCATCTTGAGAGTCAGCCATATGTTTGGAACCATTCTGAAATCTCACGGAAGTATTATACGATCCAAGTTGTGACAAGCCATCAAGAGAGAATTTTGATCCGAGTGTCCGCCTTGTCTGATCCAACGCAACGAAGCCGAAGACAAGGAGAGCACAAAGAATCACTTCTAGCAGAAGGATCGAAGCATGAATAACGCTGAATCTTCTAAATGACTGTTCTAGAAGACTCAGGCGCTTGTTTGTCTGTGATTGCCCATTTTCTCCTGCATCTGAATCATCGCCTTCGGTAAGACGTTTGTATTCAGCGTCTGGTTTCTTGGACGTAAACATGCTGTTTCTATCTCATCTGTCACCCATTACTCCCAATAATCTCAAAAATCGATCAAAACATCTAATTCTAAGAAAATTATGATCAGTTGGTATCCAGCGAGTTCTAAGAATGGTGGATATTGAGTGATACCACACTCCATCAGCCTAGAGGATGCAACGTATCAGAGAGGAATGCATATTCCCCCTCCCCATGTGTAATTCTTAACTAGTCTAATCGAGGTATATTGCTCAGAATTAACCCTGTCAGAAGATACATATGCATCCTAGTCTAAATCCTGTAGATGTGCATACGAAGGAGGGGGATCTGCAGTAAGCTAGTATGCACATGATCATCCCGAATTTCCGTGTTCAATTACCATCAAAGTCAATCTTCAGTTAGAGTAAGAATCACAGATGATATAGCTATAGATTTCATGAACTATTTACTTGACGTCATAATGAAATATTTATGTAAATTAAGCACATACGGGATATTTGACGAAAATCTTGGTTCCAGAGTCCTTCATACCGCCCGGATCACCTCCAATCATCTTAACACAGTGATTTGTATGGTGAAAATTGGCCGTGTATGAGTCAATCTTTTGACTCGCATCAAGAGCTACCCTGTGAATTCTCTTCCACACATACATGCAGTGGACAACATGCCAGTCAAATGTCGTAGTAAAGTGACCATAGTCACCAAGATGAAGTTCATCCATCGTGAGATTTCTGCCGTTGATCTCATACGGCCAGTTACGGCCTTCATACATGAGCTTTTCGTCCTCCATATCATCATCTGTAAGACAATCCTGGGGAAGCCAAGAGTGCAACACGATGCTGTATCGGCAACCGAGAGCTTGCGCGTCGGTGGGAGAATTGCCGCAGTCGCCATGAGACCAACTCAATGGGAGTCCCGTTTTATCATCTGTGCCTTCGCGAATCTTAGGAAAAGGTCGATTTGTCCTTGTGTGGTGGTTGTTGGCGATGAGGATTTGCCATATACCAAGTGCGAGCACCACAGTCAATGCACCAAGTAAAAATGATGAGATGAAAGGAACCAGGCGCCAACGTGGTCGTCCAGTTGAAGTGGTTTCATAGAGCAAGGCCTCTTCACTGTCATTGCCCTCAATTTGAGCATATTCTTGCTTGGATGCCTTTGTCTTGATGAACAGAGCAGTTTCGCGAAGTCGATCCATCGTGAAGTTATTGCAGCTGTAGACAAATGCGTGCCAGAGGCAACAGATGGTGAAAGTGGTGTATAACGCAAGGCTTCTCTGGGATATGGTATACACCGCCACATAAAGGCGTCGGCTCTTGGTTAAGCGAGCGATCTAGGATAATAAATTTAGGATATGATGTAACTCAGAGAAATCAACGCTTGGCCACATGAATCAGGCCCACCTGGATGGTATTCACACCTCAATGTGTGGGGTTGAATCCTTTAAACATGCGGAGAGCTCGGGACCGTTGAGATACCCGAGATTCCTTCCTATTTTGGTAGGTCAAAGTTGAATTGCCGTAAGGCTGGATGTATTGATAGTGCTGACATGCATATAGCGCGAGCACTAGTGGTGCTAATAATTCGTATAAAATCCTAGGAATGAGATTCTTCGATCTTGGCAATCGTATATTATTGGGCGCCGACATTTGGGAGAGCGATAGACTTGGATGGGATACGTTACATGTCCAAAAGCTTGTTCACATGGCTCAGATGATTGCGTTGTTGTTACGACTACACAGTACTTGTAGATGTTATCTTTCGCCTCTAAGCATTAGTTGAGGAAGGTGGAAAGGAAGTGAGAAGTGTATCGGTCATATTGAAGATGATGCAGTGACAAAGCATGTCTTCATACATACCTTCCCCATACAGCCATGGGATAAGCCATGATACCCTAAGGCTGCTTAATTTGCGTCAGACTAGAATCAAGGGCTGCTCTACTGTTGTCTTGTAATATCGCCACTTGTCATGTTCGAGCCAAATTACATGGGTTAGAGATATGCGCCCATGATGATACATTTTCGTTCCTTACAGCACGCATAGAATCCGTAACTTATCGATTCGAACATTAAGCTTGTTTGTGGAGACTACGAAGACAACTACTTTGATTGTCGAATTGGTGCCCCTTCAACCTTGTGAAACTGATCAAAAGTCTCATCTAATCTATGCCGAGCGGCCCATTCTCTAATTTTCTCAAAATCCCTGCACGTATGTGTTGTTCGTAGATTCCCAAACATCTTCTGCTTCTGTTCACTCCACTCCCAGTAGATAGTACCTACATCTGATGCGCATTGGATGGACTGCCTTAGCTGATCGTAGCAATGCTCAAGATGATAGATATTGTCCTCGGCCTCTTCCGAGCCAGATGTTAGATCTATTTTGAAGACCTCTGGATAAACAATCTTGCGCATGAAATTAAGACAATGAAGTTGATGGAAGACGTCTAGTTCAACCATGTATAGGTTCGGGTCGTGGGCAGTTGGTGTTGTGGCATTGGGAAGTCGAGCTGCCATGGCCGCTGGAATCTGAGATATGCCAATGTCTTCAAGTTGCGATTTAGTCCAATGGTACCATTCTCCATAGGAATTCACATACCATTGAAAAGACTATTCCATCTCTCATTGACTTCGTCAGAGTGTCCCTGGTAAGCAGATTTATCACCATGTAAGCCCCCTGTGAAGACCACTGTCTTGTACTCGATTGCAGATTCAGCTGGAGCTATTGGCAAAGTTAGAACCTCTGTTTTCTGACTATTTCATGAAGAGTTGCTAACAATAAACTGCATTTAGGAGCCTTAGCTGTTCGAATTTTCGATATGAAATTGTCCATGTTGAAGAAAGTGCTAATAGTAGCACAACATTGAGCGCAATGGAATATGGGAATAGTTTTGCTCGTGATACGTCTTTTGAAGGTCGCTCATGGTGGCTATCATCTTTTTCATCATCCCGTAGCAAATGTTCTTCATCATGAAACTCTTCAGAAGTTTTGGGCGCCATATCGGCGGCTTATCCTATACACAATACCACTTGCTGACTGAATGAGAAATGAATAGGTAGGAAGGACTTGAACCTCGAAAGCCGATAGTTTTCACATACTAGCTCTTAGAACATAGTAGCCCGTAACTCATGACTACAATGTAGCATGGTCACTATTAGAAGGAATAGTCAAAGCTAGCCGACGGCATAGATCCAGGTTACATTGGATTGGAGGCGTGACTTCGAATGGTCACTATGGGAATAACGCCCAGGTTTGCTGAGCAGGTAAATTCTGATCATCCTGGCACATGCATTACGGAGTCTCGCTAGTACTTGGGGATGTGGAGAAGTTGAACTACCCCCATGCTCATCGAGACGAAGGATTTGAAGGTGCGCACTAATGCTGCGAGGCTATTTTGGATATTACCCTAGTTATTTTCTCCTTTGTAAGATATCATTTTCTCCTCTACTGTCAGAGTTGCATGTGTAACCTCATATGCATGCTCTCTCGCAGATTTCGGCAATCATTGGCCCAGAGTGTTCGAGAGAATGAGGAGATTCAAGTTTTCGCCAGGAAGCAGAGATCAGAATGCGCATGATGCAACGTATCATAACGATACACCTGCCTGGTCTGTAAGACTATACTTTGCGAATCAACATTGGTCAGCAAATACAATTGTAACATGATACACTAACTAAACCGAATAGAGTGTGTGCTCTCACTTAGATTCTCCTATATAGTAATTACTCAATGATGAATCGGACTAATATCCACGTGCAAAGGGACTGAAACACTCTAATAGCTAGAATCTAATATAGCTACTCATATATCCTTTCAAACTTGATTCCATTTTTGGACACTTAACCAATTGTTTATCTTTACAAAAACATCATCTTCGAGTTTTAAAATCCATCCCCAAAAGTCTTCAATCTTCTATCAATATGAAGATCTCTCAGCTCCTATCTTTTGGTCTGGTTCTTCTAGGCGCTGTCGACGCTGCTCCAGTTGAACAACGCGATACTGCCGTCGACCCTACAAACAACCAGGCAGGCTGGGGCAGACGAGGTACAGCAGTTGATCCCACCAACAACCAGGCAGGCTGGGGAAAGCGTGGTACTGCTGTTGATCCTACAAATAATCAGGCAGGATGGGGAAGACGAGATACCGCTGTGGATCCCACAAATAACCAAGCTGGCTGGGGCAAACGCGACACCGCAGTTGACCCCACGAACAATCAAGCTGGCTGGGGCAGACGAGGTACAGCAGTTGACCCTACGAACAATCAAGCTGGCTGGGGCAGATAAGCTGAATGGCATAGAGAAGAACTATCCATTACGGACTTGACAGACTGGAAAGGAGGCAACATATTGTTGATAGAGAAATGAATATTATCTGGTGCCTTTAGATTTGCTTTATGGAATACAACATAAGTGAAATGTTGAATGTCACGTGTTTACAATCTTCCCTTAATACTCTATGCTTGAATTACGATCATGAGCGCTTGCGGACGGAATGTCAGCAGCCCATCTTTTGATAGGGCACCACTTCATTTCACCGAAAACGTGTATACATTGATGGAATGCTGTCATGAATCCCGTTTGCATCTCACATTTCATATTGGAGAAATGTCTAATGATATACATTGTGGAATGAGATAATGTCTTAAAACAGGTGACCTGAAGCGGAAAAGGCTTCAATAACATAACAGCCATATCATACCATGGGTATTGCATTCCAACCATACTTCATAATTTGGTCTCTAGAAAAGTATAAATATAGATTATTCCTCGCATTTAAAATCGGCTCGACGAGGAGCATATCGCAAACTCGAAACAAATCAACGTCCCCGGTATTCAATTCGCCCTAGAAAACCATGACCACGTCCGCACAGAGCAATGAAGAGCCTCCAGATGGGAAGTTCAGTCACCTCCGGACTTCCAAGTCTAGCCAAAGATTGAACCAGGTCGAAAAGATCAGGGCACATGGTGTCGGTGATCTGATCTCCCTCCCAGCACTGGTCGTTTGCGGAGACCAGTCAACAGGCAAAAGCTCGGTCTTGGAGGGCGTCACCGGAATACCATTTCCTCGACAAGAGGGGCTTTGTACCAGATTCCCCAGCGAGATAAATCTTCGGCATACAGAATGCGAGTCAACTACCATTACTGCTAGCATTAGGCCGCACATTTCACGGACGGCAGAAGCTCAGCAAACGCTCTCTGCGTATCGCAAAGAACTGAAGGATATGTCAGAGTTACCTAGTGTCATTCAAGAGGTGTCGCGATTGATGAATATTCGCGGATACTGCGAAAACGAAAACGCTAGTGCTTTCTCTCTCGATGTGCTTCGAATAGAGGTTGCCGGCCCAATTGGATTACACCTCAGTGTGGTGGATTTACCTGGGCTCATATCCGTTGCTAATGAAGAGCAAACCGAGGAAGATGTCGAAGCGGTACACAGCATGGTCACATCATACCTTCAGAGCTCCCGGACAATAATTTTGGCCGTTCTCCAGGCAAGCAACGACATGGCAAATCAACCTATTATCAAATTGGCGAGGACTCATGATCCTCTTGGTCAAAGGACCGTGGGAATTATCACAAAGCCTGATTTAATAAACCGTGGCTCTGAAGCCAAAATTGCACTTGTGGCAAAAAATAAAGACAACATTAAGCTCAAACTTGGCTTCTTCCTCCTCAAGAATCCTAGTCCTGCTGAGCTCAAAGAATGCCCTACTATGGCTGCACGGTCGAACCTAGAGAGTCGGTTCTTCTCAGCACCTGCCTGGGTCAATCAAGATCTTGATATGAACCGTGTTGGCGCAGAAAAGCTTCGAATTTTTCTTCAAGAACTTCTTGATACCCATATAGAGAGAGAACTGCCCAAAGTGCGAGAGGAGATTAAGAAACTGTTGACAGAGAGGGATGCCGAGCTTAGATCTCTCGGCGCGGCTAGGCCTACGACAGATCTCATTAGAACTTTCCTCACAAGCCTTAGCATGAGATTTTATGAGCTCCTGCAGGCGGCGCTTGATGGGAATTACCATAGCATTGATACTGCATTCTTCTCACAGAGCGATACGTCAAGGCTACGAGCACGCGTGCAAGAAACGAACACCAATTTTGCAAATTACATGCGGGAATCCGGACAGAGGCGAAAAGCCAAAGTCGAACCCACTCTTAACAATACAATATTTGATTCCGACGACTCGGAAGATCACGGATTAGGTGAAACCACAACTCAGATTATAGTAAGCAAAGCGGAAATGAGGCGATGGGTGAAAGAGGTCAGTTTATCCGCTTATTCGTTTTAAGTGGCATCATTCTAATGCTCAATACAGGCATATTCACGTACAAAAGGGAAAGAGTTACCTGGAAACTATAATTCAGCGCTGCTGGCCGAATTATTTCACGAACAATCGCGCCGTTGGCCTACCATTGCCGTATCACATCTTCACAACATTCTCAATATAGTATCGGAGTGGATCCAGCTTGCCGTCGAAAGGCTCATTCCCGAGGAGAGTATGAGAACCCAAGTCCACGCAATGTTGCAAGAATGGCTTGAGGACATCGAAAAGAACGCACTCGGAGAGCTAGAAAAGCTCGTGCAAGATGAGCGACGCAGCCCACTGACGTATAACCACTACTATACAGATAATGTCCAGAAAGCTCGATTGGATGCACAGAAAAGAGCCGTGGAGAAAGCTGTGTCTGCTGAGAGAGATTCACACGGGAAATTACATATAAGTAACGTCCAAGTTGACATTCAGAAGTTCATTGCTGCGATTGGATCTCGTATTACTGTGGATATGGATGAGCAGGCATGCAACGAGGCGATCACAGAACTGGATGCATACTACAAGGTGAGAGTCCGCGAAGTATTGGCTCTTGTATTAACTAGTCGTATCAAGAGCTGACAAAAATGTTTCTTAGGTTGCAATGAAGACTTTTGTTGATAACGTGGCTCGACAAGTCATCGAGCGCCACGTCATCGCACCGTTGCCGAAGGCTTTCTGTCCAAACTCTGTTTCTCAACTTTCCGAAGAAGACTTACTTCGAATTGGATCAGAGTCTGAGAAACAGATTGTCAGACGGAAGAAATTGACTTTGCAAGTCCAGGGTCTGAAGAAAAGCTTGAGAGATTTGCAAAAGAGTTCATTGTGACCCGTTACTGGCGTAGCCTGTTTCCCATCGCAATATTTCCGCTTTGCTTACTATAATTTGGGTTGTGGAGTCACATAATCCGTGATCTTCTGAATTGTTGGATTCGGATCTTGATTGTTTCGCAGTCCTGCCTCTCGGTTTTGGTTTTCCCACGGGGTTTTTCCAAAACTGTAACGCGAATGCGGAGAGGATGTACTAGTTACGCATTAATAAATCATCAATTTGCTTCAATTATGATGCAACTTGGAATAGTTAATTTAGTAAATGTGCTAGAATGATTGAGTTACTCTTGATGTTTGCCTCATAGTTAGTTGACATGTTGACAGATATCGAACAAAGCGTCGTGATGCGGTGCAAAAGAGTTGGGCTTCACCGTGTTGTGACCCCGCCTTCGTTTCATCATCTGACCTCGGTGAAAGTTGTCGGTGATTACGTGTGCATGTCATTGTTAAGTCTTATACGTTGTGATTAATTGGAGTCCCATCAAATGATAAAGTTCTACATAGCGGAACATCTGAGGAAGTAAGACGCGAACGTCTTTCGAAAGGCAAATTCCTAGTATATCGCTTAGTAAATTCTATAGACAATTTATGTCTCCAATCTACAGAATAGTAAGATGGATGTTCTTTTACCAAATGTTGTATGGTCATTGGAGGAACTGGGTATATTTCTTACCACTTTCTGACCATGGTCTCTTGGCATCTCCACCGCCACAGAGATCGAGTGCTTATTCCCCTGTCAGCGCTAAGCAGAAATGCATTTGAATTGAGGCCCAAGATAAAGGAAAGAATATGAGTGTAGCACTTGTCGGAAGAGACGGAAGTACGCTTGAAGGTATAAAGGCAGGTTCGAGGCCCAGGATAATTGCGACGACACCTACACATCGAAATCCTCTTCCTTGAATACACCCAACTTGTTACTATGGCCTGGAAACCCCTTGCCAAAACTATACATCACGTCCATTATGGGTCGGATAATACATTCTACACATTTTCCAAAGATCACAAGCCGTCCCTCACAGTTGACTCAGGCACCGAAGTGAGCTTTGACAATACCCATGCTGGATTCGTGAACCTCACTAGAGAGTCGACCACAGCAGATGCTGTTGCATTAAACATACAATCTCCGAAAGACTTGGAGAAGCTCATAGGGCAACTTTATGTGAACGGTCCAGTCTATGTAAACGGAGCCGAACCTGGCGACATTCTCAAGGTTGAGATCCTTGAACTGCAGACTGGTACTTGGGGATGGACTGTTGTTATCCCTGGAATGGGATTATTGCAAGACGAAATACCCGGACCTCATGTCATGACCTTTGATCTTCCCAATGGTCAAGATTTTGCAGTGTTCAAGCCTGGTATTCACATCCCAAGACAGCCATTCTACGGTACTATGGGTGTGGCCCCAGCGGAAGGCGAGCAGTTTGCTCTATATCCGCGCAACGACATAGGCGGCAACTTTGACTGTCGGTACTTGGGTGAAGGCTCAACTTTGTTTCTCCCAGTCAACGTGCCTGGAGCACTCTTCGCTGTTGGCGATGCGCATTTCTCCCAAGGCGACGGCGAGATCTGTTGCACAGCGTTGGAGACGACGATGCGCTCGCGAATGCGATTAAGTGTCATCAAGGGCAAAGGGAAGTTGGCTGGCCCTCACTATGAGACAAATCCCGAGAGGGTGAAACAGATGGTGAGCGTTGCCAGCAAGGGAGAGCACGGAGCGCTTATGACGGGCAACGATCGCGACACGGTGGTTAAACAAGCTGTCTGGGAAATGCTGCGGTGGCTGGAGGAAGAAAAAGGACTCACTTCGGTGGAGGGTTACATGCTGTTTAGTATTGTTGGCAATCTCAAAATGATGCATGAGATTGGGCTTGGCGTTTACACAGTGTCTGCAAGTATTCCGCTGGGAATTTTTGTCGACTGACATTATGGATGCGGAAATTGAAGGTAATGGCAATACCCGCCTATCAATTGTATTATGAAAGTAGCTAAGTAAGGCAGTATCTATTCCTCTACGAGTTGCAAAGGGCAAGAATATCCTCTGGCACATACACCTGAAGAATGTCAATCAGCTGGTTCAGCGGAATCCAGTCCAGGGTGCCGTGAATGCTGCGCAGAGTGTGGCCGGAGTATAGAACGCGAGCGTAGTAAGCCTTCTTCGACTTTTCAATCGTCTCCCAAACCTCGATGGCGACGTTGGAGCCCATGGCAGGCCATCGCAGCTGGTTAATTCCCAGAGCGCCCAAAACAGGACCAATGTCACCATCGTGGATGAAGGTGTGCGCATAGACATACTTTTGCTTCCTGTTCAGGACGGCCTCGAGGCGGTTGACGATCTCGCCGATGAAGAGACCCTCAGTGGCCTGGATATACTTCACGGCCTGGGCGTTGTTGCGCCAGTAGTAGTTCCACTCCCAGTCACCAGCACGGAAGACTTCCTCGGCCTGGCCTTCAGACACGCACTTGGAGGAGTCGGTGAAGCTGCATGGGAGCTTGTATCCGTTACAGAGTCGGGCCTGGAAGTTGTCGGAGAAGTGGTCAAAGGTGTTCTGCCACGCGCCACTAGTGGCACCGAGGATGTCTCCCAGAGACTGTCTGAGCTCAGCTGTCACGCTGAGATGCTGGTTCCATTCGTCGGTGGACTGAATGGACGACAGAATGGCATTTCTGGCATTGCAGCCATAGCCGTTGTTGACGGTGTCGGGACCGGGCTGCTGGTGAAGAGGCACAGCGCCAGAGTAGTGCGGCCAGAGACCGCGCAGGACGCCTCCAGCGCTCTGCTGGGTGAGAGGCGAGGAGCTGGATCGCAGCCAGACCTTGTCGTTGGGGATGGATGGGATGAGACCAAGCTTTCCACCGTACAGAGACCAGAGATCTTTGCCGTGTTGGACACCATCAAGAAAACCGCCAGTGGTCAGCTGAGGGAAGAAGCAGGTCGAGTTGACGTAGGGCAGAGCATCCACAAACGGGTTGCTCGGGTCCGTGTAAACGCCGGCAAAGACCTGAATGCCGTTGGTGCCGTGGACTTGGCTGCCGTACAAGAAGGCTTCAAAGCTGGAGCAGTCAAATGGTTGGTTCTGTCATGAAGTTAGCGAGCTGACGTCCCTTCATTTCGGCCACAGTATAGTAGCCTCTTACCTCTCCACCTGGGGCCAGGTTGTACATGGTGCGCCTCTGGTGACGCTGGAGATACTCCAGATACACCAGCTTGGCGTGACGGTCATTAGGCAGCTCATACTCGTTCACACGGGGGTGCGGCATAGAACAGTAGTCGTAGACGCCAAACGGAGAGCCCTGCGACGCCTTGTTGGCGGGAGCACTGTAGGTGCCTCCATAGGTTCCCAGCGCGCTGTTGCTGATGTACGACGTATCATTGAGCCCAGAGGGATAGAAAGTGTCGACAGGCGACAGATGCGATCCAGCAGCAACGAAGCCCTGGGCGAAGGCGCCCGCTACCATGGCGCGAGTCAGCATGATGGCGGTTGAATGAATCTCCAGTGAGGCTTGATTTACCTGAGCCTTGGAGGATCTGCTCCTGGGGCACGTCAGAAGATATAACTCCGATGGCCTGCTGCAACGCGACCACGTGCCTGTGGTTGAGCTTCATCTCATGCAGGAACACGGCCGAAGCAGCGCGGGTAAATGATGGTGAAGTTGCTCAGCTCCAGCCACCTATTCTCAATGCACGTTAGTTGATTGCTTGTAAGCCGTTATTGATGCAATTAGCAGCCTTGTCAGCACCTAATTCTGCTTTAGAAACGCCAGTTCTCTGGCAGCGTCTCGACAAAAATCCCACCAAGTTGCCGTATTGCTGTCACTGTTCGGTATATCGGAAGCGCCAATGATCGACGAGCCACTTGTTGGAGATGATGGTCGCACGTGCCAGCCGCTGACCTGCAGTAGATCCAGCGCTCGCATTTCCGGCGGTCTGGGTTTGGCACTTCTACGGTCTCAAATCCGGTTTAACTCTCGACTAATAAAATGGAGGCTCCAGAGAATGTCAAGGTTCTTGTATTTCTTTTTTCTTAGTCTTCAATCGTGGTTCCTGATCGGAAGCTGGCCGTGGTGGAGCTGATCATCCACGGCTATGTCAACTCATTATTTCAATCAATTACCAACTTATAGGCGTTTACGCGATGTCTACATTAGTACATCCCTATCCTCAATATACCAGCCTCGCTCTTGTTGTAACACAAAAGTACATACTTATACCAATGTACTTCATTAAAAATCCCTTTTTGCCGTTCATCATTATCGGAGAGCTAGCAAAGACTATTGACCACCCAGAATTTAATAAACTCAGCCAGTGACACATCAACTGACTGATTTGATTCCACAATGAGAGCCAATATCTTGTGAGGAACAACCTTTCCAGAACAGAGACACTTCTAATTATCAAATAGTTTCTCATTCGTCTACCAATGCTCTCATGTTTCGATCAAATACTGATTTGTAACACTTTCATACGTAGCGTAATTTCCTAAGATAGCCAGCCAGTGGTTTATCTTGAAGAAGCCCTCATGTCTTATAATGTTATATGAGTGGTGAAACATACGCGACTATGGCTCCTATATGCAAATTACTGATTTTACGTATCCATTTATTTTTCTTTGCATCTATAGCGTTGCCTATTACTGGGCAATTTCGTGTCCATACGATCACTCTTAACATCATGAGAGACGCTGTTCTTAATCTCCATCTCATCCATCTCCAAAACCTTACGCCTAGCCATCACCTTTTTTTTTTTAGCTCCTATATTCATACAATTATTACAGCTGCACGACAGCACATCGTTTAATTCTCTATCGTACACAGAGTACCACTTCGGTATCCTACCTCCAAAGTGGAAACATCCACAGTTGAATTAAAGTCAGGGTACAAATTTTAGTGTTTCACAAGAGCTGCCCTTTGCCCAGTCCAAGTCACAGTACGCAAATAGCACAGCAGCTCCACGTACAAAATCCAACAGCCATCTTATAAGGGGCATCAACACTGATACTAGTCGTCGGCTCGGCCCTGATTGCTGTCTCGCCAGCGGCTCGTATCCCGCATCTAGCCTTCATCTTGTCTTTGCAGCTCACCGTTTTAGATTCTGGTTTTGGAAGAGTGGCTGACCCAAGTCCCGGGGCGAGAGGGAATTCGCTACCGAAACTGAGACACTTACCGATCGCTGAAACATAAGACATGTTATTTCCAGCTTTGTGGGGGCCAAAGTGATGCGATTCGAGAGAATACGACTCGAGAGCTGGACCTACGCGACTCTTTCCCCCTTGAGGCTTGGAGGTGACATCGTGCACTCGGCATTAGAAATTTGTTTAACAATACGAAGAACTAAGCTACTAAGCGAAGCTCTATCTCTTGCTCGCCTATATAAACGCGGGATGCCTCCGCCAACACAATTGACCTCTCATACTTTGCGATCTCGCTAGAGCTCAAAGACAAAAATCATCCAATGGCAACGGATAGCTCTCTTCGAATAAAGTTTGTTTCTTCCTCAAACCGAGCCAGAGGAAAAACAATGTGTCAATCATCCCTGAATACCGTTATTGGCTCAGAAAATCGTAGCCCTTATTAATTCCTTCGGTAAGCGAGAGCTAGAGCTATAAATCTGCAGGGGGCAACACGGCTTGCATTTCGGATCGCATCCTATACGTCGATCCTATCTCTTTGCGAGGGATTTCGTCTGAACTGGGGATAATCAGGGATAAAAATGTGTTCAAATGATCATCCGCCGCTTAGCCGCCAGCCGCATCATGTCTCTCGCGCTCAGGGCACTGACGGAGAGCTGATTGATGGAGGTACGGGCGGAGCACGGAACACAGAAGCCTATTGTGGAGTCAGCGTTGGCCATCAGGATCATCCAACGTACATTAATGTGGGCAAAAGACAAAGGCTTGATGAGCAAATGAGATCTTGCTTGAAGCTATTTTTAAATCTAGCATTAGGTAGTCAAGTAGTCAAGTACTCCGTAGTGTGCAGATTGCCGTCTTGGTGTTCAGACTTATCATTGACTTACTCATACCCTTGGCGGCCGTTTCTTAGACCAAGACTGATCGACTTCTCTCGCCCTAGTGTTTGAGCTTGCACTAATCACCGGTACATCTACTCCGAATCACCCATTGAGTCAGGTCCCTGATCGCCGATGCCGGTTTTTCTTTTCTGCCGGGGCATTTGGTTTGCAATGAACATCATGAGAGCTGAATAGTCCCCTTATTCAGAGCTAAAGAGATCCAATCGGGGTCAAGCGCCCACAACCCGTTGGGTCTGTCCCCAGGATCGTAATTGGGATAATCTCATACGACAACTCAGGTGAGGCTAGAGACGATCGATCCACAGTTTAAATGGCATAATTCTCCTCGTCGATGCGCCAAGATTGCCAGGATTAAGATATAGTAAATTATTACCGCTACAGTTGCCGACTATATCTTAGGATAGCAAGGTTCTCCTTAATCATTCATGAACTATTCTCAGGTCTGATGTCTTTCATCTTGCATACACGATTTGCTTATCTGTTACATTACTTCAATCTCACATTCTCTCGTATATCTCCCGAATTCCAAATCAATAGTACGTATATCACAATGCTGCCTTAGACAAAACGGCTGAGGAGCCAACCACGGCCCGCAGAATGACAAATTCGGGATCCCGAATCCTTGGGTGGGCCACTTAGATCGGAGAAAGGCAAATCAACCCAACTGTAGAGAAAAAGGGAAAACAATCTCAGACCTCTTGAAGCAACGGCATTGGCTATACAGGGGCCTGGACCGCCCGGACCGCGCTACTGCACCTACACCGTCGAGATTTGAGCGAGTGGAGACGTAGAGAAAAGCAAATTGCGTCCTTCATACGGAATGTCTTAGACTGACGGCCGAGTTTGCCGCGAGCTGCAAAGAGACGGAGAGACATGGGATCTTCTGATACTACGGAGTACTAGTAGTGGTGTTTTGCTTTTCATGCTATTGTTGAGTCCTAATTGAAGCTTAAAGAGGACGATCGCCCTCTCGAATTTGTATTTATTTATTCTCATACAATTTGTCAATATTGCAGTTGATTTCGGTCTCGCACAGTATTTATATTTATATTTGTCATAATGTTTTTGTCCAAGGTTATCCCGTTTGCAGTCTTTGCTACAGCTGCGTATGCCAGTGTCCAGGTGCAACCATGGATGCCGCCTGGACCGAATGATTCGCGAGGGCCGTGCCCAATGCTGAATACTTTGGCGAACCATGACTATCTGTAAGGCTACCTATCTCTTGAGACAACAGCAATGGTAATTTTAGGTCCAATTGATAACTGACTATCTTCCAAGTCCTCATAGTGGCCGCAACATTTCAGCTTTACTAATTGAAAACGCTTTCATCCAGTTCCTCAATATCGAGGCAGGATTTGCAGCTGCTGCCAAAGACTTTGCCGAAGCTTGGGGCCATGAAACCTTCGACCTTGACGACCTCAACGCACCAGACATACTACAGCACATTGCATCCCTCACTCGAGACGATTACACCTCTCAACATCCACATTTGAAGCCAAATTTGCTCCGAATTGAGCGTCTCATGGCCGATAGCCCGACCTTATTCATCAACATTGATTCTATTGCCAAAACCCGACTGCGTGTGGAGACAGAGTCAATGCCAAGTGCCTTGTCCAAGAACCAAACGAATGCGGCGCTCTTTGAAGCCGCTATGGTCCTTGTAATGATGTCAGACCACAGTCCCGACGCTGAGTTTAATCCTCCTCTGTCGGCTTATCAGGGTCCTAAAGATCGGATACGAGCATGGTTCGAACAGGAAAGATTTCCCACGGAATTTGGATGGAAGCCATCGGCAAGGACAATCAAGCTGGCTGATCTGAACCCTGCAATCGATGGAATTATCAAGTCTATGGAGCGACAGGATTACAACCGGTCACCTCGTGTGGCGCAAAAGTTTTCCATTTAGGCTATAGATGGCGTTGATTTGATTCTGCGTACATGATATAATGGTAGTTTCATTTAATAGCTGCATTCTTATCTAACACTCTGAATCATTATTATAACCTCTCATTCTCATTAACTGCCTGAAAATAAACAACGTTAAAATGCTCTTGTAGTCTATTTTTCTAGGCCTTCCACGGGCTCATATCATATCCCTCTTTCCACCTATTCAGCAACTCCTGATCAAAGCTAACGAGAACCTCAAGATCGCCATTTGGAAGTCTGGGAAATATCACTGGATACCGTTTGGTCTTGAAGGTTGGCAGTCTTACAGCCTCGCAGTATCCTAGTTCAATACCCCAATCGAGCTCATAAACCCCTTCATCAGCCCAGGAGACAATGGAGATGCTTGCCGGCTGTTGGCAAAGTTTAAGACCTGTCACATCTTCCTGAGCAGATAGATGATTGACAATGGTATTCATTTTGCCTTCGTCTATGACGTGGATGCTTTGGCGTACGGCAGCCGCAACATTTGCAATTGCTGATATAGAATATGCCTGTCCACTTGCTCTTCCAATGTCGATAAGATCGGCTTTCTTTGCATTCACCAGTGACACTCCAAAAGCGGCACCGAGGTAATCCTTGGGCAAAGGTGGGTTGTAGCGACTGCGACAGTTTACAGCGATGCGCATGGAGCAAATATCGCTGACAGCATCGTTGTTTTCATCTGAAAATTCAGAAAAAATAGCTGAGCCCCAAAGGAGAGCAGTTAGAATGTCGCTAGTTGATACCCAGGAGATCCCATCAGGTAGATGCTTGTTAACCTCAAGCTTTAAACCTTTCAGATATTCTGCAGAGTATCTAAAAAAATGCGTTTCAACCTCCACAGGCTTTGATGGCTGGTTAGATGGGCTGCTCTCTTCTTTGTGAAGAAGAAGCGGTGCATCAGCTGGAGCACTATGAGAGTTGCTGACAATCAAGGTGCGATCCAACCAGCTTTGGCTAAACTGAATGTCTTCAGAAGAACCTGTCCTGCAATGTGACGCCCATATCTTTAACAGTGCGCCAAAGGCAGTAATGTCGGCCGTTGAGTGATTCAGACTGATACAGAGCAGACAACCTCCCTTCACAAGAGATAAGACGGCACGAAAGACCGGACTGGGAGACGTGTTGGCAGAGCTGATGTCAGCCGAAAATAGATCCAGCCCATCAAATAAAGAAGGTCGAAAGGCGCCCGCCTTCAAGGTGTCGTAGTCAACAGTCGTAGCAAGAACTTTGACACGAAACAAGTCACTCAATGAGTCACACGGTTGGCTCAAAGCAACAGATCCTTTTGGATAGGTCCGAGCCACTATCCTAGAGGCGAGATACGGGACATCTGCCAGCGTACCTGCGAGGCCATCTCGGAGGACTTCGGATATTCGAGGATTTATTGATGGGAAGCAGAGGATTTGGCTAATGTATGACCGTGGCATCACCCACTCAAGTGGAGATAGCTGGCTAGGCTCTTGTATTGGCAGTGTTTGCGCCATGATTTGCTGTGAGACTCGCGTATGAAGAAATGCCAAGAGGCTTGCTATTTGAGATGTGTTATAAGAGGGATTAATTAATTCTAAATGCTGAGGGCGCTATGCGAAGGATCATACTAGAGGTCCTTGTCAATGATCGGCAGTTGTATTGGGTCTAAAGTGCTCACATCATCTGCCGAAGGTCGAAGGCTCTGCATGTTTAACTTACACGTAAATCTAGTTCAACAAAAAAAAAAGGTATCAATTGTATGACTCTTTAATTATTGCAACTAATTCGCTAGACTGAACAATTATTTCATCATTACTCCATAATTTTCCGTATATAGACCATATTCGAGATTTCATCATGCGGTCCGCAATAGCCGCCATCAGGCAGCGGCCATGAGGCAAAGGCGCGAAAGCCGAGCGAAAAACCGCCGAGCCAAAGTAGTCTTGTCAACCAAAAAGGTTTTAGTAAGCGCCAATAGCCCTTTTGTAAGTCATCCATCCAATGATATTTAAGCTCCTGATACCGGTAGCCTTCTAGTTATAATGTACTTATTGAGCTGGGCCTTCAAGCAACTGTTCTGAATCGACACTCTTTTCTCTTTTCCTTTCATTAAACAATCATCATGGCCTTAACCAAGTCTATCGCTATTGTCATCAGTAGTACTCGTCCTCAGCGCCTTAACCCTTTTGTTGCTGGTTATGTCGCCTCTATCATCAAATCCGTTCCACAAACGACTGCAAATGTGGAATTGCTCGATTTGGCAACCGTCAATCTTCCCCTATACAACGAGCCTGTAGTACCAGGAGATCTTCCAGCTGATGATCCCACTCCTCATTATCACTACGAATACACTCGCGCTTGGTCAGCTCTTGTTCGCAAATATGACGGATTCATCTTTGTTACCCCGCAGTACAATTGGTCTATTCCGGCGAGTTTGAAGAATGCTTTGGACTATGTCTTTCATGAGTGGCGTGGAAAGCCTGCTGCGATTGTGACATATGGGTTTAGAGGTGGTGCTAAAGCTGAACCCCATTTGCGCGACATCCTGACCGGTCTACGGTTGGTTACCGTTGAATCGACTGTGGCGCTCAAGATTGTTAAAGGAGAGCCGGGAGAGAGGGAGAAACAGATGGAGGAGATTTGGCAAAAAGATGGAGCAGACCAAAAAATAATAGCGATGTTTGCTAGTTTGTTGGACCACTTTGAAGCAAGGAATTAGTGATACGGTATTTGACGGTATCCAACTCAATAGCAGCTGCTCTGTACATAGATATACATATATGTTGTTCGAATCTTTCGTGCTGACACCCAGGCATCATGAATGGTTCCCCTGTCTTCCCCTCTCCCATTTTCCCCCAACAGCAAGCTGTTTTCTTAAATCTTTATTTGTCTCAAAGCAAATGTCTCACCTCCATAAACGGTAAATCTATCTCCCGTAACTTTCTGCCCATTAATTCGCAGCACCGTCTGGTTAGCAGGAGTAGGTAATGGAGACGGAAGAAAGACGGTCCCATTTGTCCCGATAGGGCTCTCGACAGACATTGCCAGCAGCCCGTCTGTGAAATTCCATGATACAGCAATCCTTCCATTCGGTATCGGCATTGCTCCCTTGGCCCAGGTGAGATTCAATGTCTGCGGCGAAACCAGCCACTGACTAAATCCTGGTTTGACGGCTTGAATACCCAGCACATTCTTGCTCAGTTCGGCTGTCGGACCTGATGCCCAGCCGTGACACAGAGACGTCAACCTCCCCAGCCCTGGAGCACCATTGGCGTCGAGGGCCTCCCAGAAACAGTTCGTATAGTTCGCACCGCGGGGATCCGCCATTGGCGCCCAGAGAGATTTCAGAAGTTCCAAGGCCACCGCGCTATCGTTGATTTGGAAGGCAGCCCGCAGGTGATAGGCTGAGGCATATGGGCTGACGATCTGTTTAAATTCCGTTGAGTTGGAGAACGAGAGGGGGCCGGCCGGAGTGGATAGCTGCGACAAGGTTGAGAGGATGGCTGAGGCGCTATGGTTCGCTAATGGAATCCCCGCGAGAATAGCAAGTGCGTTCGCGTCTTGGGCAAAGCCATCAATTCTGTCCTCTGACAAGAAATAGGCGCTGAGAGAATCGCTCCAGAGCTGCGTATCAATTGCGGCGCGAAGAGCGACGAGACGAGACTGGTAGGCAGTGGTGTCAACGCCGCCGTCCTTGAGCAAGGCCATAGTTTCTTGCAGGGAGTAGGCATATACGACATTAAACTTGGTCACCACTCCAGACTGTGGCGGATCGTAGAAGTTCCAGTCGCCGCCAAACGAAGCGGTCGAGATATTGAGGAGACCATTGGGCAGGACCTGGAAGTTTGCCCAATCCAACATCCTCACCACCTTTGGCGCCCACTCTTGGGCAAAAGAAACATCCCCGGTGGCTTGATAGTATTGGGCAGCTGCTGTCAACAAGCTAAAGGAGTACCCTATTAAACCGGTGATGTTGGCATCAATTGGGCTCTGCAGCGGCGCCTGCTGAATTTTCACTGTCGGCACAAAGAAGCCTGGCGTGAGTTGGTATGAGCCTGCAAGATCCAGAGTACCCTTGACAAAACTTACTCCTCCAGTGCTAGCAAATGCTGAACTGGCGGAGATGTCAAGGTCACCCGTGTAGGCGATGCGGTCACGTTTGGAGCCATCTACGACCGCGTCGAAGGGATTCGTGCCCATCAGGAAGTCCTTGAGATGGCTGCCATCCGTCAAAGAGGAGGAGTAAATCGTAGCACCGGCTGAGGTCGTAGCTGAAAGATCCCTGAACACTGCTGAATGTCCTAACGAAGCGCCCAACCCAAAGGATCCGAAGAAAGACGACGTTTGCGAGAAACTCAACACGGGCACTTTATTGATACTTATCGCAATTTCAGTCACATCAACGCTAGTCGAGACGTGGTGCCATTCTCCCAATGGTATGTTGCCAGGCAAAGAGGCCGAGGCAAGTGGTGCCGAGTCGAGTTCGCTGGAGCCAATATGCGCTGAAATGGATCCATTGGCCAGGTTGCAGAAAATATAAATACCGGAGTTTAGAGTGTCCGCCAATACAGAAAAGCCAAATCCTTTAGATATCGGATTGACGTCGAAGTCGACCTTGTATTGCATCAATCCTGCTGCCGCGGCGCCGGAGAGCACTTGCGGGGCTTGACTCTCAACGAAGGAGCCTTCAGGGGTGATTTTCCAGAATTCGGGAATCGAATTAGCAGGGATCTCGGACAGCTGAACCGTTCGCGCCCCAGTTCTCCAGATGCGAGTAAGGTCCTCGTCAGAGCACTCAAACGAGCCAGGGAGGTTGACAAGAGCGGTTGTGGATGTTGTTGGCTTCACCCCGACTTTGGTGAGAACAAGCTCGCCATCTGTGGATAGATTCAGTTTTTGATAGCGAAAACCTCCCATAATGAGACGATTCGTAATGGTTGAAGCATTGGTTATGTTGTATTGGTTAACTCGGTACGTGTCCATGGCCGCAGCAAGTGGTAGGGGGCCATCGCCCTAAAAGTGTGTAAGAAGCTTGGAATTACACCGTGAGGATAACTTACCATAAAAGAATTCAAATTCACTTTGGTCTCGCTGTATGTAATCTCCAAACGCGAGGTATCCCCTGAAGTCGATACGACCTCGAAGGTAGGAAAGCCCTCTACATCGAAGCCGTAGTCGAGGACTTTGACGGCCGGTGACGTGGAACTACCATTCAGCGTGATTGTCTCGTCGGAGCCGAGGATGATTAAAGCATCTGACTTAGGGACGCATTGTTTTGCGTGACTTGCCAATGCTCGACCCCTACACAAGCTTGCCAGAAGCAGTGTCAAAAATGAAGGTAGAGGGCGAAAATGCATTCCGCACGAAGATAAATTGAGGAGTTGTACGAGGAGGATGACAAAATAACGGGAAGCAAGAACGGAATGTTTAATATGGCCGTATGAATGTGACAACTTGCCAGATATGCGCCAATTCATAACATTCCCGATACTTCTCGCTCTTTATATAGTTCGCCATCTTTATGCACTTGGGCATTCAAGCAGCATAGCCTCAATTCATCCAGGCGCTCTCAGCCCCTAGGTAGATTTTCAATTCTGATGACGTACTCATGGGAAAAGGAGGCAATGGGCAAGTCAGGCCGATATACTCCAGAGGCTATGAACATTATCTCGTATATTTTGCGGCAGTTGTCTAAGTCTTCATGTTTCTAAATTGTGGCTTGTGCAGTTTTTTTCTATAGGTTTGGTTAGGCCTGGTCGGTCCGAGTTTCGTCCTCCACCTTTACAAACATAATCTAGTTTAGGGTCATCCACGAATTAAAACTAAAGTGATTCCGAGGTATATACGAATGCGAGTTTTCCGAGTTACTGAAAAGGGTATGTTTTATAAAAAATGAACGCGCAAGGGTTTCGTGTAACAGTCACAGTTGCTGAAGACAATTTCGGTTCTTTCCCCCGGATCGCGACATCATCAAGGGACAAAAGTTAATCTCTCTCTAATTAAGGGAACAAGAGAGAGCTGGAAACTTGCGTAAAGATGGCCTCACTAGCAGGAAGCTGACCATCGTCGTTGTCCTGGTCGATATCCTCTCGGGGACTTTTGTGCATGTAGACATCCATCGCGTAAGTAGATCTAATCTGGGTGTGCAGCCTATCTTTTGCAACCAACCTTCGTATGGCAAAAAAAAAAAAAAGAGTCCAAGTCTCTATCTTATGGGGAAGGTTAACGTATTGGGCTTATGGCGGAATCAGCTGCGTACGCCGATGGCAACTCTCGAATCGCCACCTGCTGGCAGGGAGCCATGACATTGACAAAGGAGATGATGGCCCCAAGTAGGCAGTGAGGATTACAGTTTAATAGCCGGCGGGGCACAAGCCACACAGAAGACCTGTCTAAGCCCTTTCCGCCGCGTCTGCTCCGTCAGTTGTTTACTTCGCATCTCTCGGACAATAGCGTCGATCTCGCACTTCTCGGAATATCACCGAATGGATGGCGTCGAGCATGTGGGTCCTTCGCGTTTCTCGGGTTTCATCCAGCGTTCTTCGCATTCGAGTCAGATTTCTATCGACTTATGCGTTGGAAGATCTCCCATCGAACTAATATAGCATTCTCTCAGACAGTGGAGTTCAAATACCATCTCTATAGAGCCTTGAACCGTATAGCATGGCTCAGCCGCCCAGCTGCGTCATTGATCGTTGACATCGAATCTTTTAATATACATAAATATATGAATACATTCGTTCTCCGACTCGTGTCTTTAATCTTCACTCTCTATCTACTCTCTTGGCTCGAAGCCGTCTGACCGGCCATTCGTACATTCGTTCACTGAATCACAAACATCATCTCTGTCTTTAGCAGGTCGACTGTTTCTTTTTGTTACTTACTAGTCCTAATAGTCAACTCATTATCCGGATATCTCAACCTATATCACAGATCCATCACCCCAACTTTTCTTCTCACGCATTATAATGTCTTCCAACGTCCCTGATCCGGATGCTTTTTTCGCCCTTTACCGATACGTACCATCTCTTGAAGCAGCTGCAGTTGCTGTTCTTGCTTTTGCCATTATAACGGGCATGCATGGTTGGCGCATGCTTCAAGTACGATCATTCTATTTCACTCCTTTCGTCATTGGTGGAGTCTGTAAGTTATGGTTTCTCGCCCCTTATTTCTTCTCCCCATTGCGCTTCTATTTCATCTCTCTGCGACTCCAACTTTATAATGCGATCTAAGCTGACATACTATAGTCGAGGTTATCGGCTATAGCGGTCGAATATGGTCCCATTATGATCTGAGCTCCATCGGTGGCTACATCATCCAGCAGCTATTTATTCTACTTGCCCCTGCACTGTTCGCGGCTTCGATATACATGATCTTGGGTCGACTGATCCGAGTATTAACGGCCGAAGAATACTCGTTTATCCCACTCCGTTTCCTCACCAAGATATTCGTCCTTGGCGATGTCATCTCTTTCCTGGCCCAGGCAGGTGGCGGCGGTGTACAGTCAGCTGGCTCCCTCGACCTGTTCCACCTTGGCGAGAAAATTATCGTTGTGGGCCTCTTCATCCAGATTGCTTTTTTCGGTTTCTTCATGATCACGACCATCACCTTCCACTGCAGGCTCAGCGCCCATCCGACACAAGCCGCCATCGACGAAGTCGTTCCATGGAGGCGGTATCTCACCGTCCTCTACTCGGCTAGCGGCATTATCCTTGTCCGAAGCGTTTTTAGGATCATAGAATATCTCCAGGGAAACAATGGTTATATCATTCGACGCGAGTATCTTCTCTATATCTTCGACGCCGTTCTCATGTTCCTTGTCATGGTTCTGTTTTTGATTAACTACATCGGAAACCTAGAGCATCGTCAGACCCATGCCAAACTGGAAGAGGATGAGGAATTTGAAATGATGAACTAGTGCTATAGTACGTAGTTGAATACAACTGGGGTATATCAATCGTTAGAATAAATAGGCGCAATGAAATCTCAAATATAACTCGAGGCAACAAACAATATAGGCAGCAATTATGTAGAACGAGCGCTTAGATAGAGACAATATACCATCAAGCCAGCCAGCTTATCGCTAAAGTACATATAAAGCCCTCGATATTTTAGCATTTTAAAGTCAGAGCAATAGAACTCGCCCCTTTTTATTACAGTAGTACTTTAACTAAGTACGTACTTTAACAAATCATTAGAGTCTAAATATACCACTGTATTATTCTCTGTATATTAGAATGATTGCCTGGCATGCAGATGGCTTGTGTAATCCTTAGAGAACGCTTTATCCGTGGGCCTGCTAGAGATACCTTGCTTTATAAAAGAATTTTGCTTCTTTAATGACGAGTCTTGGGAAGGGATAATGGTCCCCTCTGGGTACCTATATTATGTAGAGATAATCTAGAGCCTTTTGACGTCATCTTTTCGACGTAATGCAGCACGTGTGTGCCGGAGATTATTCTTTTCTTTGGTCGCATGTAATTTCCCAACATTAGGTACTTTGGCATTTGCTTCCGAAGGCATTTTGTTACGCCCCTTATTCTTTACTTTCGCTCAAGTGCTGATTCACAGATCCGCCCACCCCATCATCTTAAACAACAGAAACTTGTTCTACACTGTCGAATACAGGGAAGCGATGCTATCAAAAGCCATTTTAAGGAGGATACGCGCAGTTGATCAAAGGCATCCGTGCTGTGAATTGAGAGTAGTACACGTGACCCTGCTGTGGCCATACTTCAAACAGATCAACCTCTGGGATGCACCAACAGTTACACATAACTAGTCCTACTTTGCCTCACCAACAACTTGAACGACCATTTCTGAGGTCTGAGCGCTCAGGAGCCAAAATTTGCGGAATATAGCTGGGGCCCCATTTCCTAGAGATAATGGGTGCAGCAGTGATTGCAAAGCAGCGACTCTTCTGTCGGACACGATCTTGGAAATCAATCTTTCGGCAGCTACACTTGTCGGCCTCGCAGCTTGGATCGATGGCTCACATAATTGATGAGCCTATTGAAGAAGGATTACTTCCTGGCAATCGGCTAAGATACTTTCACCCAACAAAACCTGGTGAGGTATTGGATGGCAGATTCAAAACCATTGCCAAGCTCGGTTTCGGCGCTGGATCCACCGTCTGGCTGGCTGAAAATCTCAGATTGTAAGATGTTTCTCGTTTAAACTCTCTTTCCAGTTCTTGCCTGATATCTATATTAGCAAAACACGGTCGAAATCGCTTGGTTTACGCTTCGTCAGCATCAAAATCGCGGCTCTTGATACAGTTTCATCTAGAGAGATGACGTGTTGGAAGCTTATCACAACCACCAACCCATCACACGAAGGTCTCTCCTTTCTGCGGACGCCTGTTGATCAATTCCAACTAGAAGGACCAGAAGGGATGCACTTATGTCTTGTGTATGAGCCAATGAGAGAAACCCTTTTTCAGCTCCAACAAAGAGCGCGACGTCAAAGATTAGCACTGCCATTGTTCAAGTTATTCATCTACTGTTTACTCGAAGCTTTGGATTACCTGCATACCGAGTGTCACATCATCCATGCAGGTAAAGCTTCATAGAAACCTTAGGGCCTCACTGCTGACTATTACTCACCAGACATCAAGGACGACAACATCATGGTGACTATTGAGAATGATACCATATTGACAGATTTCGTCGATTCTCAAAGCAAAGCCCCCCAGGCTATGCATATTCGAGAAGAAGACGACCGCGCGATCTATCTTTCGAAAGAAGACTTTGGCCCTTTGCGTGGGTAAAGACTGTTACCCAAGCTGGCTGATTTCAATCTCTCTTTCCCCGGACTAAACGAGGACCTCGGCCACCTTTCTGCGATCCAATCTCACCGCTTCCGTGCCCCCGAGGTACTACTAGGCTGCCCATGGTCGTATAGCGTTGATATTTGGAGTCTCGGCCTCCTTGTGAGCGATACTTCCCAGCCTCTTCTCATGGCACTATCTTCCAAATTGTGGTACTAATGCTTGTAGATGTGGAATCTTCTAGAAGACGTCAGCCTTTTCGATCGGCCTGCTGGAGAAGATGGTGAATACGATGGACATGTCCACCTTGCCCAGATGACTTCTCTTTTAGGAGAGCCGCCTGAGGAACTGATCAAGAGAGAGCGACTCTTTCGTGAACACCGGCTCGACAGGCCCGTCTTAAATTCGCGTGGTGAAGAGTTCAGAAATATGAACGAATTTTGGGGCGGCCCTTTTTTTGATGACAATGGTAATTCACATAAAATAGACGGAATCTCAACGAGAAATACGTGTAACTAACTTCTTGGACCATGATAGGCCAGATTCTCCGCAATGATATTGTCAAAAGAAGCAAGAAACTAGCGGATACGGTGACAGAATTAGCGGGCGACGAGAAAGAGATATTTCTCGACTTTGCTTCTGGTATGCTCCATTGGCTACCCGAGAAGAGGAAAACTGCCAAAGAGCTGTTACAACATCCCTTTTTTGATTCTTTATACAAAGACCGCGCCCGGTATCTCTAGTGTCGCCAATATTTCTTGAAACAACACATGGGATGGTATTTCTTCAGAACTTCGTAGTTCATCGATATTATTGAGTATCGTACAGTAGCTAAACGGAATGAAACGTAATAGTGTTCCTTGCACAGCCTTCTGTGTGCTCATTGGGGCTACTCTTGGGTGAACCGTGGGAGTGCCATCTTGACTGGTTAGGCCCACCCCTTCCCTATTATATATCATAAGGTACGGAAAGATATGAACACTACATGTACTAGGGCGCCATCTACTGTGGGTACCAACAAATGGAACAGGTGATTAAATACAGTTAGAAGGGTTACGATAGCAAACAGCAGGCAACACATGTAAAATAACCAGCGTGGCTGAACGCAGTTTCTTTTCAACCACCGAGAGACCTTAGGTGAACGACTGGTCAAATCTTTACCATATGTGAGAGAGGAATCTGAAAGAATCTGAAAGGATTTTGGCAAAATTATGGAGCGGCGAAAAAGCAATAATAATGACACTAATTACCATTGATTATGATGTTTCACGATGAATAACTATGGATTCTAATAAATACTGGTCATAGATGCTATCCTTCGTCTTTGTCTTTTCGTCGGTTAAAAAGTTTAGCCATCCTTTGCTCTATGGTATTTCACCCCCTAATAGTTAAAGCATCCGTCAATCCTTCTGTAATCTGAAATTCTGTTCTCCCAGTGGAAAAATAGTCTCATTATCTTTAAGCCATGTCTATTCTCAGTTATGACCTTGCCTACTTTGACTGTAATGCATGTTTGTCCTCTTCGCTGATCAAGAAGTTGCTTCATGAGATTGCTAGCTTGGTGCGTGTTACCTTCCGTTATACCGTAGTGCCAACAGGGCAAGAGGTTAGGCCAAAATCGCAATTTTAGCAACTCTTATAACGGACCCAGCTACTTGTAAGGGGAGTGACTATTCGGCACCCCACGTCTGCTATACAGCATCACATTCATAAATTTAAAGCGGCCTGGAGCAGATATTAGAGGAATATATAGATAGTAGCAGATTGTAGAGAGAGTAGCAGATACTCCAGGAACTGTATAATATCTATGTAAGTAACGGTGATAAAAATTCTTTATTATACGTTGTTACTCCACTCAGAACTCCTCTCAGTTGCTGGGGTGCTGGATAGCCACCTTGGGGTGCTGAATTGCCCTTCCATCCCCTAAATGCTGGTCTAGGCATTGGTATATGTACCCAGCGTCGCCTAACATTCACAGCCTGATCCCAAAATTTATTAGTTTCGGCGCATAATTGCGTGGTCCTACAGTTGAAACAGGCTTAACGAGAACCTTTATGCAAGCGCATCGGTCAGATCCGATCACAGCAATTAATATAAAAATACACTTACGGCATGCATATGCTATAGTTGCAGCACTTTAGTGCAGATTAAGGCACTTGCATCCAAATCTCTATCCAAGCAAGACCACTACCTAGGTTATGTATGTATGCGTGGGACCCAATAGATAATACATCGATGTATGTACATTTGAATAGGCGCCAGTACTGCCGCTGACTATGCTGACCTTGTATTCGCTTCTCCCCATCAACATGGGGCTGCAAAAGATGGACAGTTTGCTACACTCACCTGACCCTAGCACAAACTATGTGCTTGATAACTTAGGAGGCATGAGATTTTTAGTATCGCTCACTCTTGTCACATGTGGGTTCTCTCTATGGTGTACCCCACCTTATCAAAACAATCTTAGCAGGTCGTTTATTCGATAATCGTATCATGGTTGGTACCGGATTCGATGTAGTCCCCATAGACGTACCTTAATATAGATGTTAATATATCAGTAGCTACGCCCAAAACAATAAATCAACACCCTTGCAACTGCATCAAGCTAATATGGCAGCATGTATTGCCTCAATTGGTATAACTGTCAGAACTTAAACAGTGGGCATACACGAGTCTGGAATAGCCATTTCAAGGTCACCAATTCTCATGACTAGTTCCTCCAGAGAGAGAGTCCACTTGGCGTACGGAGTTGCCGGCCGAGTGGCCCCTCTGGTACATCTTGTTTACTTTGGAAACATCTTGATGGATCCAGATACGTCGAGTCTTATTGTATCACGCAGATAGTGAGCTATTTAGACAGAGAATGCTTCATCATTGCTAAATCATGAAAATGCTTATATACAGAATAAACATGTAGAGCTATAGACATCATTCTGCTCAAATCAGAAGGGCATATACAAGTCCCCCAACAAATATACATCGAAATTCCTCTCCTTTAACCAACACCCCTCCACAGCAACTCATTCCTCATGAATTCTTTACTGGCGAGTCCAGAAAGCAACATCAGACCAAGTGATGCTCATGGGGCCAACACCGCTGTCAGTGGTATAAGCACCGAACTTGTCATAGAAGCCGCCGCTAGGAGCATTGTCATCACGGAAAGCCAAGGCGCCGTTAACATAGACGCGGTAGCTGTGGATATCGGCATTGTGGACAGTGTTGATGGTAACGCTCTGGCCGACGTTGGCAACGTTGGTAGCCAGAGTAGCACCGCCCTCGACGCTGTAGAGACGGCCGCCAGTGTCGACAGCCAGGATGAAGTATGGGCCAGAGTCTCCGTTGAAGGTCTGCTTGATGGCGATGCGGCTGCCGCCCAGGGAGTTGATCTTGAAGGTTCCGGCGAACTGGTGGACACCGGTGGTGTAGTCGTTGGTGTAGCGACGCTCGGCACGCAGGTGGCCGTTGGAGCAGCCAGAGCCGCTGGTGTTTCCGTTGGGCTTCGCGGGGATAGAGAAAGTGCTGCCACTGACGGTGCCACCGGCACAAGTCTGGGTCTGGTAGCCAGGGCTGACGGACACCCAGTTGCCGCTCTCGAGGGGAGTGGCAGCAAAGACGGCGCTGGCAGCCGAGAGAGTGGCGAGGAGAGTCTTGACGAGCATCTTGACGGTGGTCCGGGGAGGTACGATGAAAAGCTTTGTTAATTGATTAAGACTTGAAGTTGTCTGTGATAGAGAGTAGAGGCAAGACAAGATCAGTTGTCGATCCGGGCAACTTATATACAAAACACATCTCGATGGGTCGACGTCAGTGTGCCCATAACTGCATGTACGCAATCGCATGGAGGCCCTGATTAATCCCATTTGATCGAACCAGCGGAGCTGATGGAATATTCCACCTATTACAACGACCAGCCTTCTGGTGCCGTCGTTTGAGCCTTACGAGTTGGGAAGGTCTTTAAGCTGAACCCCCTGGCGAGGCTAGCGTTGTTTGGCCTGTGATAGCGCCGTCAAACCCGCCTGTTTTCGCACAGCCTTGGAGAATGTCGCTGTAATACCATAGTTCCTCTTTGGGACACGAGTAGCTGGAAAGGCGGAGCCTTGGTGATTGGTGGAAGAAACAGCATAGACTAGGCATTCAAGCATACACTTACTACTTACCTGCTCTATAGGGAGGAGGCACGTCGACTATTGCCCGCTCGTTCGCTGGTGAGAACTTAAAAACATGGCGTTGTGGTGGGACTAGATGCAGCTATTTTTGAGCAAGCTTGAGGTTTGAGTCTCGGCACGGCCCCGCCAGCATAGAGTGCAAAAGAAATTACCAAGTAAGGAGAAGCTCAGGCTTAGCTGTGCATTGCTATGTGTTAAAAGAGAGTGCTTTGTATGTAATTGCTAACGCCCGCGTAATCCCGGTGGTGAGCGTGGATTGCCGGATGATTGGCTGTAGAATTGCGCAAAGTCCCTACAGAGCTGACACGGCGACTTAATACGAGGCAGCAGACAACCATATTCGGATTGAGTTGCCGGTTTGAAGACGGATCTTGAGCCATTTCCAACTATCCTCTTGTACGACTATGCCGATTGTAATTATGCCGGTCATTTCGCCACTTCGGCTTATAGCAATTCACTCGTACGAGGCTGCCGGTGAATTAGCTGCAGGGTATGTAGACAAATAAGTGCATCCTGGCTGCATTTAGCTCCAGCTATAGCTCCAGCTGAATACGCCCGGCTCCGTAATGTAGCTTTGTATACAGCACTGAAGATGCATCAGTGAATGCCATGAATGATATCAATTGGCATGATAATTTATATTTTTGCAATGGTTATGAAATTGGAATATCAAGAGCTTAATTCAGATCATAAAAACTTCCTGTGCACTATCGAGCATCGTATCATTTAGAAATAGAGAGCTACAACTGCCGAGTCTCGTAACTCGTCTAAACACCCAATCCGGCAACTCAAATCGCGTCTCCGTGTTCACATCCTACGTTAAACCGTTTCTTGCCTAAAATTCCTATTCTAGAACAGCCGTGAATAAAATCCACCAGTCAGCAACGATTATATCATCATCATCTCATCAAGCACTGTCGATCAGTCATGATAACAACTCCTTCTACAGATCAATCTACCAGCTCGGTCTCTAATTCAACATGGCAAGAAATGTCATAATTTCATCGCCGGCTGCGGTCATGTGTTTCTCCGAGAGTCTGGAACAATGACCTTATCTGCTCTTGGTAGGCAGTTCTCATTCGGTTCATTTTCTCCTTCATTTGTTCCAGTTCTACCTCCAGCTCACGGTTCCTCTTCCGCAAATTCTCTTCTCTCCATGAGGGTGGCGTCATGAGGGCAATATCTTGAACTGGTCGTTTTGTAGGGGTAACGAACTGCGTGACTTGGCTGCGAGTAGGGTCGGTAGTTGGTGGGCTTATGGGAGTGAACAAGCTTCGACTCCAGATTTGGGGAGTCACTGGAGGTGCCATTATAGCAACAGGCTGTTCTCTCTCTGGCGTCTCTGCCTTCACTTTTTCCTGGCCTCCAGTACTGGAATTGCCCATAGATCTCTTCTTAGTTCCAAACTCCACCGCTTTCTGATGCACAACTGATTTTGAGTGCTTCGTATGGTTTCCTTTGTTGTAGAAATAATGCTGAAACTTTGGACACTCGGGTTCATCGCACGCAAGATTGATATCGGCAAACTTCATTCGGATTTCTGCCGTCGGAGAAGCCGGGTTGGATGTAGAGACGAATCGGGGATGCACATGTTGTTCCGTCTGTATATGGTAATAGAAACTCTGACTAGTCGTCAGTTTCTCTCCGAATTTTGGACAGCCTTCAGCTGTGCACCGAAGTGCCCTAGCAGCTTCTTGTTCAGTCGTAATATCGGCTATAGATTTTCCGGATTCTCGAAGAGCTTCGGAATATTTGATAGCATGAACATGGTTGTGCGATTCCTTGTGCTGGGCAAATTTGCTTTCTGTGGGAAAAACTCGCTGATATCTGCGACAGGCTGGCTCAAGACACTTCTGGCCCTCTTCTTCGGACAGGCATTCCTCCGTAGTCTCCCCTTCCATGATATTAGTAACTTCAGCATAGTTGATTCGTTTCACAGAAACAGGGCTGTTGAGAGGCTCCTCGGGGAAAAGATGTTCGTGGCCTGGCGTGTTCAATGCATGGGTCACAAACTCGGATTGATTGGCAAACAGAGTGCCCTTCATGTCGCATTTTCCCTCAAGGCAGATCCAATTGAAATGCCCACTGGCTTTGAAGTGCCTTTTGAGAGCTGGTCTTGCGGCGAAAGTCGTGTCACACTCAGCACAGAAGTATGGGGGTCTGTGCCAGTCGTCCTCGTGGAGGAAGCATTCTTGGATGGTTTCAAAGGTGAAGCCGTCGCAGCTCGAGTGCGGACAAGCAAATGAATGATTCCCTTCTCCCTCTAGAACGGGTTTATCAACGAGATACCCAGCTGGTGGGACCCCCTCGAGGGGATCTGTGGATTCGATGTGAAGAACCTCCATCGGCGAAAGAGTCGGGATGTTTGAAAAGAGTGAATGCTAGAAGCTTGCGATGGATGCAGAAGCAATCGAATCGCTGCTCGAAGCTGCTGTTGTTGGAGTAAAGGCCGCGCATTGTGTCTTCGGGGGCTCAAATCTGTATCTAGGGTGGTTGGGCGAAGAGAAAGGTGAGTTTGCAGAGGTGAGTTAAAAGTGAAGTGAGGGTGAGGTGAATTTCGCGGCTTTGGTGGTTTAGATTCTAGGCTCGCGTTTTCTTTTTTCATTACTTCAGGCTGGCATTCACTCTGAGTGCGCTGTGCTGCACTCAACAATCAATACACCAAATATGCATTGTCTAGTTTCTCTCTTACCTTGTAATTTATAACAATCTGACAATACCATGGCTGAAGTTGCTGCAACCTTTTTATATTTGCCGTAAGTTGACAATGTTTGCGCATTATAAGCATCAAAACTATTCACCCTCTCGCCAAAATAAAGAGGTAATAAGCAATTCAAGCACTCAAAGCTCCATATTCCTCTACTTCAACTCCTGTCCCGTTTCCCTCGCCAACCTGCCCACAAACTCCGCCGAATACAAACTATCCAAATACTCGGCAATATCATCCACCTTCTCCCCATCCTCACTAATCGTAATCATAAAGATATACTCATTTTCATACGTCCCAATATCCGTTTCCGCCGTGCTCGTCAAATGCATCGTAACTCTCCTCTCTTCAACGTCCACAATCCACGGCGTCGTGTCCACGTTCTTGAGACGAAAGTTGCGGATAATGGGAATGATGCGCCCGAGAAATTCCCCAAACTCAGCTCTGCTTCGGGCGGGTTGATTGCCGGGTAGGATGCGGTGCATACATGTGGGACTTTGGATGGCGAGAACTTCGGGGACGGTCCATTTATTGTAGGCGGAGATGAGGGTATTTGCCGTGTTAATGAGCTGGGATCGACTAGGAGCCATGTTGATGATTGGGCTTTGACGCGTGCTGATTTTTGTAGATATTGATTGTAACATTCAATGATTTCATTGCTAAACACTGCGGTACCAACCTCTTTTATAATCTCTCTCCGACCCTGAACATCACCGTCTAAACACAACACACATCTCCTGTCTTACAACATCACCAGCTTACAAACACTTTCAACGTCTCTTCCACTCCATTTCCACCTCAACCTCCCACTCTGCCAATCACGCTGCCAGCTCTCTACCCTGTCTTAAGCATTATTGGCCCCAGTTGCCCTTTGTCTCCACCAAAACCGTCTGCCTCCCGCTTCATTTCCACAATTAGCTCCGCTAGCTCGCCGTGAGCATGGTAAGCCCGAACTTGCATGTCCATCGCCCTTCATCTATCAATCATATCAAGACTCACTTCTATTCTGGGCTTCTTCATACGGCATGGTAGCTGAAAGGAAACAAAAGTCATGTATTTCTTGTATAAGGGCGAAGCGGAAGTGTGACAAAGTCCGGCCGTTCTGTCGGCGCTGCGAGGACAAGGGTTTGGACTGCCGATATTCCCCCACAGTCCGACGCACCACTGCCAAACCAAGTCCATCAGCAGAATCAACTGAGATTCCAGGTTAGTGTTTTGATCATTTTGTATTAATAACTTCACAATAACTTGTCTTATTTTACGTTGTCTTACACCAAAATACTGAGCTCGTGATTGTGCATCCAGGTCATGTCTTTCTCATCAACACCCATGTCTCAAGTCTATCCGCCCCCGCCTCGTCAAAGCTATGGTTTATGGCCCCTGAGACGTGGAATATTGACAAGTCCAGCTCCAGAGCTCCCCCAATCCCAATACCCGTATTCAGGACCTTCATCCATCATATACAGCACTGGCTCATCCAATGGATCCGTGACGGCGGATGCCCCTTTATACACCGTCAACTCTACGCCGATGGATTCTTCCCGTCTTGTATGCAAGACGCCTTCTCGGCCATCAGCATACAACAGTCTTGTAATAGCCGCAATCAAGACCTGACTGCTCGCATCATCCAGGACCGAGCAAACTTTCTCATCAAGAGCGGTGGGATCGAGGAAGACAACGGCAATCTCATGTCAATGAATGTCCCCGTGCTCAATACATCACAGCATCTAGCACGCGTCCAGGCATTACTCATCTACCAAATCCTCCGCCTCTTCGAAAAAGGCATATGGCAACAGACTCGTGCCGAAGAGGCTATGCTAACACTGCTTTCATGGTGCCAGCAGATGTGGGATTCAGCCACTCTGGATTGCATCACAACTTCTCAGCCTACATCAAACTATACCGTCAGTGATGATAGCCAACAGAACGACCCCAGCAATGCTAATTCCACGCCTCGACTCTGGAGACTATGGATTTTGTCCGAGAGCATCCGGCGGACGTGGCTCGCCGTCATGGCCACAATCTCTGCCTACCGCACAATGAAGGACGGGTGGTGTGAATGCGCCGGAGGCATCACGTTTACCGCGCGTCGATCACTCTGGCGCGCGTCGACCTCGTCTCAATGGGCAATCATCTGCCGGACTGAGGACCCCTTGTTTCTGCCGTGCTTGGGCGATCGCGCGACACTGGAATCGTGTAATCCAAATGACGTTGATGAGTTTGCATCCAGCTACTTTTCATTGATTTGGGGACCAGAGTGGGTGGAGGGCCATGGAGCGAGGCCATTGGCTGACACTTAAGGCTCTCTACAAACAACTTGGTGTACAAGGCGGCCAGGATAAACGGCCATGCTTCCAGATTTGATACGGTATAATGAAGTATTCAATAGCCTTCTCTACTAACATTTTTGTGTCGTTGCCTAGAATCATACATGCAGTGTAGACGTCATTTGCCGCACATTCCAATATACGTACCAAAGTATTGAACCAATAAGCGCTGCATAGCCTCATCCGATAATATATCATTTGGGCAGGAAATTAGATTTTGTACTTTGCCGTAAGGCTGTGATTTTTCTGGGATTGCAGCTAAAATCAGGCAGCCACGTGTGATCCCATTTTCACATCTCCATTTCTCCTACATTTAACATTCAGCAGGGCCGTCATACTATATGCTCATTACGGAATCAAACATTATGTCTCAAGCGACCTCTTTTACCAATGAAAGCTCGATACCTGAGGAAAAGAAGCGGAACTGGAAGGCGAGGATTCTTTCGTCCGTGATTGGCGGAGGGGCCGCAATCTTGGGTGGCGCTGCCGTGGCAGCTCTCATGGAATCGGAGGAAATCAGTTTCATGACCTGCGTAACAGTTGCTGGAGTATTTTGGGGCATCGGCACAAAGGTAGCTGGCAACGTGCTTGGCTCGGAGAAGATGACTTTCATCCTCCACCAGCACCTAATCCAGCAGTCCTACCGAAAAACTATCGAACAGAATATCGGGACCATGCTGGAGAACGTTGTTACTAGCATCCGCACAAACAGCCCCTTCGAGTTGCGGAAAAGAGTCTATTTCGATGTTGATGATATGCTTCGTTTCGATACGCACGAGAAGCGCCGCATGTTCTTTGATTTCTCCTGCAAAGTGATCCCTCCACCAGGGACATCACCACAACCTTTGGATCAGGGCAACCCGGCAGCCGAATTACCCAGTTACAAACCCGAAAGCACCCAGACGGTAGTGACTGAGACGAAGAGCCTTGCCGACGGTATTCGTCATGGTTTCCAAGAAGGCGCACTCCTCGGCCTTGCTGGCGGAGCTTTAGCCAGCTTGCTATTTCTTGTCTTTGGAGGAACCGGCGTCGTCTTAGGCGTATTCGCTGCAATAGTGCTCGTTAGCCGAATCACCCATTCCGCGATCCCATCGGCGTCACCCGACAGAACCGCGCTCATCACAGAGTTTTGTGGAGAAACAAGGTCCCAGATGATGAGTCTGGTGGACTGTGCAGTCAACAACAACGTTGGACTGGAAATCGACATGCAGGTTTGGTCTACGGCAATCAATCCGGGGTCTGCGCATCCGAAAAAAGGGGCGTCCAAGATTATTTTACAATTTAACAGAACTGTTTCCAAGAAGGTTGATAGGGATGGACAGGATGGCAGCTTTATAATATGGCGGATGGGTGGATGTGAGGGTGCCGGGGTAGATGCTGAGGGTACATATACTGAAGCTGGTGAAGCTGCTGGAGTCGTCAAGCATCATTAAAGTATGGGAGCAGCAGCTGAGAGCTTAAAGTAAGAGATGGATGATTCATGTATGGCACTATATATAGTAAAGCACCTATCGATAGAATTGTATCGCGCTGTACAACCGCACAGGACCAATCGTGACGCTGGCCTCACAACATCCAACGTCGTCCTTTCGAGAATATGACTCTCAGGAGATGCTTTAGCACCACATTCCCTCCATTGTACTGCATCAACTCCTGTTTTGTAAACACCTTCTTATGCTTCACAGTATATTTGCTCAGCTCCTCAACAGACTTGAACACTCTGACCTTTTCGCCATCGTTCTCGTCTCCCCCGTTTCTGCCCCAGGCAATCAGGTCGACGATATTGACATGCGTGTTTCGAAGAATCTGTCATGCTTAACATCAGCCATTCGTCTTAAAAAAAAAAAAGGCAAAAGTACGGAGACATACCCCTTTGCACTTCCGAATATCATAAGGCGGATCAACCTTCCCCACCGCCTTGCAAAGAGTTCGCCACGCCGTCAAATCCGTCTCATCACCAAACCACATCTCAACCTCCCTCGCCAGCGCCCGCTGGTATTGCGCCCACGCATCGTCCTCCTCAGGGCTCCTCAAACCAGGTCCATTCCTCCAGGCCTTGAATTTCCGCAACGTCTTCCACGAAGCTTCCGGCGACCGATGGGGATCATACGCGAATCCCGCAAACGAAGTGAAGAATCCGTCCAACGGCGTATCTCGCACACCCGTCGGAACCGTATTCTCCTCCTTGGTATTCCGCTTCGTATTGTTAGGCTTCTCAACTCCCTGTTTTGCGCCTTGTCGGTGTTTTCCCCAGATATGACTCTTCAACGCCCTCCTGGTCAAGAAATCCTGCCACTCTCCGGCTTCCATACATTCCATGCATGCAAAATGCCGTTCGGATGACAGGATATGCAGTCTCAGATCTTCCTGCGAGTCGAAATCGGTATCGCAGCGCACGCACTTCCAGGTGGACTCATCCATTGCTTCAGCTGGGTCGTCTTGATGCACTTTGTTGTCTCGTAAATGCATCGACAGCGCGGCCTCATCCTTGAACACACGATTGCAAGGAGAACAGAAAGTCATCATCAAGGCAAACCATGAAGCAGCTAGATAAAAGAGGAAGAAGAGAAAAGAGAGGATAAAAAGAAAAGACTTACGTCGGACGCACATCACTTTCTCCTCATATGCACGCAGCCATAATGTCAAAGCACCTGACCAGATCAACATCCATTCACATCCCCCTCAGATATACGAAGCGGCCTGCGAGATATATTGATTGGCTGACTTACTCCTCCTAGGACTTGTGTAACCGCCCTGCATGTACACACGGCAGTGCTCCAGGCAGCCTAGATTAATTCTTGTTGGCCGAGCCTTGCCATGGAATAATACACACCAACAGCTGCCCGTCTAGCTCAGACGGACCAATCGTTTCAGAATAGACAAGTCATAATCCATGCTAGATGCTCTTTTTAAAAAGCCACAATTACATCACTGGAGACGGCAGGGGACACACAGGTTCTGCAAAGCGCTGCTTCATTCATCAAACCAAAGGCGACTATGCCAAACTACATACTCATCGCTTCCAGCACACTGGTCAGCTCGCTTGATCCCACAGCGGGAAAAACGCTGCTAAACCACGTAGCGCCGTTGACAACCTTTAGCCCTCAGATTCACAAGCATACATACAATGGACAAGAAAAGAAGAAATGCCAATCAAGCCGGGCTGGACGGATCGCCCATGCTGCCACTACCGCCACTACCGCCACTACCTGTGCTCCGTCTGCTGTCATGAATACCGAACCGCTTCGTGTACATGGGGCGTCGTGAAATGCCCATGCCGACGGGAGAACGGGGCTCCTCATCGCTCGGCTGGGTGAAACCGCTGACGTCGCTAAGCATACTAGAACTGCGACCTCGTGATTTGGCACCGCGCAGCTCGAAAGAGGTCATGGGCGGGGATTGCCAGGCTGCTAAGCCAGGGGGCGCCAAAGAGAGAGACGTGGAGGAGTGGTTGTTGTCGCCGTTTGGCGCTCCCCAGTAATTCATGCTCGATGGGAAATGCGCGGGAGCAGCTGGGTTGGGATTCCAAGGAGTTTGCGGCGGCAACTGCTGTTGCTGTAGTTGCGGTGACTGAAAGGGAACGTGACCGGCGACGGCAGCAGACTCGAGTGAGGCCATGTCAACAGGCAAGCCGTTGGCCTGGCTCATGAAGCTTCGAACTGTCTGCAGATCGTTCTGGAGACTGCGGAGATGCTCAGCCTTCATATTATTGGATGTATAGCTCTGCGTGAGTTGATCGTTAAACGACTTGTCCGAGTTGACAATCTGCTCCTGCCAGCCTGCACGTTCGCGATTTCGACGTTCCACCTCGTTAAGGCCCCGGTTGTTTGCATCGGTGATGTTGGCGAGCTCGTTTTCGACCTTGGCAATGCGGGTAGCGATCTTGTTGCGCTTGGTGTTGAGATTGCTCTTCTCATTGTCCTTGGACTGGACCTCGCTCTCCAGCTTTGCCTTGTACTCGCGGAAACTCTTTTGAGCCAAATCATAGAGCTTCTTCTCGTTCGAGTAGGAACGCTCCATCCTCTTCTTGTTCTCGGCCAGTTCTGGAGACCCGTCAAACTTCTTGAGTTGTTCGGCTTGGGTTTCCGTATCGCGTTCGGCCTGTGCTTTTTGGGTCTCCTGCTGGCGGATCTTTTGTCTATACTTGTCATCGCTGTGGCCGGCCGAGGCCAGTTGGTTGTCCGTAAGCTCATTCTCCTTCTTGAGAGCATTGATTCTCGATTTCCATTCTTTCCGCCACGTCTTGAGGCGATTCTTCTCATCGTTGAGCCTGACTTCTGCGGCCGCAATGGAGATGCTCAGAGTGGTGGCGGGGGAATCGGGTTGCAGCGACTGCTGAGAGCCGGATACGGCGACGGGTACGTTGCTATTCTCTCGCGCGGGTTCCTTGATGGTCCGGATGCTTGTGGAAAAGACAACCTTGTCAGTCCTAATGTCCACAAACTCACAGACGTATTTGGATGACGGGCGGAGGCCATAAATGTCTCCTGTCCAACGGGTACCCCCTCGACCGCCATCGTCTGCTTCGACAACGGGAAAGATGCGTGTAGGTTGCCAGAATGCATTGTTCACTTTGACGTAAAAGGGCTTGGATGTATCGACACCAGCGGGCCGCGTGATGGCGTGTCCGTTGGCGGTGGTGGGAAGTGGCGGTTCGTCATCTAAATCCGGAAAGTCGCTTGTGTTAAAGCATACTTCGTCGCTACCGATATACGAGATCCATATCTGTTTGGGCTGTGTGTTAAAAGGTGCGTTTCCGAGGTTGTGAATGTCAGTCGTGTTGACGCCAAGCGATTTCGAGGGCACGTGGGACGACTCGTATTCCTTCATGACAACAATCTTTGTGCTAGCCAGAGCTGCCCATAACGGCTGCTGCAGCCTGACTTGCGTGCTTTGCTTTCTTCTTTTCTTGTTGGTGGAGGCGGGCGGAGCGGGTTGCGGGGGACACCCAGTCTCCGTGTCCGGTGTGTTGAAGCCAGCGTCGTGGGCAACCTCACCGTTGATGGAGATGGTTGCTATAGGCTTCCCAGCCTCGGGATCATGCTGGCCGGCCGCCGCGTTGGCCTTTTCCCTCCTCAAATACCACTCACGGATGTATTTAACGAGCCCCTGGGTGAGAATGTGAATGGCCAATCCGCTTCGGACCCACGCAAACGCACTTCTCTTATCGTGCATGAGAGAGGTCGACTCGAACGTGCTGCTCAGGGCAGAAGGTACCTGCCAGTCCTCGGGGATGTGCCTCGCAAGACGAGACCAGTGGGTTCTCGTGCTGCGGATGACATGGTTGACAACGATCCAGACGAAACAGGTGGTGAGGCCGCGGGAGCCGCCGTTCCTATACGTGGTGCCGCCTCCGAGGGTGATGGCGATGATGGGCTTGGCGAGATCCAAGATGGCATCCTGGATTGGCTGCCACAGAAACAGCCAGACGAGGAGGAAGAAGAAGTCCATGCAAACAACGGTGACGAGGGAGGGCATGGTGGAGTGGCCATCGAAAATTTCGGCAAAATTCAGGTTGATGCCCGAGCTGGTGGTGACGGGGGGAACAAAGGTCAGACAGGTAAAGATGCCGTAGATGATGGAGAGAGAAAGTGTCGGGAGTTGCATGAGGATGATGAGGATGGCGAGCGTGTCCTGCATAGGGAGCGTCTTGAGGACGGTGGCCACCATGTCGATAGGTCCCGAGTCGCGGTGGACGTCTGCGTTCTTGAGGGCGTTGACGTCGATCTGACGATGGCCACCGTCGACAGCGGCAGGGCCAGAACCTATATGGGAAGTGCAAGACTCGGACGTGGACGTCTCAGAGTAGTTGCCGACGGAAGCCCTACGAGCATCGGCGGAGCGGTCATGGAAGTCGATGGCGGCCTTGGAGACGCCGTTGGGCAGCACAAACTGCGGCCCTGCGTGGCCCGCGCCATGGTCGGCCGGCCTCGCAGGGCCCTCGAGAGGATTGAGGCTCTTCCTGCCAGTGACTCGCTTTGCCGGGGCTACGAGCCCATTCTCCTTGGTGTCGCGATGACCGGCGCCTGACTGTCGCTTGCTCGATCCCGATGCGCGAGGCATGCGCGGCTGCTTCTCTCCCCCCACTGACTGCCGAGCAACCCTGAAGACCTGTTTCGAGGCCAGGGCCAGCAGCAGCGGGAAGGGGATTGTTTGCTTCCTTTTCCTTCAGTCTGCGCGTGCTTGGGTCGGCGGGCTGGCGTCGGATTGCGGGAAGGATTGTTGCCTCTTTGGTGGGGGAGAAGATCAAGTGGTTGACAAACAGGGCTGCTAATTGCAGGATGCCGTCGTCATCCAGAGGCCGGTGGCGTATGTCTGCGGCTCGAGAAACGAGAGTAAAAGCACTTTTGCTCGGTCCGGACAATGTGCCGTCGGTGGGCGCTGGTCGAGAAGTTTGTCGTATGTTGCGAGGAATTCGGGGCGAAGGAGTGAGAATTTGACCCCCCAAGACAGAAGCTGCTGGAAGTGGTAGAGGAAGCGAAAAAACGAAAAAGCAAGACTACCCACGAACCGGGGAATATTAGAGCGTGGTAGAGGGGGCAGCAGCCGTGTTGCAGGGCTTGCAGCGCCAGAGCTCTAGGGCCTTTGGGCGGGCTTCCAGGGCACAGGAGGCGCTAGGGCGGGCCCTGGATCTACCGTCTACAGCGCGCTAATGGGGGCATGTGGGGATTGAAACAAGAGCGTCACAGGCAAGCGGATGTACTGTACAAGTACAGGGCAGAGGCACATGCAAAAAGCACAAGCAACATTTTGCGGGAGGCGTCCCCTATTTTGCAGCGACGACAAGCACGGGGGGGCAAGCAATGCGACGAATGCGATGGAACGAAGCGACGGATTTACGCATGTTGTTTTCACGCTGACGCAATCCTCCAGAGCCGTTGGAAAGCAAACATGTCTTGGATCAATTTAGCATTGAGGCATCTGATGGGCTGGGTTAGGTACTTTGACGGAGTATTAGGAGGTACTCGTACTGCTAGCGAAGGAGTTGTAGCGTCCGATTGCTAGGGCCGGCGAAAGGGTACAAATCCAGCGCAGTTCAAAGGTACAAGTCAGCAACGTACTGACTGTACTGTACATCGCTCCAGCCTTTGGCGGCGCCGCATTGTTTTCTGACACATGACAGAACTAAGGTACTAATGAGCTCTGCCGTGATATCCAAGGGAGTAGCAGCATGCATTAGGTGCCTAACAATGCAATCCACGCTGGCGAGCAGAGCATGAGTGCAGCTTACGAGGATTACCTGACGACTCGCAAGGCTGCTAAGCTGGATTGATCACGGCAGAATTGGCCATAACTCGCTGCAAGCGCGGCAACTAAAGTAGACAGGGGGAGGAACTCGATAGGCCTCTAGTGTATCCCTTGCAGCTCTCCGGGACGCCGAGTGACCTCCCCAGCCTGAGCCCGCGCCCGAGTACTGTACAAGCCGTATTGTATAAGCCTTGAGCGTCCTGAAACCGCCGGTACTGTACAGTGCTCCGGACCGCAGGAGGACGTGCAAACAGCAGCGGTGGACTTCAGGACCACTCAGGGCCACATATAGCAGCTGCCTCAGCGCTCGACGCCCCCGGAGCCGCCGGATCTGCGGGCCATCAGCAACTGATCCTGCTGGCAAGCCATTTTAGCGCACAGCTGAATCTGATGTTTGCCATGGCCACGTCGGGACTTGGATTGAGGCTGTCGGCTGTTCTTGGCCGGAAAAACTCTCGATAGGCTGGCGGCGTGGCTAGGGCGGGTTAAGCTTTTGCCAGGCGGTACGTACCACGGAAAGGAGGGCCAGCGGCAAGGGATCTGACGTCGCTGCCAGCCCCTTCCGAGGGGGGGACCCCAGTCGCCATGTTGTTGGTACTTGCATGTTGGCAGCTCAAGTTGTCTGTGTAAGTGAAGAGTGGAATGACAAGCGAAGTAGTAAAAGCTGTGTATCTGTCAGATAAGCGGCAATGTGCATCAGCGCCGCAGAATGAACCAAAACAGCAGTTGCTAGATTGCTAGAGACCACTCCCCTGGTCGTATAAGCCGCAATTCGCTCGTCTCGTGCTGCAATCACATCCAAGAGGCCAATCACCATCGGCACAAGGAAAAAACTGATGGGCACGCGCTCCGTGTTTCGAAAGGACGGCTTTCGTACAGGTACTCGGTACATCATCCCGCTTGCACGTGCAAGCGCTGTTTCAAGGGACCCCCGCTTTCAGATGCTTATGTACCTTGGTAACTCTTGCGAGCCAAAAAAAAAAAAAAATTCAGTGCACAGAAATCGGCTGTTGGACCTGCTAAATCTCACGCTACGGGGTACATACTGCCAAGTACTGCCACCACCATGACGCTGCTCTCTCCAGTCAAGCCTCTCTCTTCGATTTTAATTAAGCGCTAAAACAACGAAAATCTCTGGCCCGATGGAGCCTCCAATTTCCTCGACAGACTCTTTCTCAACGGCTTTCGCAGCGATCACGAAAAGTGGGGGGTTTGTCCATCGGAAACACACCGACACGGCCCTGGTACTGCTTGCTGCTAATTGCTAGCGATGCTACTCCGTCCATGCTGTATCCCTGAACTGCCGCTGCACCAGCGATGCCTCAATCCCACTAAAGGAGGTCAAGTCCTCATGACAGGCAGCGGCAGAGCGCAGAGCGAGTCACTGCATGCTGCTGGCTGACTCCATGCACTTGTCCTCTTCTGACCGCTCCTTGGCCTTGACTTGGCCTTGACTTGGCCTTGACTTGGCCCTTGGGTGCACGGCCGCTAACGTAATCGTGGCCCAAGGGATGAAATCTCCGATCCAGCCTCTCAGCCGCCCGAAACGCTAAACACCAAGCCAGCTGACGGCAATCTCTAGTCTTGGAGAGGTTGTTGTGTGGAGAGAGGTGGCAGCCAAGATGGAGAAAAAGCCGGGGGTGAGCAGCAAAGATAGAGAGAAGGAGAGAGCGCAACAGCCTCATCGACATCGACCTTGCTCAAGACGGCTACCCGCTGACTTTGCTTTGCTCGCGCAGAATACGAAACGCCTCTTTTGACATGCCGTAGCGAAGGATGCTGTGCTCGTCAATGCCATTCATGCTGAGAGCAGGGTTGAGTCGGCTAGCTGCCCCTCCTCGGGCCACGATACCCCGCGATACCCTCGTTCTCGTTGCCTCAAACTGATCGTCGTCGACCTAGCCATCTTCTCAGACGCGGACGAGCGGCTTGCAGCCAGCGTGACCTCCGGTAGCTATCGTGGGCCGGTGTCATTCGCATTGAGCCGGTAGACGACGGCATTAAGGGCTGCGGCTCCGATCTGGACGAGCTCTCTGCAGCTTTTTTATTCCCGCGACATTCGCCCTCTACTATATACTACTAGCTTTCATTTCGCTTGACTTCGACTACATTATAGCTGCCACTACCTTATCTATCCTCTCCGTATCGGCAGCGGCGCCGGCATCTCTTGGAGCTCGCAACCAACACACATAGCTCCTGTCACCTCCAGGGCGCGGTTGGGTTCGGCAGTTTGGGGCTCCTCCCCCAAATCCCAGATCCTGGAACGGCCTGTTGGACTGCTACCTTGTGAGGTAGTACAGAGTACTTGGCATCTCTTGCTCTGCCGTCCGCCAATAGCCTTCTCAGGACAATACCAAGCCGCAGATGAGGGGTTCCATCAAACACGCGACTTTGGTGTCTAAATCTGTGCCCCGTGAAAGCGCGGCAATTGAGGAGGGGGATTGACAGGTCTTATCTGCCGATATGCGGTGTTTACACCCCATGCTTGGCTTGGCGCCTTGTGAAGCCATCACTACAACCACTACGAGTATGCTGTCTCCCCTCCCTGTTTGTTTGTCCAGCGTGATTTTTTTTGGCAATGCTCATCATAACTCGTAACGTCCACCATATTGTACATGCTATTGTTCTTTATCTTTGTACAAGCGCTCAAGCAGACCTTGGTTGGGTATTATCGCCTCCCCTTTTCTTGCCTCCTTCTTCTCCTTCTTCGCCAGCTCTTCTGCCTTGGTGGCCCAGACACTGCGCTCCACGTCCCACAGCGGCTGCATCACCTTGCTCACGACGTCGTCAAAGATGGCGCCCTGTGTCTCGTCGCTGGCTCTCCTCCGCTGCTTAAGCTTTCCGTGGCCCCAATACGGCGTTACGCTGACGTTTGCGCTCTTGTCCTTGCTGTCCTTCTTTTCGTCGTATTTCAGCATCATGTAGTCTACTCTTGCTCCGCCTACGTAGTTGTTCGAGCCGACAGTAAAGAAGCGTGTCTCGCCGATGGTAAAGCCGCTGACACGGTTGACGCCCATTGTGGTGAAGGACTCAATGGGGAGTCGGCGTGGGCCGTCGACTGTTTTCTGTTACCCGTTGTGTGAGCTGTAAGCTAAACAATGAAACCCGGGGAGTATATCGTACGTTAATGATTCCTCTTGGCGGAGGTGATGCCGGTAGGATGACTTGCGTTTCTCGAATATCAATGTCCTTTGCGCTCTTGAGCTCCGGTATTCTCTCCTTGAATGTCTTCTCAAACCGTGAAGTGGCAAGCTGTAGTAATGCCGTCGGCTTGATAATCCCAGTCTATCAACCCCGTCAGCCTTGTCCACCCTCAATTCATCGACACAAATCACTCACCCTCTTCTCATCCAAAGACTTATACAAATCCTTCTCCTCAACACTCTTCTCCCGCCTCCTCACAACCTCACCCTCCCATGCATCCAGCCTCGTCACCAATCCTCCCTGCCCCCCCAACGCAACAATCTCCTTCAGCACATCTCCTATCCGCCGAACTTCCCTCACCGAACACCCCGCAAACACCAACACGCCCAGGTCATGATACAAATGTATCGCGCTCTGCTGCAGCGCCTTGGCAGAGACACTGCTCGCAGGACCTCCAATCGGGACCTCTGCAAGCCGCCGAGGACGAATTGCGAAGCGGGTGAGCGTGGGAAAGACTTGCAGTGCTGGAGGGATGCGCGGCATCGTCTCTGTGTGAAGGAGGTGTCTAGTTATATAAGAGATGCTTCAATTGCGCGAATCGGTGGCGTATTTCGAGAGAGATGGGGATGAGTAGTAAACATGGAAGGAAGATGAAATGCAAGCTCACGACGACGAAAAAGGTGGTGTGTGGTCAGCCGCATGGAGATGCGCTGTGATAGGCCGAAGCGCCAGAGCTGGGGAATTTAGCTCCGTCGAGAAGGTGGCGGGGCGGTGATGACATTGTTTCTTGAGCTTCACTGAGCTTGAAGCTGTTTCTGTTTCTTAGGTGAAGCATGAGATAAAGCCATAATGCGTCCCAATGCCGAGCTGAGGAGGCAAGTCATTGCCATATACAAAGGTATGCATCGCGTCTCTCTTAGGACATCGATTGAGTGTCTATTTCCCGCCAAATTTACCGAGGCTATTCCCGTATCCAAGCAATCTCACAACAAACAATCGCGTCTCATCTCCAATTTTCGCAAGAACTGAGAACTCACAATCAGAAACTCAATGGCTAACAATATCTATTAGAACTCTTATTCCTCGGCCGCGAATATCCTCTTGGTTACGGCTACTTCCGCCCCCGTCTGCACAAAGCCTTCATGTCTCGTGCCGCCGAGAGAGACGAGGACAAGATTCGCGCGGGCATCAAGCAGGCCGAATACGTAAAGAAAGGTACTTTTACAATTAAATTACTATCACAGCAGCCAAAATTGACAACTATTTCTGTAGAAATTGAAGCTCTGTAAGATTTTCCCCCCAAAATCGTCCCGACAAGGCGCCGAAGATGAGCACATGTATTATGAAGAATATACACAGCCGCACAACATCGAATGCAATCTACGTAACATCCATTTACAAAGAAAACCAAGAATAACACCATATACATGCCATCCTCAGCACGTCCACTTGCTAATCAGACTTCCTCCACTGGCGGGGGGTATATAATAGGTACTACTTGAAACGATATCGAGCATTGAGAAAACGATATGACAGCGATGCGTGAGTGAAACAACCAAGAGATGCAAGGATATAGGATATAAGCAGTATAAATGACTTTTTTGGTTCAAACGGGAATATGTTGTAAGAATAAAAGTAAGGCGTTGCGGGGCCGTATATAATATAAAACAAGAGAATCCTTCCCGAAGTCGCAGCCATAGATGCAAATCAAATGTAGAATCATATCTGATCCCGAAATATTCTTTTTCACCGCCCAAAAACAATAAAAAAAAAAGGAGTATAAAAAGTATCAAGCCGGAAAAGTTATCTAAAAAAGATAATCGGTGACCTTGTTTCATTCTTTCACGCAGACACCTTCTTCTTCTTTGCATACCAAGCGCCAAACTCGAGACATTCCCCCAGCGACGTGCCGCTCTCGTCCATTAGATCGCTCATCATTTTGGTCAGCCACATGTCCAACTCGTCCTGGCTCTTCCCGCTGACGTCTCGCAGGATGGGTTCCAGAGCTTGCATCTCCTGCACCTGAGTTAGCAAAGCCGTCTGACGCAGCGCAATCTGCCCCGCCGTCAACGTCTTCTTGTCCAACTTTGATGTCGCCGTCTCCTTGCCCTTGGCATCTGGCTTGCTGTCGGTGGTGATGACACCGCCGATGCCCTCCTTTTCCCAGCGGAATTCGCTAAGAGGAAGGGCTATTCTTCGGCAACGAACGTCAGCCAAGGTTTCGTATTCCTGCAGCAGGGTTGGGCCAATGACGGTGCACGGTAGAGGGTTGATGTCGAGCTTCTCAAGCGCGCGCGTCAACCAGGAGTTGTATTCGACAATGTAGTTGTTTGAGGGTACGGAGAGCGGTGTTTGCGGGTTAATGACATAGGCGCCGAGACTAGCGGCGGCGGCTTGCTCCTCGGCGTCTTCTGCCGAGACAGTGGACGTGGGAATATGGGGTCGCAGACTTCGAATGACGTGGTCCGACTCCCACATCTCAAAGGTTCCGCCTGGTTTGACCATGCGGACACACTCCTCGATGAATGGCTGCATCATCTTGTTGGTTACGGCATAGCTTACGTCCTTGACCATGACCAGATCGTACTCCTCAGAGGGGATTGGCCAAGGCATCTGGCGCAAGTCGTGCTGGACAAACTTCCACTGCATATCGGGGCTTGGCTTCATGGTATCGTCGGCGGTGCTGGAGCTGTTGTCGGGGGCCAGCGGCGCAATGTCGATGCCGGTGAAGGAGAGGCCGCTGTGGCCGCGTTTATTGAAGTAGTGGTGGCACATGACACTCCAGAAGCCGGACCCGCAACCAATCTCGAGGACGCGCTGGGGAGGCTTCTTGATCAGGTCCGGCGACAGCACGGGAGCGCCAATGACCTGGATCAGCAGCATTGTCCGCAGCACCTGCCTGTGCAACTCGGTGAGGTCCGAAGGCAGCGGGTAGGCGAGCGTGTGATCGTTGAGAAAGGTGCGGCCATTGCGCTGGACAAAGGGCCGCGAGGCGGGCAGACCATCGGTGGCTGAAGGTTCGGTCGAGAGGATTGTGCGCGACGAGGCCGGCGTGTGGCCGCTGGCGGACGAGATGGACTCGGCGCGGTTGGTAGGAAGGCCCGTCATTTGTTTGAGGTCCTGTTCTGGCGGCGACTGGGCGTTTGCATTTCTACCGGCGGCATCGACGACAGTGGCTGCGCTGCCGCTGAGCCTGGCGCGATGCAGGCGGGAGAGAGTCCTGGAAGCCCTGCTGCCGGTAGAGCTGGACTGGCCCGGAGGATGAGGGAGAGAGGGAGAAAGAGGGTTGGGAGGAGTCCAGGTCGACGAAGCTGAAGCTGGAGGAGCGCTGGCGCTGGTGCTGGTGCTGGTGCTTGTGCTTTTCTTGGTGTTGGCGCTGGCGCTGGCCGCTGAGGCTGCTGGGCTGAGCCGCAAACTGTCGGGCCCCACGGAGGCGCTGGCGGCGGGGCCAAGGGCGCTGGAGCTGGAGTTGGACAGTTGCGAGTGGCTGCTGGAGCTGCGCGAGTGTCGCGCTGGGACAGAATGCAGAGCGTCCGACGTCGAATTGGGGCGCCGGGCGTGCTGTTTTTCTCGTCGCGCGGCCCTGGCAAAGCTGGTGGTGTCGAGGGGCAGCGCGCCCAGCGTACTGGAGTAGAGGAAGATGGCGCTGTAGTCGGACATGGTGGGAGTCCCCGGTGGGCCCAAGCCCGGGGCCTTGGAGGGCTCCAGCGTCGCGTATGGGGGTGTAGCAGGTACGAGTATCAATTGATGCTGTGGATGAACGGGGGGGGGGGGAGACGAGTCGAGTCGAGCACACACAGTGTTACCTCGTCGAGCTGGTGTCGTGGAGCGGCAGAGGCGACGGCAGCCGTACAGTGCTCAATGTTCTCAATGGCCGTGCCGTCAATGCCACGACTCGATGCCCTGGAGGTTCCGCAATTGGGCCCCTGTTCTGCTGCAGTCCAAAGGGGTTTCGCCCGCTGTGGCGCCGGCCAGGGGCAGAGACGCTGCTGTGCTGCTGCTGCTGCTGCTCCTCCTCCTCCTTGGCAAAAGGCCGCACTCAGTCCCGGACAGTTGAGCGTCAGGGTTCAGCGCGTGCCCCCCGACTCGAGGCCGTGTTTCGAGTCGTCTGTCTCGCCTTGACTTCAGAGTTTTATTGCCCGGGCTGCCACTCCCATGCATGCGGGCTCCGCAAACGGCCTTGCCGTCCTGCAGCGCGGGCCAATCAGCGCTGCCGCGGTGCTGCGCAGGTCCTGTCAAGAAGGGCTCACCAGCGCCGGCGATTCCCTCTAGGGGCGCTGAGTCCGTCTTCTAGAACGATTCTGAGACCGCGGGACAAGGGCTGTCGGTTCCGGCGCACGAGTGGAAATCTGCCCTTTTTGCGCCGGCAAGCGCCCGGTAAACCAAACGGGCCAAGTCGAACGAAACGAACCGGAGCGTTTATTTTGTCTCGTTGGCGCTGTGCCTTGTTATCCCCCGATCCGTCGGACTGCAGATTGGTCCCTGGTCCTGTCTCTGAAACAAGCCGGTGCCAGATGCTGTCGCGCGCCCTCTGCTGTGCTGTGTGCACGCTGGATTCGCGGTGCGCGAGTTACTTTACCTGGGCCTCGTATGTCGTCTGTGCAGACGCGATCGCAAGCTGGATGCGGAAGCAGACGTGCGCAAAAAGGCTGGATTTGGCAGCTGCCTGTCAGTCGTACTCTCGTGCAAGTCCCTGGTGCTCGTAATACTGTCTGTCGCAACTGTGAAAGCGTCTCGTTGCTCCCTTGTTATTTCGCCTTGCGATTTGCCACTCTTCGCCCGGGTTCAATGCTCCCTGCCGTTCGCTTCTGTTCAAAATTCCCCGGATTCAGTGGCGCGGTGCTAGTATAGTAGTAGTAGTACGAGAATGTACGGTGCTCGTGCTATCGCTTCCAGCTGCGCAAGCCCTCGTACTGTAGAAAGAAACACGTCCTAGAAGACCAATGAAGCGAGGTGACGTATCATCCGAGACCAGACCAGTTGGTTGTTGAAGAATGGTGCCAAACCCCAAGTGGCACAGGGTAGAGAGTGTTTCAACGTTTCAACTGCTGCAAGTCGTCGGCTCCGTGTCAGATTTCCGTTGTTTTCAGCAACGTTGGATCACCCATCACAGTCATCCAACAGCCAGCATGGACCCCAGCTGCGTGTCGGATTGGCAGCCAAAACACCCAGGCGCCGTGAAAGCGAAGAGGTGAGACGAAGGTGCCAATCACACACGGTGGTGTGCGCGTTGATGCAACGATGCAGCGGCGATGCCACGGCGTGACAAGGTCCGTCCGTAAGCCTCTCTCCGTACTCCGTATATTGCTTGCTGGCGCTCTCAGTCTCTTGTTCGGCCCGTGCAATTCGAGTCGACTTGGGGATGCCGTTTGCTTTAAGCGTCCAGGTACGAGTGCAAGGCTGCGGCGCGGGAATTTCTTGGCTCTGACCGACGTCTGTGTGGAGACTCGATTCGTATCTGTGCCATTAGCGAGCCTGTTGCATCTGATCGACGGCGGACTTCATGCACTTGAGTCAGCGCGGCAGGTGATTTGATTTGGAGATGAAGACTGCATGTACGAGTACAGTAGCAGAGACAGCACAGGACGAGAGATGGATAAAGTACTAAGATAAGTAGGGGAGGGCTTGGGAGGTGGAGGATCAAGAGGCGGGCTGCGGCTCCAGCTCCAGTCCAGTCCAGCACGCAACTGAATGGCGAGGTCAACCAGACGTCACACCGGTCTTTGGTGGCTTGGAGCTCACTATCTTGCTTGACAAGCACAAGGAAACAACGAAAAAAGTTCCCCCGGTTGCCGCATTGAAATCAATTTTGATCCAATGCACTCTAGCCCAGGCCGCCCGTCTTATCTCGGCATTTCTTGGGTCTTTTCAGCCAGCCCCGTCCTGCTCCCGCCACACCTTTATGCATCTTTCTGGAGCTATATCGATTGCCCAATTTCGCAATCTCACCGTGGCGTCTGGACCCTGTTTCTTCTCTTGTGTTTCTTGTTTGTCTTTTTTTGCATCTCCGGCGTCTGCTATCTGCTAGCTTTTACCACTATTCGTACTATTACTATTCATTACAGCTACTGCTAGTCCTACTGCTAGCCCTTCGATTAGCTGCCAATCTGCGTGCGACTTCTCTCGCGAGCGCAGCAACCCGCTGGGGATGTGTGGAGCAGCCATGCGTTTCCCCGCGTTCATAGCCGTCTGTGCTGTGATTTCGCTGCCTTTGTCTCGCCCGATTGCTCGCAGCATTGTGTGGTATTAACGGATTCTCTAAATTGGAGGCCCGTGCAGCAGGCCGCTT